AATTTCTGGCGAATCGGTATCCGTTCCCGAAATGTCGGCGGAAGGAGTGTTGGATTATTCTTCGATGGGATGGCATTTTCCAGTCGTAGTAAAATCAATGGCATCGTCTACATGGAGCGGGCGATGGTTTCCGGGATGGTTGATGTTGCCGTAGAATTCATCGGTATTGGGCTCGTCCGGTTTGATGTTGTGGAGTTTGTACCCTCAGGAACAGTTGTGAGTGAGGACTTCGGTCTCTCCTTGATGTCTTCAAAGATATGTAGGGTGCCATGCTTCCTTGGGGTTGACTCCTCGGTGGGCGGAACACTGCCGATGGTATCGTCGATGGAACACTGAAAAAAAAAAATAAATAACAACGAGTAAGTTAGATGTGGTCGAGTCGGAGGCTCAGAGATAAATGAATTCCCAGTGGCTCGAGCGTCGGTTTTTATGTTGTTGCAAACAATAGATTGTTTACGATTTGGTGATTGATTGGATGCCTAATGACTATTTAATGACTGTTTGTCGTTCGTTTCCAGGAAATCCAGGTAGATGCATCCACTCATAATGGGTTTTTCCCATCCCTAATGGGTTTTACCGGGGAAAAATCGTTGTTTACAATCTTCGATATTCAACGGGTCCCCAAAATATATCTTTAGTTTTGCCGTATGCTGTAGAAAACCGTATGCCGACGCTCGACGTCACGCGGGAGAACACCCTACCCTACCGGTAAACATATTGGTGTATACAATACCTAAGAAGGTACCTAAGAAGTCAGTATTCTTAGGTATAGAATTAGGTATCCGTTCCCGAAAATGTCGGCGGACGAAGTGTTGGATTATTCTTCGATGGGATGGCATTTTCCAGTCGTAGTAAAATCAATGGCATCGTCTACATGGAGCGGATGTTAGTTTCCGGGATGGTTGATGTTGCCGACGAATTAATCGGTATTGGGCTCGTCCGGTTTGATGTTGTGGAGTTCGTACGCTTAGGAACAGTTGTGAGTGAGGACTTCGGGCTTTCCTTGATGTCTTCCAAGACACGTTGGGTGCCATGTTTCCTTGGGGTTGACTCCTCGGTGGGCGGAACTCTGCCGATGGTATCTCCGATGGAACACTGAAAAAAAAAAAATAAATAAATAAATAACAACAAGTAAATTAGATGTGGTCGAGTCGGAGGCTCAGAGTAAAATGAATTCCCAGTGGCTCGAGCGTCGGTTTTTATATTGTTGCAAACAATAGATTGTTTACGATTTGGCGATTGATTGGATGCCTAATGACTATTTAATGACTGTTTGTCGTTCATTCCCAGGGAATCCAGGTAGATGCATCCACTCATAATGGGTTTTTCCCATCCCTAACGGGCTTTGTTGCCCTAAATGTTTTTTGTACGGCTTTATTGTCGTACGAAAAAATCGGAAAAAAATTCTATCCTACGTAACTCGGCGAGATCTATCGAAATATCGAGCCGGATTTTTGTGAAAATTACGCCTTTTTTGGAATTTTCGGTCGATATCTCCGAAACTACGCCAACGATTTTTTTCAAACTTTTACCACAAATTCTTTAATTTTTTTGCCATTTTTGCACGCAAATCGCATTTCTTCAAAAAGTCATTTCACCATGTTATAGGGAAATGAAATTTTACCGGAATTAAAATTTTAAATAAATACACTCCGTTTACTCGGAAACTATAGGGTTTTCGAAAAAAATTTATTCTTTCAAAATTATTAATTCAAGTTTCATTTAACTAACAAAACAAACCCGATAACGATATCTTAACCCGTTCAAAAGTTATAGCAAAAAAAAGGAATTCCCGGCCGGCCGCCGTGCCAGCGCGTGTGACGTCACATCGCTCTATTACTAAACTACTACTACTATTACTAAATTCTGGTGATATATTACTAAATTCTGGTGACATATTACTAGATTCTGGTGATATATTACTAGATTCTGGTGATATATTACTAAATTCTAATGATATATTACTAGATTCTGGTGATATATTACTAGATTCTGGTGATATTACTAGATTCTGGTGATATTACTAGATTCTGGTGATCACTAGATTCTGGTGATATATCACTAGATTCTGGTGACCACTAAATTCTGGTGATATATCACTAGATTCTGGTGATATATTACTAAATTCTGGTGATATATCACTAGATTCTGGTGATATATCACTAAATTCTGGTGATATATCACTAGATTCTGGTGATATATTACTAAATTCTGGTGATATATCACTAGATTCTGGTGATATATCACTAGATTCTGGTGATATATTACTAGATTCTGGTGATATATCACTAGATTCTGGTGATATATCACTAGATTCTGGTGATCACTAGATTCTGGTGATATATCACTAGATTCTGGTGATATACTACTAAATTCTGGTGATATATCACTAGATTCTGGTGATCACTAGATTCTGGTGATATATCACTAGATTCTGGTGATATATCACTAGATTCTGGTGATTTATCACTAGATTCTGGTGATTTATCACTAGATTCTGGTGATTTATCACTAGATTCTGGTGATTTATCGCTAGATTCTGGTGATAACCAAATTCTGGTGATTTATCACTAGATTCTGGTGATTTCTCACTAGATTCTGGTGATTTCTCACTAAATTTTTAGTGATTTCTCACTAGATTCTGGTGATTTCTCAATAAATTTTAGTGATTTCTCACTAAATTTTTAGTGATTTCTCACTAGATTCTGGTGATTTATTACTAACTTCTGGTGATATATCACTAGATTCTGGTGTCATATCACTAGATTCTGGTGATATATCACTAGATTCTGGTGATATATCACTAGATTATGGTGATATATCACTTGATTATGGTGATATATCACTAGATTCTGGTGATAACCAAATTCTGGTGATTTATCACTAGATTCTGGTGATTTCTCACTAAATTTTAGTGATTTCTCACTAAATTTTTAGTGATTTCTCACTAGATTCTGGTGATTTATTACTAACTTCTGGTGATATATCACTAGATTCTGGTGATTTATTACTAGATTCTGGTGATTTATTACTAGATTATGGTGATTTATTACTAGATTCTGGTGATATATTACTAGATTCTGGTGATATATCACTAGATTCTGGTGATTTATCGCTAGATTCTGGTGATAACCAAATTCTGGTGATTTATCACTAGATTCTGGTGATTTCTCACTAGATTCTGGTGATTTCTCACTAAATTTTTAGTGATTTCTCACTAGATTCTGGTGATTTCTCAATAAATTTTAGTGATTTCTCACTAAATTTTTAGTGATTTCTCACTAGATTCTGGTGATTTATTACTAACTTCTGGTGATATATCACTAGATTCTGGTGTCATATCACTAGATTCTGGTGATATATCACTAGATTCTGGTGATATATCACTAGATTCTGGTGATATATCACTAGATTATGGTGATATATCACTAGATTATGGTGATATATCACTAGATTCTGGTGATAACCAAATTCTGGTGATTTATCACTAGATTCTGGTGATTTCTCACTAAATTTTAGTGATTTCTCACTAAATTTTTAGTGATTTCTCACTAGATTCTGGTGATTTATTACTAACTTCTGGTGATATATCACTAGATTCTGGTGATTTATTACTAGATTCTGGTGATATATCACTAGATTCTGGTGATTTATTACTAGATTCTGGTGATATATCACTAGATTCTGGTGATTTATTACTAAATTCTGGTGATTTATTACTAAATTTTGGTGATTTATCACTAGATTCTGGTGATTATATCACTAGATTCTAGTGATTTATTACTAAATTCTGGTGATTTATTACTAGATTCTGGTGATTTATTACTAGATTCTGGGGATATATTACTAGATTCTGGTGATTTATTACTAGATTATGGTGATTTATTACTAGATTCTGGTGATTTATTACTAGATTATGGTGATTTATTACTAGATTCTGGTGATATATTACTAGATTCTGGTGATATATCACTAGATTCTGGTGATTTATTACTAGATTCTGGTGATATATCACTAGATTCTGGTGATATATTACTAGATTCTGGTGATATATCACTAGATTCTGGTGATTTATTACTAGATTCTGGTGGTTTATTACTAGATTCTGGTGATATATCACTAGATTCTGGTGATTTATTACTACATTCTGGTGATATATTACTAGATTCTGGTGATATGTCACTAGATTCCGATGATATATCACTAGATTCTGGTGATTTATTACTAGATTCCGATGATATATCACTAGATTCTGGTGATTTATTACTAGATTCTGGTGGTTTATTACTAGATTCCGAAGATATATCACTAGATTCTGGTGATTTATTACTAGATTCTGGTGACATATCACTAGATTCTGGTGATTTATTACTAGATTCCGATGATATATCACTAGATTCTGGTGATTTATTACTAGATTCTGGTGGTTTATTACTAGATTCTGGTGATATATCACTAGATTCTGGTGATATATTACTATTATTAGTTCTTCGGTTGACGTGCCTGTCATATGAGAAGAGTGTCTCAGTTGACCTTGGCAAGCAAACCACGTTACAGTGGTCGTTGACTATTCTCGAAGGTTCCAATATGTTGAAGTAGGCATTATTTTATTTAATCGTCGGCACATTCCATTTACATAATAGGTTCATTTGTCAGTGGTGCGTTCGTTTGACAGCAGGTGCGTTCGTTTGTCAGTAGGTACGTTCGTTTGTCAGTAGGTGCGTTCGTTTGTCAGTAGGTGCGTTCGTTTGATAGCAGGTGCGTTCGTTTGTCAGTAGGTGCGTTCGTTTGTCAGAAGGTGCGTTCGTTTGATAGCAGGTGCGTTCGTTTGTCAGTAGGTGCGTTCGTTTGTCAGTAGGTGCGTTCGTTTGTCAGTAGGTGCGTTCGTTTGACACCAGGTGCGTTCACGCGATATGTAGTGGCTATTTACCTTGACAATTAATGATGGCATTAGAATTACGAAAACGAAGAAGAAATTTGACTAACTGTATGACAGTTGACGAGATTGGCTGTCATATGTCAAATGACAAAAAAAAAATTAAATTGAAAGCGAAGCAAAGCAAATTTAAATCGGGATTATTTCGATATTTTATTTGTGTTAATTTAATCGGCAGCTTTTTAAAGAAACTGAAAATATGAGTTTCCTGAACGTAGAAGATTCGGACAATTCAGAAGATAATCTACGAATCGTTATCGAGAAATCGCCGCGCAAAAGAAAACCTCCACCGTCACCGACCGCTTCCGAAAAGGATATCATCGAAAGTATCGAAGACGAATTGGAAAAAACATTAGAAGAAAAAGCTACCAAAGCGAACTTGAACGTTACGAACGTTAAAGGAATCATCAGGCATGTGGTAACGAACGAGCATGTGTTACATTTCCTAAAAACCGCCGACAAATCTGTTGTGGATATTGATACAGGTCCTACTCTTGTATTCGAGCCTAAATTAACTCGCTCAAAAGCAAGGTATGTATCTAAGAGTACATAATTCTAATTCGTCTGATATAAAATTATAACCTCGGATCATTTACAACTTTTTAAATTGTATTTATTTATTTATTTTTCAGGGAATTACGTTCTTCTTTAGACGTACCAGTTCCTAACGTACCCTGGTCATTTTCGAAACCCGCTTCCGAAGTTCAAGTATTGTTCAATGAAGATTTACAAGAGGATTCTTCAGAGGACGAGTACGTACCAGAGGCGGCCGATGAAGATGGCGAAAAAGAAGATGAGGTTATATCTGACATATTATGATTTTTGTCTAGAATTTATAGTACGAGATTTTTTGCATGTTTTCAGAGCGAAGACGACAGGGATAGTTCGATTTTCAGCGATCCTCCTTCCGTCGAGCCTCCGTCTACACCAACTTGCAGCGATTCATGTACACAAACCAATTGGACGGAAGATGGAGTATTTAAGATTCCTTCTGCACCACCACAAGATAAGGATGATACGACCGATGAAGCTACAATTGCTTTACGAACAAGGCAAGATTTTATTTTAAATGTTAAAATCTCCGATGAAATGTAATTGTGATCGCATTTTGTAGGTCAAAGCTCTCTTTAAGTTCTACTCCCCTTGAGGAAATAGAAGAAGCCTTCATACCTCCGGATATAACTACCGATATGTACGAAACAGACTGTGATAACGAAGATTGGATGAATTTTTTAAAGACATTTACGCGTCCTTTAGAAGAAGTTGTTAAATCAACTGAAGAAGAAGACTTGGATCCTGAGTATAATGTTTTAGGTAAATTTGTGGATATGATAAAATAGATGTTGAGAATAAAATGCTGAATATAGGCGTACGTTTTAGCTGACGAAGAAGTTGATAAACCTGATAAAGAGGAATTAAGAGTTGACAAAGCTGTGAAAATTAGCAAGAAAGAATTAAACGATCTAATGGATGAATTGTACGAATTTTGCACCAGTGAACAAACTTATATTTGTAACAACGATGAAGATGATGAAAACCAGCTTTCCGTCAGTCAATTGACAAATAGTACACTTGATAACTCCCAATTTAATTCTTCTTTTCACGATGCAACGGTAAGTGTACGATCTCTAATCGTTCCGAAAAACGAATTAAATAATTTGTTTTTTTGATTTTTTTTTTTTTTTAGACATTCGACGAAAGAAACTTGGTATGTGATAAACCTATGAAAACCAAAGATCTCGAAGAAACATTAAAATTAACTAATAATCAAATAACTTTATTAGAGCAACAATTGAGACAACATGTTCAGATGTTGACTCAAAACTTTTTATTGACCTACAAACATCCAGAACTACACGAAAATTCATTCCAAATGAAAGAGTATTTGGTAAAGACAATTTTTCATTGATTTTATTATTTACTATTTGTTGTTTTCTTTGTTCTTTTGTAGCTCAATTTTCAATTTCTGAGAGGTGATAGTCAAGAATCTGTATACAATATATTAAATTTGGATTGTGCAATAAATTTGATATCTTATTGGGAAAATTTGCTTAATAGCAATACCGAGGAAGTTAAAAAAATGTATTCGTAAGTTAACGAGGTGGGATATATTATGCTTTGTATTTCATATATTTATTTTTTTAGGTATGTTGATAAAGTACTAGCTGAATCGTAAGTTATTTTAAGCTGTTTTTAATGAAAAATATTTATACTTAATAATATACATTTACAGTTTGAAGAACAAAATGACGGGGAATAATTATATCGAGACATTTCCTGATCTAATTATGGAAACTATATCAAACAGCGATGTTTTTATATATCCGGAATTGTTACCAAAAATACCATTCAAACCACTCCGATATTATAGTCCAAAATGCACTTTTCTGGATTCCGAAATTCAGTAAGTTATTTCAACGAATATCGACGTAATCGACATTTTATTTTTCATTTATCATTTCCAGATTAATAGCAAAAGGTTTAGAGGAATTCATGCCACTTGCGCGTGAAAAATTACCAAAAAACGCTACGAAAGTCCGTCTCTACAGTACTGTCGCCGAATTTATACATGAACATATGTTACCTATAAAAAAACCTCACGAAATTACTTATAAAATAATGAATTCCGAAAGCACGAGATACGCGGATAATCCGATAAAATTTTACTTGAGGAAATCTGCCACTCTTCCGTTTATCCAACGCGTTTTTCCTTTAGACGAATTGAAAATTTTGCCACCTTGCCAAAGGAGGCCCGAGGAATTGCCCCAACAGTGGAAACACTTTATATATTTACGCGTATGTATGGTTTTAATTTATTATTTAAATTCTTGTTTTTTTTTTCTTTTTAATTATTGGAACTACGGTCGATTCTAAAGTACGTCTCGTGTTTTTTTTCTCTTTTTTTGTTTGAAAACCAAATTTATGACGTAAAGAGCGCAAGAGTGTTGCACTCGAACGAACTTTTTTTGACAGTTGGGCAAAATTGACAAATGAAATGACACATGACACATCAGGATTGATTTTCTAACCTATTTTAACAAGTTTATATTTGTATTGTTTGATAATAACTTTTTAGGATAAATCCGAGAAATTTACCAGTAGTAATGCGAGTAATGCCAGCAATTCATCGAGCATCAATTTGTCAGCGATTAATAATTTATATCAAGTGACTCAGTTCGCTTATGTACCGATAGTAAAAACGAGCATCCAGAAGCCTCTGCTTCCGAAAGGTCCAATTTATTCGTCTACACCTATATGCCCAAAGTATAGGCTATCGAGGATAAAAAGGTTGCCCCAAAGGAAAAAACGAAAAACAAATTCTAAATTTATTTCAGATGATCCAATCACTAAATTCGTTAAGTGTCTCGGTCAAACACCTTCTGTTAGTAAACTGTTAGAATTGTTTCCGATTAATGCAGAACTATTTTCCAAGGATATCTCTAAATTAAACGAGAAAAATAAATCGATTAAGCGCAAGAGTTTACTAAATTCTACAATGTTGCCGAATATGCCGAGTTTGTTTACTACGCCTGTTAAGAATGATTCTCAAAACGAATCCATTGAAGTAGAAGTAATGAAAGAAAAATGTGCTGGTGTCAAAAGAAACTTGAGCTTGTCTGAGAAGAAGAGCTCTAATAATACAACAGCAACTGTAGATATTGGGGAAAAGAAAAAAAACTCCAAGTCTGATAAAATACAGGAAACACCAAAGGTATATTTTGAATAGATTTCAATAGTATCTTATTATCAGATGAACTAACTTAATTTTTTAGGATAATCAAGATGATATAAATGCTTTGCTCATAGCAAGTTCAACAGTTAAGCCTACACCTAAAAAAGAACTATCTGGTGGTGAAAAAAAGAAGGCCAGATTCAGAAAAGAATTCCTTGCCAATTTAAATATGTGTACACCGGAAGGCGATGAAATTGGAAAAAAGAAAAGCGAAAGTACCACTCATATTCTATCACCCAGTATACTCAGTATAAAATTAACCGTAATTCAAATTTCAGTGTTTGCACTTTCCTATTATGATAAAATGCGCGAAACTCTCGAAATGGAAACCTACCATAAAATAATGCAAATTCTCAATGACTACGAAGAAGGTGACGCTGTCGATTTATATCACAAAATCGAACAAGTTCTCAGACCTAAATACAATGAACTGGCTGATGAATTCCTGTTGTTTCTGAGAGAAAGAGAAGCGGCAGCCGTGGGGAAACTTATACCATGGATAAGGATGAACAACAGATCGAAATTTTTACGAAAATTAGAAATCTATTTCAAAGATCAACCGTCTCAATTGAAAAAAATTTACCAATGTTTGACGGAATTATCGCAATCCATTGATATTTCAATGGATAGAATTAAAACTACTCTTCTACCAATGTTTAAAGGTAACGCCGTATTAAAGGATCTGTTTTTACAAAATTTTATGGACGAACCTCCTCCCAATAGGTAAAATTTGTATAATTAATGTATTACTATGTTGTTTTACTAAAAAAAATTAAAAAAAAAAATCTTTGTTAGTTTATTAGAAGGACCTTACGAGACCATCGACGTTAATAAGGAATTAGCCAGACCACCCGATGAAGAATCCTTCGAAACAATAATAGTCCCCGATATTCCTGATAAATATGGCGGGATGACTTGCATTTGCAGTTGTCACGAAATAGAAGACGAAGAGTACAAATCTAGGTACAGACATTGTACTAGATGTGGTGCAAAGGTACATTTGTTATTAGTACCGTCAATTTTTATTAATCGGTTATTATTTTTGGAAATTTTCCAGTTCTTAAATGGTAAAGTGTACATGGCAACCGGAAGAGGTTTAAGGCCTGCAAAGGTTTCGTTCATCACGAATCCGGATGTCGATCATCAAACGAGACTGGCCGATAAATCGTTATTAAGTTTTATTCAAAGAAAGAAAAGATCGGACAACAGCCCATCCAAAGCGGGATCATCGTATTCGAAAGAAAATCAGGACGAGGTAAATAAGCGTTACTACATATTTACATTTATTTTTATTTTCGATTAAATTACATTTTTGAAATCGATAGGATTCAGAAGAAGATGGCGATAAAAAGAAGAAACCTAAAAGGAAAGCTCCAACTAAACGAAACAAAAAACAAACGGAAGCGAAAGAAACCGCTAAAACCGGCGGCGTAACGATAAAAAAGCAAGTTTCAACGAAAGGTGAATCGAAACCTAGAAAAAGAGCTAATTCAGTGAAAAAATCCACCGCGAATGCGAAAGTTAATCACGTCGAATCACCGGAATTAGCACCTAAACCAGTAGAATTAAATCATCACGTCGAAACCGAATTAGAAGAACACAATGAAACGGAGATAGAAGAACATTTCGAAACGGAAGTAGAGGAACATAACGAGACCGAAATCGAAGAGCACAACGAAACCGAATTAGAAGAACATAACGAATCGGAAGATCACGCTGATTTAAAATTCGAAGGAAATTTAAAACCGGGTTCGATGAACGGCCAAATGAAACGTCTACACGATGAATCATGCGAAGAAGGCGATCAAAGCGTTAGAGGAGAATTTAAATTTAGGAGTCCCGAACAAAACACCGCTGAATCCGAGAGCGGTTAGTAATCATCCTCCATTTAATTAAATATAATTATCGAATTATTATCGTTATTAATTTTATGTTTAGAATTTTGCGAGGAATCATCCCAGGATAATTGCGAGTCCGATAGCAATTCGAGCACGTCGAGTTCACCGAAAAGTTACGCCGACGTTTTAGGATTGAATTCGTCGTGGAAACGCGAAGAGGACAAAATAATTTTGGAGGTATTTCAAAAGGAAAACGACAAAGATAACGCCTTTAGGGCCATTTCGAATCAATTATCGAATAGAACGGTCGGTGAAATTAAATCGAGGTTCGATACTTTGATGGATTTATTGATGAAAACTGTCGAAGACGCTTAGGAGACTGATTAGGAGAGATTTACAGGATGGAATAGGTGTTAAGTAAAAAAAAAAAAGAAAAACGTTCTTTTTTTTTATAAAGAATTAATTACAAACATTTAATAAATTATATCTGTATATTTATTTAAAATCCCGGATCCCAATCTGTTGTTTGAGGTACTGATTTTTTTTCATAACATATTATGACATCGTTTTTTTCAAATTGAATGGTTTTATCGGAAAATTGGAGACCACATTCCGTATCCGATTTTATCATATCGACTTCATTCTTTAAGTGTCTCATAGATGATAATAAACCTAAAAAGAATTAAATTAATGAGATAGGATGGGTTATTCTTCGTCAAATACTTCCACATATCGTCTACCAACCTTCGTGAATGATTTGTCCATTCCTTTCTACTCTATAATGTCCAGTTTTCTTCAAAATACCTTTTTCGCATCTACAACCTGCCACATTAACTTTCTTTCTACCTTGATTTATTTCGAATATTTCCAACACTTTGGCTTCACCTAAAATATCTATTTCCTCTTTAGGCGGCAGTTTAGCGTTAATTTCTTCTTTGATATCGTCAATTAACTTGTAAATAACGTTGAAGAATTTTATGGAAACTGTGTCGGTTTTGTTCTTCAAATTTTGTGGCAAGTCTACGTTAAATCCGTAAATTATACCTGATGATAATAATATGTAATAAGATTAAAAATATAGCTTTTTTTTTAATTCGGAATGCGTACCATTGAACGTTTCTGCTAGTTCTATATCGTTTTCACTAATGGAACCAATTCCATAATTAATCAATTCTATTTTGCATAGATTTGATTCGTACGTATCCACTACGTTTAGAATAGCTTCTAAAGTACCATCTACATCAGCTTTTATTAAAATATTTAGTACAGGAACTCCGTCATTGTCTGAAAATATAAATTTATAACGATCAGTTTGACCAACAGTAAGTAATTCATTTCCTCCCAGACACTTTCTTAGGACTCGTGTGAAAAAGCGAGTAAAATTCAATCTTTTACCAATAATACCTTGAATTTCCGGCTTTCTAGGTCCAACGGGTTTTAATTTGAATCTACCCATTCTTCTTTTCAATTCCAATTTCTCTTTGTATTCCTTTTCGTGCTGTTGCATTTTAATGTTTATCTCTTTCATGTCTTCTTCCATTTTCTTTTTGGCCTCTTCGCTTTCTCTGATTCTTTGCACCTCCCGAGCCCTCTTTTCCGTTTCAACTTGAAGAACTTGCTCACCGGCCGGTGGTAATTCCCTCCATCCTTCTATTTCAGCAGGATAACCGGGCTTGACCTGTTGAATGGTCTTCCCTTGGCCGTCTTTTAAAGCTCTAACTTTGGCTATAGCAGTACCGGCTACTAATATATCGCCTTTTTTTAAGGTACCTATAACGTAAAATGAAACGTGAGTGAAAGATAACATTAATAGATTTCGTCGTACCTCTTTGGACAATCAGGGTACATAATTTTCCTTTGTATGGATGAATTTTACTTTCTATTACAACAGCTTCTACGGGGCCAGTTGGATCTGCTCCGATCTCTAGTAAATCCGATTGCAAGACTAGCGCTTCGGTGAGTAATTCGAGATTTTGTTTTTTCAATGCCGATATGGGTATGGCTTGAACGTCTCCGCCGAATTTTTCCACTTGAATGCCAGCTTCTAATAAACTCTTTTCGGTTCTAGCGATATCGGCTTTGGGAGAATCGATTTTATTGATAGCCACCAATATCGGAACTAAAACAAACACACACACGAGAGTACTTATGATTTGATATTCATTTTTATTTGTCGTCGTCTATATACCTTTAGCTTGTTTGGCCATTCTAATTGATTCTATAGTTTGTTCCATTACTCCATCGTCTGCAGCCACAACTAAAACTACGATATCAGTTAAGTTAGCGCCTCTCGAGCGCATAGCAGTAAAAGCTGCATGACCAGGAGTATCTAGGAATGTAATGCAAGATCCTGATTTTAACACCACTGAAAAGGCACCAATGTGTTGGGTAATTCCTCCGAATTCTTCGTCTACTACCTTAGAGTCTCTAAGAGCGTCTAGAAGGGTCGTTTTTCCATGATCTATGTGACCCATGACTGTTACTACGGGCGGGCGGGGTTTTAGCTCGGCTTTTGATGGGGGAGGTCGAGGAAAGGCGTCTTTCTTCATAATTTCCATCAAATTATCTTGGGGTTTTCCTTTGAAATTTTTCTTTTTATTTACTCATCGATTTTTTTGATAGTATAATGTTACGTTTACATACCGATAATTCTCATTCTTCTGCCGCTTCGTTTGATTGCTTGTTGGAGAATTTTCAAGTCGCTAATTTCGGTGTTGGGTTTATCGAATGCATTTAAAAATAGCTGGGATACGTAATTCATATCTTTATTAAGGATTTTGCCTAGTTCCATTAAAGTGATATTTTTCCATACTTCAACAAACTCTCCTTTCGCTTTCGGAGAGTATTCGATTAAACGAGGAGATTTCTAAAATGTGGATGTTATATCGTTTAATTCTAGGCGATTTTCTATTTACCTTTTCTTCGGCCGTTTTCCGTCTTTTATACCTTACATTAGTTGTGTGAATATTTGCAAAAAATATGGTGCATTGGATATTGAATCTGTCGGCTTTGAATGGTTCTAAATGTATCCTGAAAAGTTAATTTTTATACTTAAAATGGTAGGAAAAAAATAAAAAAATTGGGTTACCTATAAGGTAAGTTGTAGTAGAATTTGTTTTGCCTCAAGCTGCTTTGCAGAATATTTTGTAACAAAGCGCCACGTCTATAAAATGCCATTACCATTTATTATTTTTTTGGAACATTTAAAATTGTTAAATTTGATAAAACTTTGAGGTTACAAATGTCTTCTCTTTTTTTTTCAATTATTGTGTATTTGCCCGTATAGTAACAGTCCAAGCTAGTCGCCCGTGTACCCTTCACGTACGAGGCCAATGCTGATGAAAAAGAAGACGAGTGACAGCTGAAGGAACCCAAGCGAACTCGAGCTGTTAAATGTTTTGTTTTTTGTTGTTAATCGTTTAATCGTTTCTTCAATACAATTGTTAAAAGCGAGTTGCGTTATACTTGGGCATTGTACCTATGAATCCATCAACGTAACCGTTAGAATATGTAATGTACAAATTGCCTACTGTAGTTCGATAAAGCCAATTGACATTGTTGACAATTTTGACATTGTTGACATTGACATGATGTATTTGTAAATTTTTCCATTACTGTTTTTCTGATTATTCATCGAGTAATGCGATATTAATTTATTGTTAAAAAGCTTAATAATGTCCGATAAAGAGGAAAAAACAACGCAATTCGTTTCAATAACTGGCGCTCCCGAAGATCGAGCCCAATTCTACTTAGACTCGGCAGCTTGGCAGTTAGAGGTTAGTTAAATATTTATGCTTTGTTAGAGAAATAAATTACGGTAGTGCATTGTAGGTAGCGATTGCGAGATATTACGAAAATGACGGAGCAGATTCGGACCCTGTCGAAGAGGTTGCTCAGCCAGCGGAACCTCCCAAATCTCCTGTAGTCAAAAAGGCGAAATCCAAATCCAAAAGCAAATCTTCGAAATCCTCGAATATTGCAACGATTAAGACAATAACAAGTTCAAGCGAAGAAGAGGAAGAAGGACAAGCTTATTATGCAGGCGGTTCCGAAACGAGCGGTCAACAAGTCCTAGGGCCACCTAAAAAGAAGGATTTCGTAGCCGATATGTTCAAATCGGTCCAAGAGTATGTTTTACATTTTATTTTAGTATAGTAATACTACTATACAGTATGTTTCTGTAATTATGGCAATGACATCACAAGGTGATGTATATTACAATGTTGCCAAGTTGCAACTTATTTCTTTTGATATCAAAGATTTTTATAAAAATGTAATTTTATTGAATGTTGGTTTACAGACATGGAGTGGAAATTCTGGAACCGAGCGCTTCTTCTTCTTCTTCGAATTCTAGATCATTCAAAGGAACCGGTTATAAACTCGGCCAAGATGATAATGATACGGTAATCGTTCCTGCGCTTCCGGATCCTCCACAGCCTGCTAAAGTAACATTAAAGTTATGGCAAAACGGGTTCAGTGTGAACGATGGCGAATTAAGATCATATTCAGATCCCGGTAACAGGGAATTTTTAGATGCCATCAGACAGGGCGAAATACCACCGGAACTGAGACAAGGCGCCACCGAAGTTCATTTAGCAATGGAGGATCATCGAATGGAAGCTTTTAGAACCGGTAAAAATAAACGAGCCGCTTTTCAAGGGACCGGTTATACATTGGGAAGTCCAGCACCTACGGTAATTGGTACTGGAAACGAAGAAGAAAAGTCTGACTGTGAAGCTAAGGCCAAAGAGCAATTAAAATTAGACGGTTCCAAACCAGTAACAAGGTATAGTTAGTTCTTCAATATTGAATTTGTTCAAGTTATTTCTTGTTATGTCTTATACGCGTTGTGGATTTTATTTTACAGTTTGCAAATTCGTCTAGCCGATGGGTCACGATTACAAGGACAGTTCAATCACCAGCACACTGTGGCAGAAATTAGAAATTATATTCAACATGCCAGACCTCAATATCAAAGCAGGGCTTTCAATCTTCTGACAGCGTATCCAGCAAAAGTGTTGGATGATGCACAAACTCTCGAGGCAGCCGGTTTACTTAATGCCACTATTATGCAGAAATTAGTGTGAGAAATTGGAATTTCCAACACGCTAGATTTAGTGTTTCATAATATTATTGTGGTAATTTAATAATACAGTTTAACAAAATTTCTAAATAAAAAAAATACTTTAAATTATTTCAATTACTTCAAAATACAATCGTTTATTGATAAATGATAATAGACTTTGCAAAGATGTAGGGATTTTAATTTTTGTATGAGATGTCACTGTAGCTGGCCTGTTTCAATAGATTAATTATTAATACTTTTTTTTGGCAACGATTTTTAACGTTCCAAAATTTTGCTGGAGAAGAAATGTTTTCTCATGGAATCAAATATTTTCTAAAACATGTTTTTCACGAGTTTATTAAAAAAACGTAAGTTACGTAAGATCGCCTTAAATACAGTGTTACTAAGTACAATTACAATTCTGATTAAATCATCTCGCTTTCACTAATTACAAAAATAATATCAAATTCTTCCTAAATTTTCGTATTATCACAATGAAACTAAAAACGAAAGTGTACAACTTCTATAATAGGAGGGGACTCGAAACACTAAATACAACTTAAAAGGAACTTTTTACAGCCAATACTGAGTCTCCCTCTCCATATAATATTATAATATTGATAACATTAATAGTATCTATTTATTATGGTATTTGTCGTATTTCTAAAAATATATGAATTTTTAATATAAGTGACGAAATCATATAAACACTAGCTTTAACTGTGAATGGGCTTTTAAAAATACTTCTTTCTTTATTACAATCAATCTTATTTTTGAAATAAATGGACAACTATTGTACTAGATTTTATTTAATACGTTTAATATTTGTGATAATTTACTAATAAATAGAGAAACTGAACACAAAATAGAGAGACATTGTGGCAATCATAAATACTATGCATACAATAAATATAATATATCGAATCATTATTACTATTTAAAATACTCGAGGATAAAAGGTTTTCAAAAATTCCATTGATTGTATTGAAAGAATATTTTGTATACATAAAATCCTTTGCACTGGGATAATAGATAAAAACTGAAAAACGTTTTTTTATACAAATAGATAAAAGAAATGAATAAGTAAAATACGTGTAAAGCGTCAGGTTTAAAAATTGAATTATTAAAATATGATTTAATATAATGTACAAAATTAATATGACAAAATGCGCCAGCGCAAAGGATTCATTTCATATCTTTAAAACCTAAACACTTATAAGATATCGGTATCGCTTAGCTAAGTCATATTCAAAAGGAGCATTCATTCATTTCTAAAACATAGCAACAATGAGACAAAAAAAATTATGATTCTACCTTATAAACTATATATACACAAACACATCGCTTTAAATTGTTACGATTGATTTATCGATCATTTCATCACGTCAGACGAACTCCAGGTACGATTTGATTAAGCTAAAAATAAATTTCATCTCTTTGAACTTCGCCTTCGGACCTTCGATTTTCGAGAATGCGCTTTTTTGTTCAAAACCGACGGATTGTTCATCCACGGTACTTCGAATTCGCTTTTAAAAAAAAACCATTAATCGGATTATAATAACAAAAAAAAAGAAGATGGATTCGAATTTTACTCACCTAGGATTGAATTTGGTAATGGGACATCCGAAAGCTGCCACGGGTAAATCATCGACGACTTCTAGATATTTGACATCTTCTAATTTCGGCCAAAGCGAATTGATCGGTTCGCGACCGTCGCTTTTCGAACCCAAACCGACTTTTTCTTGACGTTGCTTTAACTTTTCTATCAATCTCTGTTCGCGAATTCGTTGAACGTCCCACCTGCAACGAGACAGAACGGTTTCCTATTAGTTGAAATTCGATTTAAAACTAACAACTCTACCTTTTCCGTCTTCTCTCGTCTATTTCCAACCTCATGTGCCTTTTGTTAAATACCTCATCGTCTAAATTTTCCGTACCTTCCATCGTGTAACAACTGGCATAGATTTTATGACGCCACCTTGGTACCTAATAAAAAAAATATATATAACACACATGTGTAAAGGTTATTTAATTAATATTCCACCGCGTTTATCAATAAAACACAAAATAAATGTACCTCTAATGTGGAAGCCAAACATTCTGCGATATCAATTTCATTATTAGGTATTCCTAAATTAACTTCATGCGACTGGGTCAAGTATGCATCTACAGATGTTAAAATATTGGCATCTTTGGTCAGTCCTAAAAAAATAAGTCAATAAAAATTAAATTAGAAAAAAACATTTACAGCTCTTCGACTGCAAAAATGCATCTCTAACGCAAATCAAAATATATCAAATGAACTACTCACAAATACACAACCGCAAAGTTAGGTACGGAGTGAAGTTAGCTTCGAACTTTTAATCGCTAACGCTAATTTAGGTTAGAAAACGGGAATTTCATTTACACAAAGGAGCTTTCAGAGTTTTCTAAAGAAGCTACTTGTATTACAATATATTAATAATTGTTGTACTAAATTTATGCACCCCTTGTACGTACATAGTTGAATAAATCAAACATCACCTGTAAATTTATTCTAGGGTCTTAGTAGGCGGATAAGTTCCAAATAATTGACAGCAAGGATGTAATCTGTCAAATTTTTTTTACCCCGTCAGTTCGTAAAACTACCCCAGAGTAATCTTTAGAGCATAAAACAGCCTGCTAGATCGACATAAAATAAATCAACTTACTGCGTTTTTTCTTCTTAAATCGCCTTCTATAAGTTTCTTTATCTTCGAGATTAAGAGATTCGCTATGAGACAAACCGGACGAGCTACTTTTGACCCTCTTCCTTCTGATGCTCATCCTCAAATTTTTCATGGGATCTAATTCGCTAATATTGTTTACGCTAAAACTGTACTCGCTGATGGGTAGATTATCACTTAGAATGTCACTTTTGGATTTCCAATCTGCCTCCGAATTATCTAAAAGAGGGCACTCTTCGCGTTTCAATTTGATCAAACTATTTACAATTGGTTCGACAAAATTTTTTTCACTGTCGCTCACTTGAGATTCACTAGCACTAATATTATTGTATTTTTCGTCTTTGTAGTTCAATTGTACGAGTGATGGTTCGACATATTTCCCTTCAACGATTTGGTTATCTTCCTGCACTTCTTCCTTAAAGGACCCCTGGGTCATATCTTCAACAGTTGGCTCTTCTTCGATTGGCTGGTTCTTTTCCAATTGGAACGGAATGCCCTTTTCTATGCAGTTTATCTTCTCTTTGAGCTACAAAACAAAACAAAAAAAAACACGACGATGTTTGCGATTAAATAATCGAAATTTTGGAAATATTGCGCAAACGACGATTGCAGATTAATAATTCGAAACTTACCATTTCATTTTCCTTGCGTAGTACGTAGATTTCCCTGTCTTTGTCGAGAATATCATCGTTTTGTTGTTGAATTAAATCTGTGTGCAAAATCAACCACTCTTTGATTAGCTTAACCTCACTTTCGGCAGTTTGACAGTTGATTGGCGGATTTTCTTCTGGTAAATCGTTCACGTCTCCATTTTGAATATTTATATTTGTGGCGTACATATGATCGACTACGTTAATCTCTTCTTCGCTCGATTCGTTTTCTACGTTGATTTCATTGAAATATTCAACGGAATTCGTACATTTCGACAACAATTTCGAGCTACTTTCATGGCGAAAATCCTCGGACATTTTCGTGTAAACTCGGCCCTATGTTTTGATCATTGTTTACGATGCTCGGCATTCGGCGGAGACGATGCGACCAAATTTGAATTGGTTAATGACTTTAAACTCGATCATTTCTACTAATAAAATAATCCGAACGGAAAAAATCAACCTAATTACGAACTGAATGACTTCTGCGTCTAAAATATTACTCTAACGAACGATTCGATACATTGCATTTTAATGTAACAGCAAAAGCGATTGAGGTTAGGTTATGAAAGCACTTACGGTATTCGAAACCGTTTTAATTCGGAGCAGTAATCATTTTGCTGGATAGTTCGAAGCAAAAAAAAAAAAATACACTCGATTTCTCGGAGAACACTAAAACATTTTAAAACGATTTTTCAAACAGAAATATAAATGATTTAAGGAAAATGTCATTGTGTAGTTAATAGTCTGCGCGTTTAAGTAAAAACTAATATCGAAACGCACTCGTTATTCCATCGTAAAGCCGTACTTTTCGAAAAAGCCATGTAATTTTTTAAACAATTCCTTACTTTGTCAAAACAACAATCAACAACACAACGCGAAACGCGATTACCTCATATACCTATTAGTATATACTGCTTACTACGGTCTAAAACCCGTAGCAAACATTATACTTTAGTGTGCCTGCTTATTTATGCGCATGCTCAAGTGAAAGATTTCTTGATTGGCTACTTTTGACAGAGCAAACGAAACGTCAGAAACGTGCTAGCTTTTATTTTGGTATATTTTTTGATATAATTTTAAAATCGACTTTGACTTGCCTGTGTAAATATGTCAAGTTACCGAATTTAACCACGATTTCAAGTATTATTTTCTTTCTTTTCTTTTTAGGCCTCAGCTACTCGCTATTGGTCCTTTTAAAATTAACGCGCTTGCGTATAAACGTTTAAGCACACCATAAAGGGTCGGATCTCTCTCTTTAATCGCTACGATTTTCTCTCATGGAATAGATAGGGAGTTAGCAGTATATACTAATAGGTATATGGATTACCTTTAATTTTGACGTTTGAAGTAAAGTTGACATATGACGTATGACAATTGAAATATCTTCTTCTGTTTTTTCAACATACAATATAATATCTACTACAGAAATGACAAGGACAGCAATTGTCAATGTTCTTCTTCTTCTTCTTTCGTTTTGAGGCCTCAGCTGCTGTGGCTATTCGGCCTAAATTGTCAATGTCAAGTTGAACATATGACGTATGACGTATGACAATTGAAATATCTTCTTCTGTTTTTTCAACATACAATATAATATCTACTACAGAAATGTCAAGGACAGCAATTGTCAATGTCAAGTTGAATATTTATTTAATTTTACGTTATTTATAAGTAAAACTGTGGATATTTATTTTTTAATTATTATTTTCTACTTATGAAAGTGGCATTACACTTTTCTTGTAGATTTCATCAGTTACTGTAAAAAATTCTTCCTTGATATTCAATTATGTTTATATTTCGACATTTTCGACCTTATTATAACTTGTTCAGAAATTTTTCTATCCCATCAAAGTATGAATTATTTTATTTCTGTAAAGTAAGTCATGGTGATATTTATCATTATTATATTCAATTATGATATGTACCTAATTTTTAGATGTTGAAAAGTAATTGGCTAGAAATTCCGGATCATGTATATTGGTCATTTCGGTGCAGTCGAACAAGTTAGTATGTACAGTATACCAAAAAAGTATTCGTACACTCGTATTATAATCATTATACGTGTAATTACCCGTTTAATAAATATACAAATGAAAAAACAATTAACAGGCAGATTTGGCTCCATTCGATCCAAAAATGTTATACTTACTCTCATCTGACAATATAACCTGGTTCCAGAACTCTAAACGTTTATTAATGTAACGCTTAGCAAACTCCACTCTTAGCTTTCGATTTTTCTTATTTATCCTTGGCTTTTAGCAGGTCTTCTTCCTCTATATTCTAATCGCTTAATGTGGTATCGAAGAGTTTCCGGATGGATCTTATGCCATGTACTGGATTCCAGTTCAGAAACGATGTATGGAGCACTTACAAAGGGAATTTTTTTAACTTTTTGATAAATGAAATTCTGATCTCGTTGAGTTAACTTGGCAGTACCTCCCGATCTTGACTTATTTTCCACGGAACCAGTAGATTTATATTTTTTCACAATGTACTGAACTGTAATATGTGTTTTTTGAACAATTTTACCTATCTCCTTATATTATTTTCCTTCTATAAAATGATGGATGATGACTTTTTTAAGTCACCATCTATTTCTTCAGTTTTTCTAGGCATTTTAAGGTAAACTTGAATTATTTTGAAAACAGAACTAGGAGCTCAACCTAATACTAATATACCGGCGAAAACAATAAACAATTTAATATCTACAGAGTGAAGAAATTGATAAAACGTTGCTGTACGAATACTTATTTTGGGGATAATGCAAACATTTTTCGTTTTTTTTTATTTTACATTTTTAATAACAATGTTAATTAATGATTGCAAGAATAGTCTCGAAATGTAGATTTTAATTTGCTAGTTACTTCTTGTTTCTGTTTACTGAACGCGGACTTCCAGAACATAATGCAACTGTACGAATACTTTTTTGGTCTACTGTATGTGAAAAAAATTAAAATATAAGAATAATAGCTCAAAAAACAAGGATTTTGCAAAAACCATCCATGTATATTTCTGCGATTTACTATAAAAACTTATTATCTACTTTATTTTTACAATTACTATTTTTTTATCTGAATGTTTCTAATGCTTCATTTTACATGGAATGCCATTTACTTTAATAATTTACTGTTACTACACTTCCGGATATTAATTTAGAATCAATTTCAGCATACCTGAAAACTATTATATGGAAATTTTCTTATCTTATTTATTGCTTACAGAAATTTCTCTGATACCTTGAATTACAATAGAAAGCATTGTATATGTATATCAAGTAGTAATAAACGAATGATCTATACCACAAACAGTTAAAAATAACTATCATAACTTTTATTTTATGCAAAAATTTAGTCAAATACATCTATTCTACATTACATGCATGTTTAGATGAATAATTATGGTATTTGAACTAGACTGCAAAAAGTTATCAAATCAGCAATCAGCAGAGGATTGATTAAAAATAAACGTACGCCACTGTCGCGCAAATCAAGGACGCAACATTATTTTCTGTGCCAGTGCCAACAGGCAAACGAATACATTAAAATACATACAACACAGATGATTCAAAATCGTACAAGTAGCGCTTTTTAGATCGATTGATGAGTTCCGCAAAAATCGTTCGGTCGCTTCATCAGCACATCGTTTTGTCATTCATAAAAGATAAAATAATCGAATTTTGATTCGTTATCACATATACATATGGGTAGTGCGCCGAAAGCGGTCGAAATTCAAAAAAATAAAACACCGATTCCTTTTTATTTCAGTCGATATTTTTATATCGCATTATATCAAGACGGTGCTGCGTTCGTGATATTCTGTTGAAATATCAATCGATTTCTTCAATTAGTTTCAATGTTAGTCGCGTGTGCATGTGTTTGATGGTTTTGATGCAAGTATTACAAATTTTTAACAAAATTTCGGTAAGTCGTTAATAATGCTGGATGAAAAAAAAAACTGTAGGTATGCTTTAATCGTTGATGAGAATTAAATACATATTTACATACGCATAAGTATTGTTCAAATTAATTAATGTTTGTAGATATTTAGTATACCTACACAAAAGTGTGTCTTATATAAACAAATTTTTTCTGAAAAATTCGCGATTCTTATGAAAATTATGCAATAGTAGTGCATTTAACCACGTGCTTTAAAACTTGTTTCTATAAATAAAATATTAAAATTGTTGGAATTGGCAAGAATTAAATACTATTTAATTGTTTCATTTTATAGCAAATTTAAATTTACATTGCATTAGTAATCTACTGTGCAATTGAAATTTTTGGTGCTGGAATATTTTTAAATTTACGTTTGAGAAACTAAAAATCATCAAGTATACGAATACATATGAAGGTAATTGTGGTCAAAGTAATGTGATAACGAAATTAATATATTCATCAAATGACTAACATTGTTTTTTACCTAATTGCTTTAAAAAATCTTCCTAAATTACTTAGCTTGTTTAATGCTTATTTAACAAAGATAATGCATTATTTCTAAAGTTTACAACATTTCATATTGCTGGAATTTACCAATATTTACACGAATTACAAAAATGTCATCTACAAAATAAATATCTAATTGTAAGTGTCGACACCATTTGACCTGTATTAATCAATTCCTTGCAGTTTATACTACTCGATTAAAAAAAAAAAATGCTACCAAATTTTTAATCTAAACTCAAGTAGGTAATTTACCAACGCAACATATTTGTATACTGATTATAGAAGCAAAAATTGCATGTCATATCGACTCTAATTCCATTCGGATGTGCAATACGCATACAGGGTATGCAACTCATGAAATAATGGAATATCAACTATTTATTTAGATATGCTAAAACTTCAGTTTATTATTTCCAAGCTAGCACGTTCTAACTGATACAGTGGTTTATTTAACTACAATTTCAGTAACAAAACTAATCAATATTTTCAGCATTTATCATCTGGTTATCCAATTAAAGTAGATTGATATCAATTTATGTTTATGTACTAAATATTTATTATGGTACACCACCTGGAATTACACAGCGAAATATACCATATTGTGTAAGATGTACTATTTATATTCAAATTGTTACATTACATTTTTTTTGATAAATTGAAAACTATTGAATAATATTAGGGATTATCGCCCTATTATCACGTTAATTAAAATGCTATCAGTTTACGACCGATTTTCTTGTGTAATACACATGAATCCAATCAACAACTCGTTAGTTTTAAAATTTTTTTTACTAGAGATGAACCTTGAATGGTAGATATTAAAAATAATTATACTGAAATAATATACCCATGTCAACGCGTAATATTTATACATGTAGGTAACACTTGCTGCAAATAGCAGAGCATCCACAATTATGTACTATTAAATGTATTGTTTGCGTGACTAAAGTTTAAGCAATAATAAAAGTTTTGATAACATTTTTAATTCAAGGGTATTTTTTTAGGAGAACTAAATTAATTCGAGCGCATTTCTGATTTGTTATGGACGGCGCCGTTAAGAAAACCAGAAAGCCGAATCCCAGAGAAAATGCATTTCCTTTATCCGCCGCTACTTTTTGGTGAGTTTAATTTAAACTAGAGGAGTTAAAATGTGAATGAAAAAACATTTGTGCGCATTTTTAATGTTTTATAGACAATTAAACCGTAGGGAATTTTTAAAACCCTATACTCTTCTTCCCGTTGCCAAAAATGTACGTTAATGCTTTGGCATAAAGTCACAAGGTTAAGGTTTATACTATTCTTAGTTCACTTTTTCTCGAAATACTTACATATACACGTAACGTTTGCGTCCGTTTCAGTAGCGTTTCGTCGAACGTATTTCAGGAATTTCCATCATTTATTTATTTATTTTTTTGCAGTTATACGATACCGACGTTTATTGAAGGATTCAAACGCGACCTGGAAGAAGCCGATCTGACCGAAACGTTGAAAGAACACAAATCGAATTATTTAGGTAACAAATTAGAGAAATGCTGGCGAGCCGAAGAAGAGAGGGCCGCCAAGAAAAACGCCAAACCATCATTGGAAAGGGTGCTAGTAAAAACATTCGTATGGGAATATTTGGCGCTCGGGATTGTTTTAATCATGTCCGAGGCAGTTAGGTGAGAAATTTTCATTTATGTACATGTACATAATTATTTTTATATCGTAGATTTAACAGTTATTTTCCATATTTTGAAGATTCGTAAATATCTATTGAATAAATAGCTCGGTATTTGTTAAGGTTTAATGGCAAATTTAAGTAATTTTACTTTGATTTTCTTTGTTTTTTTTTTACCAGATTAACGCAACCCATGTTTTTAGGACGATTAGTGAGATTTTTCGACCAGCGTCAACGAAACCAAACGTAAATATAAAAGAGCTTATATTTTGCGTAGTGTTTTATTTTAATTAATTCTGCATTTATCGGTTTTTTATCGGTTTGCTTTTTCTTCTTCGTCTTCTTCTTGCATCTAGATTTTTCTTCTTATTATGAACAAAGAACTTCATTAAGTATTTGTTAAAATTAATTTATTATTTTACTCCATTTTTAGTGCAGTACCAATTATTGTGATATTTTTTATCTACTAGCTTTCCATACTTTTTTAGTACATTCTGTCTGCGTATATTCTCTCCTTTTGCTCATCTAATTAATTAAATAGTTTTATTTTCTAATTAACAGACATGTCCTACTTAGCTGGTGTTTGTTTTCTATGTTTACTCACTCGTTCGTTTTTAAAAAGGTGGCGGTTATTTTGTAAATATAGTTTCGTTACTTAATGCGATCTATTCTAATAAAATTATTGTGCAGTGAATGAGCAAAAAAATGGTTCGTTTAAAAGAAACCAATTCGAGCCAGCACAATTAACAACATTTATTTAACAGATTTTGTGATTAACAACGATCCAAATTAACCTTTAATTTACCATCAATAAACGATTATTTCTGCTTTTTTCCTTACCTATTATAATAAAGAAATTTCAAATATACCTAATTTTGATAATATTTCAAGCGTGGTCCAACCGCTGATACTCGGCCAGTACCTTTCGTACTACAACGAAAACTCGATCATCTCGCAGGAGGAGGCCTACTATTATGCCGCAGGAGTAGTACTATGTTCGCTGATATCGGTGCTTTGTATCCATCCCTACATGCTGGGCGTCTGCCATATTGGCATGAAAATGCGAGTGGCCTGTTGCTCGTTGATATACCGCAAAGCGCTCAGATTGAGCAAAGCCTCTTTGGGCGAAACCACTGCCGGTCAAGTTGTGAATCTCCTCTCGAACGATGTCAATAGATTCGATTTGGCCGTTTTGTTCGCCCATCATCTTTGGATCGGTGTACTGGAAACCGTCATTTGTACTTATTTCATGTATTTGGAGGTGGGAATCGCCGCCGTTGTCGGTGTATGCGTGCTGGTTTCGTTCGTGCCTTTGCAAAGTAAGTAAACGGAGTCGCATATAGAAAATCCGGTAGATATATTATACGTTTGATTAATTTTTTTTTTTTTTTTTAGTGTATATCGGTAAGAGAATATCGGTGTTGAGATTGCGAACGGCTTTGAGAACCGACGAGAGGGTGCGGTTAATGAACGAGATTTTGTCGGGTATACAAGTCATAAAAATGTACGCTTGGGAGAAACCGTTCGCTCATCTCGTAGCTCAAGCGAGAAAGTAAGTTTTTAAAATTTTTACTTAAATCAATGATATTTATATCGATTTTTCAGGCGTGAAATACAATTCATCAGGAACACGTCTTTCCTGCGAGGCATCTTCCTTTCGTTCATCATGTACAGCACTCGAATGGCGCTGTTTGTTAGCATTTTAGTGTACGTTTTGTCCGGTTACAATATCACCGCTGAGAAAGTCTTCGTTATAACCTCATTCTACAACGTCCTGCGACAGACGATGACAATATTCTTTCCGCAAGGTATCGCCCAAGTCGCCGAAGCTAGGATATCTATCAAACGTTTGAACACATTCATGCTTTTCGGTGAAATACAATTGAGCAAAAATAACGAGAAAATCCAAAAAATCGACGGCGAGAAGAGCTTAGATTTGAGCAAATCGTCGAACGGCGTCGAAAAGGCGCCGAAGAAGGCCGAATCGGGTGTGTTTATAACCAACGCAACTGCCAAATGGAGCGAAATGTCCATACACAATACACTAACAGATATAAACATTAAGGTTTGTACTATTGTTACCATTCACGTACATATACATTATTATATCGAAACCATTTTTTTTCAAGGCCTATCCAGGACAACTTCTCGGAGTTATCGGACCCGTAGGAAGCGGCAAAAGTTCCTTATTCCACGTGATACTGCAGGAATTACCTTTAAAGGAAGGACAACTCACCGTTAACGGATCGATCAGTTACGCCTCGCAGGAACCTTGGTTGTTCGCTGGAAGCGTAAGACAAAACATATTGTTCGGTCAACCGATGGATAAAGTCCGTTACGAAACGGTAGTGAGAAAATGTGCCTTAGAAAGAGACTTTAGGCTACTGCCTTACGGCGATAAAACCATCGTAGGAGACAGGGGTGTATCGCTCAGCGGGGGCCAAAGGGCCCGGATCAATTTGGCTAGAGCCGTTTACAAACAAGCGGATATTTATTTACTGGACGATCCCTTATCGGCGGTGGATACGCACGTCGGAAAAGAGCTATTCGAACAATGCATTACCGGTTACTTAAAGAATAAAATCGTCATCTTGGTCACGCATCAAATTCAATATTTGCAAGAGGTCGATCACATTTTGTATTTAGAAGACGGTATAGGAAGGACGGGTACGTTCAGAGACTTACAAGCCAGCGGATTGGATTTTACGAGAACTTTGGGCGAATCCACCGAAGTGGAAGATGTAACGAACAAAGAAACGGAAATGACGCGACAATTATCGATCAGGAGCGTCGCTTCGGTGGAAGTGGAAGCTCCGCAAGCGGTAGAAGAGCAAAAAAGTTCCGGCAACATCGGCGGGTACGTTTACAGGTCATATTTCGCGGCGGGCGGTAATTGTTGCGTGATATTCATATTCTTCTTTCTCTTCTTCGCCGCGCAATTGTTCTCGAGCGCTTCGGATTATTACTTGACTTTCTGGTAAGAGAGAATTTACAAATTTTTTAGTAGGTGTTAAATTAAAGCGCGTAAATTATTCCAGGCTCAACAGAGAACAAAAAGACCACGTTCTGAACAAAACGACGACAAATACAAACTCCACCGTTATCTACGAATGGTGGCATTTCTCACGCGAGACCTCCATCTACATCTATTCCTTCATCATAGCATCGCTGGTCATCGTGACGAACGTTCGTTCGTTTACGTTCTTCATCGTCTGCATGCGCTCCTCCACCCGCTTACACAACAACATGTTCACCAGTATAACGCGCGCCACCATGAGATTCTTCAACACCAACAGCTCGGGCAGGATCCTGAACAGATTTTCGAAAGACATCGGCGCCGTCGACGAGCTCCTGCCGCTCGCCATGATCGATTGCATGCAAATCGGATTGGCGTTGCTCGGTATTATCGTGGTGGTGGCGGCGGTGACGCCATGGTTGATGGTACCGACGTGTTGTATAGGATTGGTCTTTTATTTCATCAGGATATTTTACCTGCGTACCAGCAGGAATGTTAAAAGGCTCGAAGGGATAAGTACGTTTCGTTGTAATCGCTTGGTTGGTTTTCTTATCGTTTGCGTTTTGTGTTTGTAGCTAGGAGTCCGGTGTTTTCCCATTTGAACGCCTCGATATTGGGATTGACTACCATCAGGGCGTTCGAGGCGGAGGAGATTTTGAAGCAGGAATTCGATAATCACCAGGATTTGCACAGCTCGGCTTGGTATAGTTTCATATCCACGTCGAGGGCGTTCGGATACTGTTTGGATTTGTTTTGTATGGTTTACATTACGCTCGTTACCTTCAGCTTTCTTTTAATAGGAAACGGTAAGAAGATGACAGTTTAATATTTTTTTTTGATCCGTAATAATTGCTTAAGCGTTGTAGAGAATTTCGGTGGGAATGTGGGATTGGCGGTGACTCAAGCCATCGGTTTGACTGGGATGTTCCAGTGGGGCATGAGACAGTCCACTGAGCTGGAGAATCAAATGACCTCGGTGGAGAGGATATTAGAATACAACAATATAGAAAAAGAGGGCCAGCTGGAATCGGATCCGGACAAGAAACCGCCGGCGAGTTGGCCGGAAAAGGGAAAACTGGAATTCAGGCAGTTGTTTTTGAAATATTTTCCGCAAGATCCGTTCGTTTTGAAAGACTTGACCTTCCTGATTCAGCCGAAAGAGAAAATCGGAATAGTGGGCCGTACCGGCGCCGGTAAATCCTCGCTCATAAACGCTCTATTCCAACTCACAGACACCGTAGGGGATATTCTAATCGACGATGTCAACATTTCCGGCTTGGGATTGCACGATTTGCGTTCGAAAATTTCCATTATACCCCAAGAACCAGTCCTGTTCTCCGGCACCATGAGGAAAAATCTGGATCCGTTCGACGAATTTTCCGGTAAGTTTCCCCAACAAGTACAATAACGTATCAATCCTGGTGTAACTAATTGAGACTATTTATAGACTCGGAGTTGTGGAAAGTGTTGGAAGAAGTGGAGCTTAAGGAGGCCGTGGAAAACCTAGCGGCAGGTTTGAATTCGAAAATGTCCGAAGGCGGTTCGAATTTCAGCGTTGGTCAAAGACAGCTGGTCTGTCTGGCTAGAGCTATCCTGAGGAACAACAAATTGCTGGTTCTGGACGAAGCCACGGCCAACGTCGATCCGCAGACCGACGGTCTTATACAACACACCATAAGGTCGAAATTCGCCGATTGTACGGTGCTCACCATAGCCCACAGATTGAATACAGTCATGGATTCCGATAAGGTTATGGTGATGGATGCGGGCACCATGAAAGAATTCGATCACCCTTACAAACTACTGCAAAACCACGATGGGATATTCTACGGAATGGTGCAAAAAACTGGCAAAACTATGGCTGAAAGTTTACATCAAATAGCTAGAAGAAGCTACGAAAGTACGAGTACTTTATAAATTAATTTGTTGTGAATGTTTTTAGTCCAATTAATATATACATAGCCTAATTAAATTCCATCGCTGAATTGCTGAATTTTTAACGCTACAAAAATGTCTGTAGATACAATATTCATCGTTCAATTCCAGTTAGTTCGAACATTGAGAAGAGATTATGTATTTCAAAATTTCAACAATCAATGCATACAAATGAAATAAACATTTGATGTCAAGAATGTACCCATAATTAACCAATGAGTTCGAACAATGATGTTGTGTACGAAACATTTGATTTGTTAAAGAAATATATTTTTAATAAACAAATAAAAAAATTACTCCACTATAACTCGCCATTTGATTTCGTCGTCACAACTTCGTCACGAAATCTCTCCATTGAAACGTACAAGAATCGAGCAAAATTCTACAGATTAGTTAATAATCACCATACAACATCTTATCGATTCGATTTAATGCGATTTAAATATTTTTTTTACGGAGTTCCGTAAACATTTCGATAAAAAGAACGAGATAAAGGGACACGTGCGCAATAAGGGTTTAATTACATCGTACATCATATAGAGGGTAGTCATCCAACCGTGGAAAACAATAAAGAAACATTTCACCTGCATTTATAATTTATATAAACAAAAAAAACAAATCGCTTCGAGCTCATCAAAACATACGAGCAGAATTTTTAATTCAGCCGCAATAATAAACCAGTCGGTAAGTAAATAATATTAAACGAGTATGTAAAAATATTTTGGTTATTTAGCGAAGTAAAGTATTAACACAGGTGCGTTAATACACAAATCATTCGCACTCTCGAAATAGAAACAATTAGAATGACTGATGACTATCCCTTATCAGCATAGTATATGAAATGCATTAACTGTACGTAGGTAAGTAATATATAATTTTAAAAATACATAAAAAAATATTCGTTACGCAACCATCGAGGAAAATAAATAAAAAAAAAAGCAAACAAAAAACACTCGGTCTAAATGCACCACTTGCAATTTGTCATTTAATCCTCTCTTCACGCTCTCGATGTTTGACAAGTAATTTCATCGAAGGCCCCTTTCGCGAGAGCGCCCCCAAAAAAATCCACACGAATTTCGCGCCCCCTTCGTCGCGCATCCCGTGAGATAGCATTAGAAAGAAACATATGTATCGAAGGGACACCCCTATGAAAAACAATCCAGCTTTTCGTGGGGGCGCAAATCGGCAGGAACTGTATTAAAAGCCCATTATTGATTCAATAGATGCTAATTTGCTATAAGTGTCGGTTAAATTGAGATGCGATATATTCCATTATTCGACTGTGCTTGATGCGTTTATATTTATAATTTACCGGGTAATTTTTATCCTTTCGCACCTGTGAAATTCATCATGCATTATACTTTCTTATTAAATAAGTTATTAAATTCGATAAAAATTAACTATCTATATTATGTACATATATGAGAAATGCGATGCATCTTTAAAGTGTGCAAACTATAAACTAAATTCATTTGCAAAATATGCTCATATTTTTCTATTTTAGTCGCTTAAAATATTAGAGAAATGATATATCTATATTTGCCCCTCACGTGAAACAATAACTCACCCCTCGGTCCTTTGTCCCAGGTGTCCGTTTCTGAGGTGCAAGTTCAGGTCGAAGGTGTAATTTATTTGTCCCCTCCGAATCATGAAAAATATATACCTATAGGCAATATCTACAGGATGATATAAAAATAATAGTCCCCCTTCTTTCCGGGATAAATAAAATTGACAGATTCTTTTGCCAATGCATATAATAATGACCTTTTAAGAGTAGTAATTGCAGTAAGACTTCTTAAAAAATGTTCAACAAAGAAAATTAAAAAAAAATCGTATTCAGAGGCTAGAAATAATATTAGGGTATATTAATTTAAGGGGTGAGTATATTATGGAATCGCCCTGTATAAAGCATATCCGGCTCTTTTTTTGTCAGAATAGACATGCGAAAGGTATTCACGCCAAAATGAAATATGAAGTAATAAATTCTACCCTAAATTTAATATGTATTTTTAATTGCATCGTACTCAATTTAAGTTATTGATGGAAATAAACAATGGCCTATTAGGGGAGGATTTGATAACTTCCGGCCTGCACAGATAGGAAATGCAGCCATCTCGCCGGAGCATTCGAACATTTTCATATAAATAAATATATTTTGATAATAAATTCGGGAAAAGGGAAGGAATACACAGGAAAAGGAAGTGAGGCACTACGGCTGTATACTACTTATTGCAATATACAGGTGCATAGGATAGTTGCACGTTGCGACAATGTTATTACAAGGGGGGGTCAAATAATAGGTATGATATCCAGCTGCGTGGATGGACTTGTTTATGTAATTTTAAATAAATGTTAGGGAGTATTTTAAGTGGCATTAAGATCGGAGCCCCTCTATTCGCGTCGACACCCCTCTAAGGAGATTTTAAAATTTCTATTAACGTGCTCACCGCCGAAAATAATGCGGATTTATTTTAGATAGAAAAAAATATATAGCGATAGGAGATGATATCGTAGAATTGGTCGATAAAAATTATGAAGCTTTTTTATTATGCTAAACATTCTTTTGTCGCTTATAATGTCCACATGATATACTCGATTCGAGTAGTTAGAAAAGCTTAACTTCGGAGGTAATTTTAACTGATAAAAAATTGGTAATATATTGGCTATATTAAATTAGAACTTTTCCGAATTATTCTGTTATTGTTTCTTCAATTTTTCGCCATCTTGAATACCGTGGGAATCCAACAGCTTCAGCCAATAACAACGAGGGAAAGATATTGACGCACGGTTTTCCCGTCGCGACGCCGACGGTTTTGCTCCTCATCCTGGGAAATTTTACAGGTGTTTTTCCGATTCGTTTGTAGGTGATTTTTCTGTTGATATGTTAAACTGGAATTTTCTTGGCCCATGACACGAACCCGACTCTTGCACAAAATTAGCTCAAAAGTTGCAAATTAATTTGTTCAGAGTTACCTATAAATAAGTTAATATAGGTAAGTAATTACAGCTCAGAGTTACTGAGTTGATGATTTAGGAGGAATTAGTAGATAATAGAGATGCCACATAAAAAGATATTGCATTTTGATATGTTACTAAGATGAGATTTTCTTATTGAGACATATTGTAGGTAAGTATTTGCAAAGTAATAAGGGCATTCCTAAAAAGAAAATGAAGAAAAATTTACAAACAAACCGAAATAGAATAAGTGTTGATATGTTACATATGATTATACAGATTTATAATAATAATTATTGACTTGATTAGAAGATTCATAGGCTTTAAACCATCATATCAGGAAAAAATCAACCGTGTATACCTATATAGGAAAAAAATAAATAAGAAAGGGATCAGAAAAGAGAATGAGATACTTCTACGAGTATAAGAGATAATGATTGATTATAAAAAGAATTATTGTAGGTAGGTAGATCTGATAATCTCAGTTATGTTTTTTTATGTAAATAAACACACAAGTAGGTATACACCTACTATTATTTCTACAGCTTTTTATCTAATAGGCTCTATACATTTTTTTTATCATATCTAGCACAAAAACCATCAAAAGTATACTAAAAATTACAACTTAATTCCAAATAATGCATATTTTACTATACCTAATTTAAATCTTAATCAACCTGCACTTTACATTACCAAAAAAAAAATCACTTTTTGCATTAAATATCGAACAAATTTCCATATACAACAAACTCCAATCGATATTGAAATCGCTAAGGGCAAAACGAGGAGTGGCCACGTTTCCCACACTACAAACCTCCGTATCCAATCCTCGCGTTCTTCCACGGATCTTCCTTGCCCCGTTTTCGGGCAAACCGTTCCGGACTCTCCCGGACTCCGATCAGTCTCCCTTCGTTTTGCGACACGTGCTCATTCGACTGGTACACGTGCCGGTCGCGCGCGCTCAATCAAATCCCGATTAAAACCACTTCCGAACAATTACAAGAATCAACAACAAAAAAAAATGGTCAGGTGAGATAAAATATGTGCGGCGCCATGGAAAATCTCGACTTGGATGCTGTGAATAGACAATACTTTTTCGATAGCAGTCATTTCGTGAACGCGAACGGCAACAGTAACGGCAGTACCACCGGATCCTCTAACGGCAGTGATTTGTTCTTCTACGAAGAGAACAGCAGCGATTCGGCTGTATCCAGTTTCTCCTATGGCAGCGACCAAGAAAATCAGGCCGAATACAAAGAGTAAGTATAAGCCTATAACGCATTCCTAATGAAGAGTTTCTGAAGCGTGCGAAATCCCACGGGAAAAGTGCTCAATAAAATGATAATTGAATCTTTCAGTCGTCTCCACAGGCACAGGAGAAGGAACAAATGTCCTCAGCAGCAAATTCAGCAACGCCAAGCGGCCAATTTGAGAGAGAGAAAACGGATGCAATCGATCAACGACGCTTTCGAAGGCCTAAGGGCCCACATACCGACGTTGCCCTACGAGAAGAGACTGTCCAAAGTCGACACGTTGAAACTAGCCATAGGATACATTAATTTCCTCAGCGAATTGGTAAGGACCGACAACAATTCGAATACGGAGTTCTTCAACGGTCACAACAGGAATTTGAGGCAAGACGAACCCAAAAAAATCATCATAAGAGGTAGGAATATACTTTACCTCAAGTATCCCATTAGTTCTTACTTCGTTATAGAAGGAATACCTACCAATAACATTGCCTATTAGATTACAATTCCCCGAACCTCAGAAACATCCCTCGTATATGTTAAAAAAAAGTTGCTAATATTGTACTTGCCTCGTCGAGTGCATTTATGCACCTCCTCGTATATGTTATCTCGATGGGGCGTTCTTATCGCCTCGAATATCACAACCCGCTATCACAACAGAAATCGCCGTGACATCGAAGAACAATTGTTTGGCGTATTTGAAATTGATTATGTCAGGGTCGAGGGGAGAGCAAGACCTTTTTTTTTTTCAGCGGTGGTTTACCAATTTCGATTATCGACGCTAGATAATAATGGTAAATGAACCACCCCATCAAAGCGATTCGTTACGCAATAGGTACAAACAGCTGCCCTTTATACCAGCATTATTCGGAGGACTGTATGAATTTATTGTGACGGTGTACAACTTAATTGACGTTATATGTTGTTGTTGTTTTAGTTTAGAATGTTGTGTTGTTGCTATATATTAATTTTTTTGTGATATGTAGGTGGTGGTGGGTTGTACACTGCCCATTCGTTGTCGTGGTCGAGGGTGAAGGAGACGAATCCGAATGGGATAATGCACGCAAAAGTTTGGGTTCCGGAGGATCCGAGGGCCGGTAAAGACGGTGCTAATAGTTCCGCTTCGTCGTTCAATTTGTCTTCGGAGTGATTTATATAACGTGTATTTTTGTTGATTTTATTATTGCGGATCGTTTGCGAAGATGATAACTTATTAGTTTTCGAACTTGAAAAGTCGAATGAATGTTACGGGTGATACTACTATATTTTTTCTCTTGTGAAAATGAAACGAAATTATCGTAAGTTTTTTGCAGGCGTTTCATATCATGCGGGTAGTTTTAGGAGAATTATCAAATTTTTAAAAACACATATGGAGAATATATATCTCATTTTTTGGCTCAAAAATTGTAATTACATAATAATTATTAGTAACGTCAATTCCATTACAGTATAAGAATTTTTAATTATGTAATATACCTGCTACAATTTTTTTCTAGTCAAGTTTATCTAGTCATGTTGCAATTTTTAATACTCAAAGTGTATATAAATTATAAATAAGAATTTTTAATGGCGTTTTCACAACTTTACGAAATAATTAAATTTATTTTTGTTTTTTCTTTATATTTCTTTGCTTGTGCTAATCTACATTACCTAAATGTAAATTACTCGTTTTTTGTTTATTATTATTATATATTTTACTTCCAATCATTCTGTCCATCTTTACCTAATATGTGCTATATGCAAGTAATAAACATAAAATACCAATCCCATTTACTTATTATAACAGACAACAAAATTATGACAGAAAACAAGAAAAACTGCAAGAAGCACACAAGAAAACAAGAAAATCTATGAAAATTTAAAATTTTTCTTCTTCTTTTGCAAAATTAAAACACTAACTTCATGCAGTTGTAACCGGCAAACCTAAATAAAACAGACCAATTTTGAAAGAGAAGAAGTGACATTGACGTCTTCTTCTTTTTGCAAAATAAAACACTAACTTCATGCAGTTGTAACCGGCAAACCTAAATAAAACAGACCAATTTTAAAAGAGAAGAAGTGACATTGACGTCTTCTTCTTTTTGCAAAATTAAAACGCTAACTTCATGCAGTTGTAACCGGCAACTCTAAATAAAACAGACCAATTTTAAAAGAGAAGAAGTGACATTGACGTCTTCTTCTTTTTGCAAAATTAAAACGCTAACTTCATGCTGTTGTAACCGGCAAACCTAAATAAAACAGACCAATTTTAAAAGAGAAGAAGTGACATTGACGTCTTCTTCTTTTTGCAAAATAAAACACTAACTTCATGCAGTTGTAACCGGCAAACCTAAATAAAACAGACCAATTTTGAAAGAGAAGAAGTGACATTGACGTATGACGTTTGACGTTTGACATATTTTCCAACTACTTCTAAAATTAACGCGCTATTGAATTCTTAAAAATTTAAACTAATTATTCAACATATATTGTGTTAAACGCATTTGTAAATTGAAAAAAGAAGTTAGCAAACTCGGTAACGCTCGTTATCGTTCAATACCTTCTCTAATTTCTCAATCGGCAATACTGTTTATGTGTAACCCGATAGTACGATGTTAAAAACTTGTCCGGATCCGATAGATGTGCAGGTAAATTTATACAGGCTCTGCTAATTTTAACATTTTCTATTCTTTAATAATCTTTAGGACATCAATTTCAAACTGCATTGCAGTTTGGAAGTATTTAAAAATAACGATCTTGGTACATTTGCTGTTAATCAAAGCCTAATATCTTGTGCCAGTCGATATGGTTTGCTATTCGTTGGAACCAACTTAAGTGTTTTAAAAGGTAGCATTTTCTTTATTTCTTTACAACGATGTTAATTATTCTAATTGTATATTCGTAGTTATTCAGTTAAAATGTGTGGAAAATTTCACACCGAAAGACAAAGTTATATCGCAGTTTCCAAGAAGGAATGTCCCTCTACCTTCTCCATCGAAACATGTTTGCGTTAATTGCGATAATACGTTGCTAGCTGTTGTGATCGAGAAAGATAGTTGTCCCATTGTATTGTTTTATGAAGTGCTGTCTTTTTACAAGAAAAATATTAATGTTATTAACGAAGTAAGACTCTCGTCGACTCCTGGAGTACATGTGACTGAAATTAATTGGAATCCCGCTGTGCCTAATATTTTTACAGCTTCTAAAAGTGACGGAAGCCTCGGCAATTACGAACTCAAAGGTACTTAAAATGTGATAGTGAAGCTTCGTTGTACAAACAATTAATTGTATTTTTTAGGTAACTCGGTGGATATAAATGAAATTCCTGCAGCAGCGGAATGTTCAAGTTTCTGCTGGAGCCCCAAAGGAAAACAAATCGCCGTAGGATCCAAAAATGGCAATATCACTCAATATAAACCCGATTTGAAGGCAGTTAAAGTCATACAGGGTCCTAAACTTGAGTCGCCGCATTCGCTCATTTCCCTCTGCTGGATATCAAACTATCAGTTTATTGGAGTTTATCAAGCTCTACAAGAAGATGGGCAAGCTAAGCTTATAGTTATCGATGCTCCAAAAACCGGTGAACCCGTTTATACTAATTACGAAGATGTTTGCTACAGTGGTACGAGTAGAAAACCACAATTTTACTTTACTTTATTACAAAATTGGTAAGTTTTATTTAAATTCTTTTACGTGAGGTGGTTAATTGATATTTTTCTATAGGAACATGCTTATGGTAGCATCTTCAAACAGCATGGAATTGGGTTTGTTAGGATCCGTTTCTGATGTTTGGACCCAATGGATCGTTCCCGATTTTGCTCGAGCCGAGCTCCCTTTAAGTCCTGACAAACAGGATACTCTTCCAATTGGTATGGCCCTTGATGTGAGCAATACTCAGCCATTACCATGGCAGGAGGGTTTTCTAAGTCCATGTCCATATATTTTACTGTTATCTCACGTGGGAGTTTTGTACTTTTTCAACATTGTTAACTTAAAGGCTGGCATTCCGTCTATTTGTTGTCCTCCTGATAATATTACAGACATGAGCGGAATGGATCAGTTTGTTTTTGATACAATCGAAACGGTGCCAAAAAGTGAGTGATAGTAAATCGTCGATTTTTGTTAGAATTATCGAGTTTGATCTATTACAGGTGTACCTCAAGCTTCGTCATTCTCTTTTGGGGCCATAGAACCACAAAAACCATCAATACAGCCGGCCAATCCGCAAATCCAGACGAGTAGTAGTTTCAATTTCGCAAAACCAGCACCTCTTCCTTCGTTTGCCGCTACCACAATGTCGGCGCCGCCGAACGTTTCATTATTCGATAAAAGCGTCGAAAATAAACCTGCATTCGGGGCTCCCTCGAATCTCGTGCCCGTTAAACCTCAACCACACACCGAGGCGTCTTCCGTGCACACTCTATTCAAAAACCCTTCGATCAGTTTAACTCCCATTGCTAAAACGCCGACTGTCCCTGGCGAAAATCAGAAATATTCGCCGATATTCTCTGCTCTACAAACGCCGATTGCGGAGAGCAAACCGGCCGTGGTTAGTTCGCAAACTGTTGCAGTCTCCGAGGCTCCTGAAACTCAAATTCCGAGAACTCCGAAAAATATGGCGCTCGATGTGACCAAAGGTAATGTGGATGTTAAAACGGCGGTTGGAGAAAAGGTTAAGATCGAAACGGAAGCTTTACTGGCAAATATGGTACGAGACGAATGCCTGGCATTAGAATCGGAATTGAAGGCGTTGCTGCACCAAGGGAGAAAAATTAATATTAACATTGGTACTGACGATGAAAAAACGGTTATGGTAGAAAAATTGGAGGATTTGAAAGAGTTCATTAAAGAAATCGTTGATATTAGCCTAGGAGAAAGCGCGGAAGTAAGTTATTCTTACTACATCGAAAGATTATTGTTTATTTAACTGTCATTTGTAGATTCATACTCTTAAACAAAACCTTATTTTATCGTGGGCTTGGTACGAGGAAGCTCTATCGAGATACAATATATCCAAAGATGAAACTATGACGACTTTACTAAAGATACAACCGTTAGATTCCGCTGCTGAAAAACGACAGAGTGACATTCGAAAAATATTTTACTATTTGGAGTCTCAGTTGTATCAAGCCAGTAAAGCTTTAGACGAACAATGGGAAAAATTCCAGGTATGTTATTAAATTTATAATATTGTATGTACATTCTTTTAAGGTACAATCTACTTTTTAGGACTACGCCAAAAAATCATACAAAGTGAAAATGCCGACTATGGAAACTATTTTTCAATCTCTGGTTCGTCAGAGCGCAATACTACAGAAGCAGGTTAATACATTTAATAAATACTTGAATTATTATTACCCAATTTATATTTTAGAGTTATATTCTAAAGGATATAACAAGCCGATTGAAGTCTAAAAGGCCGTCTACGAATGCTTCCTTATTTCTATCCATAAATAACGCAGATGAATTGGAAGAAAGTCTTTCACGTCTCCAACTAGACCCCGACGATGGACACAAAATACTTTACGAACAAGCAATCAAACGAAACAAAAAGCAATCGTCCTCGAAATGCAAGAAAATCAGAAATCTACTGAACATCGTCGAAGTCACCCACATAACGGTCGTAAAGCCCCAACTGAACAACTCCATCTCGTTAATTAAATCGCCTACCGCGAAAAACAAGTTGCTCGTTTCGTTGTTGGGAGCGCAAATGTCTCCGGTTCCGAAGCCATCGTTTTCTAAGCAATTGAATTTCATGGAATCGACACCTATAAAATTCACGTCTACGACGGTACCGCCGAACACGCCCGCCCAACCAGACACCCATTCAAAGTTATTCGCTTTCAAAGGGGGCGAACCGAGAAGCATCGTCGTACCGTCCAGGGCGATGTCATCGGCTTTCGTTTCTACCACCTCTAAACCTTCATCAGTTTCTTCTTTAACCGACGATCCTTCTTGCATAACGATCAGTAATCCATCTCAATTCGATTTTAGCGGAAGCAGTACGACCTCGGCCATTCAAAAGCAGGAATCCGCTCCTGTAGTTAGCACTTTTACCGGTAATGCCGCTGTTGGTTTCGTTACTCCGCAACATTCGATGGCCTTTAGTAAATCGACTGTTGATTCTACGGCACTGTCATCGGTTAAATCGGATGGTATTGCTTCTTTTTCTTTTGGAAAATCATCATTGCCTGCAACAGCCGATACCACATCGACGATTGTAAAATACGCTGCTAAGCCGGTCGCAGTTTCGGTTCCTAAAGCGACAATTCCGGAGAATAGAAGCGATAAAACTACTTCAATTACTATGAAACCTACTGTTCTTAGTGCTCCGAATGTTTCGACTAAAACTTCCACTATTCCGACAATGAAACCGATTTCTTTCGGTGCTAGTACTATAAAACCGACTGATGTAGCTACAACGACGGCTACCACCACCAGCAAACTGGCGGGTTTCAAATTCAACGCCGCTACGACGACCACCACGTCTTTGTTCGGTTCCATTACTTCTCCTACTGTTGTTTCGTCAATGTTTAGCGCCAAGCCTATTGTAACATCCGATGCATTCGTCTCTAAAAAAGTCGATGCCGCCGTTGCTTCAAGTGGAAATTCGCTGTTTTCGACTATTCCACCCAAGGCTTCAGAAACTGCCGTCGGTATTGTATCGTCTACGGTAACAACTCAATTCGGTTCCGCTACGGGTACTAATACTACGATTTTCAATACCGATTTAGCGAAATCGAATACAACTTCAATATTCGCGACTTCTCCTGCAACCGCAGAGTTACCTAGTTCCTCTGTATCGGCCATTGCCAGTCAAATTTCATCATCGGAAACGACTAAACCTTCCATTTTCGGTCAACCTACGGTTTCGATATCGTCTAGTAATACGGCAAATGCAAATTTACCTTTATTTACGAGTGCTTCAGCTACGTCTCAGACGTCTATTTTTGGTGGTTCTCCGAAAACTACTCAATCACCATCGTTCGGAAGCCTTCCCGTTTCATCACAATCTATTTCGAAGCCCGATTCGACCAGCGCGCCTATTTCTATTTTTAACACTTCAGCTGGAACTGTTGCCAGCACAACGGCTTCTATCTTCGGATCGAGTTCTATTAGTACTGCTACCTCCGCTCCGACTCAACCCGTTTTTGGAGTTAGTAATGTTAGCGCCGCTTCCTCCGTTGCATCTCCATCTATTTTCGGATCTAGTAATATTGCTGCCACAGCTGCTGCAACATCTTCGTCAATTTTCGGTTCTAGTAGTGTTGGTGTTGCTACCACCGCTGCGGCGTCTCCATCGATTTTCGGCTCTATTGGATCTCTATTGGCCGCATCTCCGCCTACTTACGAATCATCTACTAGTAGTCAATCCGTCGTTTCTAGCTCTTCTGCGGCTACTTCGCAACCGTCTATTTTCGGAGCAACCGACACTAGCGGTCCCACAACGACAACGCAACCGTCTATATTCGGCGCGAGCACCACCAGCAGTCCTGCAACTACGGCTCAATCGATATTCGGCTCTGCCACAAACACCACTTCTATATTCGGCGGTGCCGCTACATCTACGCAACCTTCTGTATTCGGTTCCAATACAACCGGCGCCCCTGCTTCGGTATTCGGCGGCAGAACGACGCAATCGTCGATTTTCGGTTCCAATTCTCAAACGTCCGCTTTCGGTGCCGTCTCGCCGACGACTCAACCGTCATTATTCGGCGGTACGACCTCTTCGAGCGGTTCGATCTTCGGTGGTACACCCACCACGCAAACGTCCATATTCGGTTCAACCACCACGACGACCCAATCGTCCGTGTTCGGTACGAATGTATCGTCGACTAGTTCCGGTTCGATATTCGATAATGCAAACGCCAGCCCAGCGTTCGGCGGTGGTTCGGGTTTCGCGCAGTCGAGTTCGATTTTCGGCGCGAAAACCACGACTAGCAGTTTCGGTAGCCCCAACGCGTTTGGAATGGTCCAAACGACCACGGCGTTTAATCAATCGGCGCCGTTTGGTGGCAACACCGCCTCCGTGTTTGGAGGAACACCCACGACTTCGAGCGGCGTGTTCGGTAATAATTTCGGTGCTGTGAGTTCCTCCGGCGGTGCGTTCGGTTCGGCGGCGAATTCGTCGTTTAGTTTCGCTTCGGCCGGAAATACCGGCGGTTCGTTAGGATTTGGCGATTTGAACGTTGCCAGTTCCCCAACGTCAGGCGGTAGTATCTTCGGTGGTAGTTCCGGTTTCGGTCAGACGCCTCCTGCGAATCCTTTCGCTAAAGCCGGTGAACAAAAATCGCCGTTCGGCGCTAGTCCGAGCATTTTCGGAACTCCTTCTTCTACTAGTAGTTCTATATTCGGTGCGAACGCTGGTGCGAGCGCTTTCGGCGGTACTACGCAAAACGCCTTCGGTTCCCCTTCGGGTTTCGGTCAACCGGCTACTTTTGGACAGAGCACTTTCGGCGGTAGCCCGACGTTCGGGTCGAACGCGTCGGGCCCGTTTAGCGCCGGCGGAGCCGGAGTAGGACAAACCGGGTTCAGTTCGACCAACGTTTTTCAAAAATCCCCGCAAGGTAGTGGATTCGGAACGCCCCCGGTGTTCGGTGGTACTCCCAAACCGGCGTTTGGTACGAATCCGAGTTTCGGAAGTTCGCCCGCTTTCGGCGCCGCTCCTGCTTTCGGGAGTCCTTCTAAAGTTTTCGGAGCGGCAAGTCCATCATGTAAGTAGACGTTTTGTTTTGGAATTGTTCGGGTTGTTGGGATTTAATGTGTGTTGGTTGTTTTTAGCGACTTTCGGGCAATCGACTGAAAACGCGGCTTTTGGGAATTTGGCCACGCAAAATACTGTGGGATTTGGAAGTTTAGCCCAGCAGGCCGCCAATACGAGTTCGGTTCCATTTTCTGGGTAAATACTAGAAATTATTCGATTATTCGTTCTCATCTTACCGTTTCCGTTTTAAATTTTAGGAATTCTTCGTTCTCAAATTGGAGATAAATTACATTTTCAAAAAGGTAAAAAAAAAGCCTATATTGTATTCGATTTTTTTCTTTATTAAACGTGTTTATTTTTGAAAATATGTACACTATTGTCACTTCCGCCGGAAACCATATACTTTTTATTCGACCAATCCACTTTTAATACCTGACCTTCGTGCCCTTGTAAGTTGTACAAAGGAGCTTTGGAGCTTCTAACATCCCACATTTTCACGGACGAATCGTAACCGCCCGATATGAAAAGATTCGTATCGTAATTCGACCAAGCCACGGAACTCACCCACAACGAATGCGATGTAAACGTGACTTTACACAAAGATCCCTCGGAAGATCTCGGATCGTACAATCGTATGTGCCTGTCAGCCGACGAAGCCAAAAGAGTGTTATTAATCGATGACCACGATGAACTTAGATACGCCTTTTGTCCGACGATTTCGTTTTTTATGCCGCAAAGCTGAAAATCTCGGCGTAAGAATCATTTCGGCATAATATAAAATCGATAAAAACAATACCTCGGCGTCCCAGAATTTAATAGTGTGGTCCATCGAAACCGTCGAAACGGCATAATTGTCTATCCAATTAATCCCGGTGATGGCCTCCTTGTGGCCCTTCAGGGTGTGCAGAGGGGTTTTCGTAACGATGTTATTGGTCGAACGGATTTTTTTGTGAACGTGTTCGCTCCCATCGTCGTCTAAAGAAGTCGACCATAGCTTCAAATTGGTATCCCAACCTCCGGTAGCCAATCTCGCTGTATTAGGGCTCACTCCTAAGCTATCTATGCCCCTTTCGTGGCCCCTGAGTAGAGCTTTCGGGGCTGCGCTATCCGTGCCTGCAAATATTTGCAACGATATATGAAGAGAATAGAATTATAGGGTGATTGTTTTTTTAATTACCGTCTTCGTATGACCAAATAATACCGATTAAATCGTGTGAAACGCTGATGAATCCTCTGTTAGGATCAGATTTATCTATCCAAGATACTGCCTTAACGATGTTTTTATGTTCTTTCAGTGATGCCACCATTTTTCCGTGTGTTGACCAAATATTCACTGAATTGTCGTAACATCCTGTTAGAATCCTACAACAAGATTTATTTTCATATTCGGTAGCAATAAAAAAAGTAAAATTAAATGCCTAAAACATTACTTTACCTACCACTTTTCTGTTGCTTCTATACCACAAACCCAATCATCGTGTAGTAAAGAGTCCTTGGGCTCCGGCGCCGGAGTTTTTTCCACATATTCTATCTCTACAGTAGTTTCCGTAGATATATTACGTTCTGCTAAATGCTCGATAAGCGGAACTCTCAGCAGCTCTCCGATGGCCAAAAAATCGAAATTCTTCGGCTTCAAATGATCGGAATTGCTTTCTTTTAACAACTGATTCACTAAATCGTTCAAAGAGTTCCCGTCTATGGTTTGAGGAACGGAGAGCGGAACATCAGGTACTGCATATCTAAACGCGAATATATTTAAATAAGTTTAAATAATTTAATAACGGTAATTATACTTACATTTGTTGCTTTGTAATTAGTCTAATTTGGAGATGACCCTCGTTTGAATTCTGCATTTTGTTGTAATTAAATTAATTTTAACCTTATTTTGAAAACACAGCAATCACGTAAATTAAGAGAGGTTATATTTATCTTCTTTTTTTTTATTTCACTTCAAATTTGGCCTTCTTCTTATACTGTACACAGGACTCTTTCTTCTTCTTCTTTTTGTTACATGGCCTCTTGCGTCATGGCGCATCCGGCCAGCTTACATACGAACTACCATAGACAAAATATCTTTCTTTCTCTATGCGAACTACTTTGTTTTAAAATTACAAAGTTAATAAAAAAGAAGAATATTGAGCGGCAAATTATCGATTCTTAACCATACATTTTTAATTTTTATAAAATGCATTGGGGCCGGTCGTGATAATCTAATTCAAAGTTATGGAGAACGAAGAATTAAATGATAAAAAAAGCTCAGTTTGCCGCATATGCCTGGAATATGATAATGAAATGTTATATTTATTCGACTTGACTGTTATCGATGAAAAGGAAAAAGCAATGGACTATTTGTTTAAAGAGTGCACCGCAATAGAAGTATAGAAGATTACATTTTCACATTAAAATATTTTTAACTTGTACCCCGTTTTGCAGGTAACACAAAATGATAATTACCCCCAATTTATCTGCCAGCATTGTTTCGAACAGCTGAAACAGTTTTATTTATTCAAACAAAAATGCTACAAATCACTGGAAAAGTACAAAGCGAACTGTGAAAATGTACCATCCATTAAAGCAGAAAATTATGAACAAGAATCCTATTCCGAAATTGCTACTAATTGCGACAGTGATTCAACTGAAATCGAAACTCTAAAATTATCTTGCAACGTTTGCGGGAAATCATTTTCATTCGAAACCGACCTTAAAAACCACTTAAACGAATGTTGCAGTAGAACTAAATTGTTGTGCAAAATATGCGGAAAACAATTTACCAGGTAAATATTTTTATATTTATTATACCAAGATCAATTTAAAACATTAATTATTATTCCAGATATTCGAGTGTAAAACGCCACATGACCACCCACACGGGATTGAAACCCTATTCTTGCCCTCACTGTAATCGCAGTTTCACCCAATCAGGAACGCTATCCCTGCATTTGCGATTGCACAAGGAATCAGTAAACCTAAAGAAACCCAATTCGAAAACTACAAGCAACTTACACCTGTGTTCCATTTGCGGTAAATCATTCAAACAAACCTCTTCGCTAACCGTTCATCTTCGAAGACACACCGGAGAGAGGCCTTATCCATGCAAAATATGCCACAAGAAGTGGGTTATTTAAAATCGAACACTCGCTAGTTTTGATTGTTTTATTTTCAGGTTTATATCGAGCAGTAAATTGTCTTCACACCTGAAAATTCATTCCAACGAAAAGCAGTACTCGTGCAAACAGTGCCCGAAGACCTTCTCCCAGTCCGCTACTTTGAGCAAACATTTAAGAACTCATTCAAACACGAAACCGTACCCGTGCAATTACTGTTCGAAACAATTCTCGTCGTCCTATTACAGGAATATTCATCTCCGCAAGCACACAGGTGGGTATAGTTGATTAACGAACGATTCGTTATTAGATAATTTATTTTTAGGCGAAAAACCGTTAGTTTGTATAATATGCCAAAAGTGCTTTTCGGATCCCAAAAACATGAAGGAACATTTGGCTGTACACACCGGCGATAAGCCATTTTTATGCGTGACCTGCGGAAAGAAATTCAGGAGAAGCCACCATTTAAGAGTGCACATGGCGGTGCATCGATCAAAAAAACCACCACTAACACAAACAACTATTTTTTGAAACATATTAAAACTTGTTTGTATCGAAGCGCGTTCCGAATGCGTGCAATGAAAATTAATTATGCATCAACATTAACTCTTCCATGTAATGAATCGTAGCCGCGATAAATAATTCAAAATTAAACATTTAACGAACGATGAGCCGGTTTGTGTAACGGCTACTTTCACATGGGTTATTGATTAGCTAAATGTCTAGTTTAATAAATAATTAATATCCTAAATGCACAATCGATGATTTCCGGTAAATAACAAGTTAAAGTGCACCAGCGTTTCGTAATGATGGGAGAGAAATCGCGGCGGATTAAAAAGAAGAAAACGGCCAAGAAAATAATTTTCTCGGACATTTGGAGGTTCTTTTTGACCAACACCAGCATACACGGATGTAAAAGAATATCGGACAAGAAAATATCGCTACTAGAAAAGCAAGTACACCAATGTATAATTAAATCAAAAGAGTAATAGTAAATATTCCAGGGCATTGTGGATCACGTTTTCGCTAGTTTCAATCGTACTCACGTTCATCATTTTGCAAACATTGTGGAACGATTACGTGAATAATCCGATATTCATAGCGCGCGATCCCGTTGATATTCCCGTAACGGAAATCAGTTTTCCCGGTGTGGCGATTTGCAACATCAATAAAATCAGCAAGAAAAGAGCGCTTCGCTTCGCCGAAACTTTACATTCGTAAGTGGACAATTAACGAGAACATCCAATCGATTTACACGATAATTTTCCACAGGCAACATTCGTTCATCAGGGAAAAATTCCACACCGTATCCGACCTAGCCGAAGCCCTAAGACTCCTAGCGAATCTCTACGATTACAGCGACATTCGCGTCGATATCGCCCAAACTCTACAAGATATACTCGAAAAATACGATAATTTAACCGACGACGTCAATCTGGTGAAAAGGTTGATACATGTAAGTGTGAATAATTCGCTATAGAAGCGGGTAATGTTTGTTTTAAATGCTTTTCAGTTGGCTCCCGCCTGCAACGAGATATTAGAAAAGTGCAAATGGGGCGGCAGAGATTACGAATGTCGCGATTTGCTGTTCACGAGAGAGACTTTCGACGGTTTCTGTTGCGTTTTTAATTACGTCAAGCGACGCAAAGGGGCGGCTAAACTGTACGTAAATAGGACAACCTGTATAAATATTCAAAAAAAATGTGTTTTAGAATCCACGAAACCGCCGACACTGTAAGAAATCCTTACAACGGTGCAGGGCAAGGTATAGATAAAGGTTTGCAATTGACTTTGAAGAATAATTTAGAGGATTATTTCTCGACTACGTTAGAGACAAACGGGTATATCGTATCGATCTTTAATCCTAGAGATTACGCGGATAAGAGCAGCGGATCTCTGACGGAAATTGTAGTTAATGCTGGTACAGAAGTATTCGTTTCCATACAGGTATCTGTTGTTAATTCGCAACAATCCATAAGGATGTTCCCTTGGAAAATGGTATTGTATTTTTTTCACTGCTCTATTTACGATCTATCTGAAGAACTAATATTTTAGAGAAAATGTATATTTAACGATGAGATTCATACGGAATACGGGGATTTTAGAAACAGCGACTGCTTGGCAGTATGTAAAATGAAAGCGATGAAAAACCTTTGTCAATGCGTCCCCTTTTTCGATCCAATAGGCGATTACTCGTTCTGCAGACTCACCGATTTACCTTGTTTATCCAATTTCTACAGTAGGTTCTAAATACTTTCTATAAAACCTCGTAGATTTTACCTAAACGATGAATTTATTTAAGGAAAATGGACGAGTTATTACCCGACTGGCGAGTCATCTCCTAGTTTGAATTTCGAAAGGGAGGACTCCATTAATTGCGAACATTGCCTACCGGCTTGCAATGATCAGATTTATCACGTTTCTGTCGATACCTCGCCGATTAAAATTAATTCGTAAGTTGCTCATTTGATCAAACTAGATTCTCCATATATTTAATAATACTTTCAGTAATAACAAAACGTACGTAAACGTTTACTTTCAACATCCATTCGGTGCTGCGTATAACCGACGATTGACGCAAGAATGGTACCAATTATTGAGTAATTTTTACAGAATAATTACGGGAAGATTTTATAATAATAAGTTCTCGTTTTTAAGGTAACTTTGGAGGATTCATTTCGTTGATAATGGGCTTGAGTTTCATAAGTTTCGCTGAAATACTATTGTTGGTATTAAAATTGATCGTTTATTATTATAATCGAATAATTAATGATACAATATAAAATCAAAAAAGATTTACAATCTAAAAAAATATAATTATATCTAAACTAATTCTAATTTTAGTATTTCCAAAGTGAATTTTTGAATATGCATTTGAATACTAATCGAAATGAAATTAACGATTTATTCAATTGACTCTGAAAATACTAATAAATTCTTGTAAACTCTGAGAATACTACATGCAAAACTTACTGTGTATCGAATAAATTAACCAATTTATACGACCCGTTCTAGAGCATCGATAGGAAATGACCAAACGAAAAGGATTCATTCGTAAAAGAAATTTCAACAAAAAAACCTTACTTGAAAACTAAAACAAAACAAAAATTTGTCAAAAAAAAAATTCGCTGCAAATTATCCGTATAAATTACCAGGGAAATCTTGGTCAGACAAATTGTCTTCGTCGATGTCCGAATCGGGAGACTTGTGCCTCTTCCTGCCGTAAGCTCGCTTACTGGTCGTAGGCAATTGATCGGATTCACCGTGAAGAAGGGAATTCCTGTAGAGTAAAAGTGGCTGCCAGTCCTCGCCCCTGCTGCTCGGCATTCCTACAACAAATCCTCGCGTTATATACAAACCAAATATCACTTTACCAAATCGCACGTTACCTGTAGTGATTCGTTTATCCAAGAAACCCATAACGACTCTCTTGTCTTGCTTGAGCAGCTTATTCGTGAATTCGGTCAGGATTTCCAAAAACGACAAATTCGGAGGGGGCCCCGTGGGGTCTTCGGCGTTCTCGGCTCCCGTTACGGAGAATATAATTCCCGCCCGATGTAAAGCAGTAATGGCTTCTCGATTTTTCACAGCGTCCAAACCAAACGACAATGCGAACCTCTTCGCTAATTCCTGTCCGAAATAACATTTAATCGCTAATTCGAACGATCGCATAACGCGTTACAAACCTTCAAGGCGAAGAATTCTTCGTGCTGTCTGGTATTTCTACCGCCGCTGAGCCTTTGCACCTCGTTAAACATCATATTCAAGCTGAGGCACATGGTGAGAGCGCAATTAACTTTATTTATCTCTCTAGCTTTGCTCAGAGTCGCTTTGATAATGTCTCCGTACTCGTTATAATACTTTACGTAGTGCTTAAACACATCGGCACCAGCTTTCGTAGGCATTATATTATACACTATCAATTTGCAAAAGGCCGCTAGGAAATTTCGTCGCTTGTGCAACCCTTCGATTCTCAATTCGTCGTGATCCGCGTCTTGTTCGGGCACGAAAACGTAACTGAAAATCGTATTTTTTTAGTGTTACAGATCGATTCGATTATTAACAATAACTTACGTTTGTACGAACTCGTTTAACAAAGCTTGAAGGTTTTTATCGGGGCTACAAGTCAATTCGGCTAGCGAAGTAGACGTGCTGCTCAATTGCTCGCTGAAGACGATCAGCAAATCGCAAAGACCGATGTAAGCTTCTTCCTATAACGTATAAATCGAACGTACACTGATGAATTAATAAAAAAAAAATAGCTTACTTTTATAATTGCGTGTTGGGATGATTTGATTAACATTTGGGAGGATTCGATGAATTCGTCTAGTTTATCTCTAACTTCTTGTATGCGAGAATGGGTTAAACCGCCTCCTTCTGCGGAAACTTCCAAGTCTCTAAGAGCCCACAAAAGGTAATAATAGCACGAACATAGAGAATATTTCAATGCTTCCGGCGGTAATGTCGATTCTATATCCTACAAATAATCATGTATAGATTTATAAACAACGCTCGAGAACGTTGATATCTAGTTACTTTGACGTCCTGAAATAAACTGTTCCATAAGCTCCAGCTGTTTAAATTATGGCAAGCGTAAAACAAAGAAACTTTTTTCAACGAACTGACAACGTTGAATACTTCATCTGCATTGGGAGTTTCCTCGCCCAGTAATAAATTCCTCCAATCATCAATGGCTTCTCTATACGAATCTACGATAACGTCGATGATTGTAGATCTGGCCACGTCGCATTTTGTGTATATAGAATGTCCTTCGGTGCACAAAGTTTCCAGCGTTTTGGCCAATGTTTCTAAAACCTAATAAACGCTTTTAACGATTTGAAAAATAGTTTTATTTACTTGTACATACCTCCGGTTCGTGGTGAACTTGCGCGATGGACTTCAATTTAACCAACAACGCTTGTAGCGAACCTTCTTGTCTTCCGCTAGTGTAAAGATCCAAGTCGAAATGTTGCGGTATGCCCAACAGATTAGCCAATTTTTCAGGATCGGCGGAATATTTATCGAGCAACGGTGGTAACGTTACGATAAAATGTTCAGTAAGCTTCTGTTTATCTTCGCCAGCCTAAAGAAACATCGCATATTAGTGTATACAAATTCGTAATAAACGCAACAGCGACCTGTTTAACTTCCTTCAACGACGACATTTTCCTGGTAGGTCCTCTACCGACGGGCGCTTCGCCCGTAGCCGCTTGTTTCACACAACACACCATAATTTCTATCAAACTAGTCTCCTGTCGATTATCCAAAGGCTCCTCGTGCGGTCCGGGATCTTCCAACAACAGATCGGTCATGCACTCCCAATCCTTCATCATGGTATTGGATTCGATTAGAGAATCGACCAAATAAGCGGCGTGTTCGTGGAGTTCGGATTCGATGAAAAATTGCACCAAATCTCTAATGAACGGCGTGTTGGGCAAACGGCGTTTCCCGCGTTTGGTTTTTCCGGCATCCAAATCGCCCGGTTGGAAAAGTCGCTCGTTTAGGAATTCGCCGGCTGCTTGTGCGACCGCTCTATGCGACGAGTACACCTTAAAATGTAAAATCCCGTTTTTATTAAATATATATGAAGTTCGAAATCGATTCGCTTACCAGCTCGTAAACGTGTTCGCAATCTTTATCGGTCAAAATTTCTCCGTGATGTTTCAAGATGGAAATGACCAATTTAACGGCTTGCACGGCCACTTCGTATTCCTTATCGAGCGTCATGGCGACGATGCGATCTTTAAATTTGTTTGTGAACAATTCCAGTTTGCCTTTCAGTTCTTCGTTGGCGTACAAAGGTTGCAACGCTTGAAGGCATCGCAGGCGGACTTCGCCGACCTTTTTCGAACAAACAAAATTAGCTATAAATTAGCGAATAATACAATTGCGTACCTTATCGTGTAGAGTCCATCCTATATATTTCAAGTAAGAATCGTCGAGGAAATTGGCGTGGAATTTATGCATCCACACGCCTATTTCCGTCATTGCTATAGCTCTGATTTCTGGTAATGTATCCCTATAATAAAATGTGTTTTGATGCCATGATAGGTTTCGAATAATTAGTATTACGTACCTGTATCGATGAACGAAAACCGATTTGAACATGTAGGTCAACATATTCTTAATTTCATCCATATTTTCCTCCAATTCTTGTCTTTTGGCCAGTAAAGCTTCTAAGCGATCGCTCGCACGTTTTTCTCTAGTTTTTTGACGCTCCGCTTCGTACTGTCTTTGAGTGTTGTCTAAATTAACAGACACCGTTAGAGCCACATCTACCAAAGCAGTCATTAGTTTCATAGCTCCTAGGGTGGCTGTATGCCTGAAGGCACGCACCTAAAACATTACAACGTTACATTTTAATTAGTGATAATAATTTAACGGTAAATCGTACCTGCGAATCGGATAACCCCGTAAGAAGAGATATAACATTATCCATCAAAAATTGATCGTAAATAATGGTGTATTGACATTGCTTCACTAACGTTTGAACGAATTCGCAGAAATTTTGCCGGAATTTTTTCCAAGTTTGCCCGGCCATAATCAAAGGATATTCGCCGCTCTCTTCGTCGAATTCTTCAGTCATTTTTCGTATAATCGCGGCGTGTTCCATGGAGGCTTGCATTTGTTGCGTGATGCGTCCTTTACACCCGGAAGCGTTTATGAAAAATTGCATCAGAGAAATGAGCGCGGCCTCTCTGTTGATCTTGTAACTCTCGATCCAATCGTCTACGATGTGGGTCAACGAATGTTTGCTGTTTTTGATGGTGTGATACAAGGAATCATCGTCGTCTCTCGTATGTATGATTTCCCCGACGGTATTTTTCCTACCCGGAGGCCTTCCTCTGCCTCTACCTCTCCCCGTCGTGCTGGCGGCGGGGGGCGAGTACGAAGGGGACACCACCGGAGGAGGCGGTGGATTATTTACGCCCCTCGCTTTGGACCTGGTCACTCTTTTGAAGCCCGGCGTCGGAGGGGATTCGAAATCGATTCCGGAGCTGGCGTGGTCGTAACTGTCGCCGTACATGTTCTGTTGCAAATAACTCCCGCCGTAGTTTTCTTGCTCCAAATGGGGCGTCATCGGATTTTCGTATTCGGGAGGTGGATCGTCCATGCGGATGCGCTTGCCTCCGCGACGGTGCATTTTCGAGCGGGTCTCGATGCTTTTAATTTAAAATTATTGTTGATTATATCTGGAATTGTAACAAACACTAAAAACCCAAACAAACCGTAATCATAACCTATTTTACTAAGTTTGACGTTAATGACAAATGACAATTATGACGTTTCGACTAGATGATAGAACACAAAATTTATAGCGTTTTCCATTGGTAAAATAGTGCGCAATAGTGTACTTTTAGTGCGCAATATTTTACCAATGGAAAACGCCTTAGAATTCTTCTTTTTTACCTAAAACTCTGTTGTTCCGTGTCAAATTAAATAAATTTAACCTTACTTTTTGATTTTTTCTAGACTTTAGTCCTCAAGTTATTACTGTTTTAAAGGTTTTAATAAGTTTATTTTCCAATTATGGCATCGCATTGGGAGGAATTTTATTCCACCAACCCACCTCCGGTCAACTTCGAAGCGAATCGTACGCTCCTAAAAGACTTTTGCGACAAACACCACAAGAACAGGGAAAAAATAGTTCTGGTTACATCAGGAGGTACGACGGTGCCCCTTGAACACAACACGGTGAGATTCGTGGACAATTTTAGCGGCGGTTTAAGGGGCGCAGCTTCCGCGGAATATTTCTTGGATCGAGGATACGCCGTGATATGTCTCCATCGTTTGAATTCGATCGTTCCCTTTTCCAGGCATTTCGATAGTCTCAAAATGCTAGACATGCTGGAATTACAAAAGAACAATTGTGATTGTAACGTATCGATATCCATAAAATCCGATTACGTGGATAAATTAGCACCGGTACTTACGAAGTACAAACAAGCCCAAGAAGCCAATAAAATACTTTACGTTAATTTCACGAGTCTATCGGACTACTTTTGGCTGTTAAGAGCTTCTTGTGAATGTTTAAACGATGTCGGTGCAGACGCCGTATTGTATTTAGCGGCCGCCGTTTCGGATTTTTTCGTGCCGAGCAGCCAAATGGCCACGCACAAAATCCCATCGGACGATGTTCCGCACATTTATCTGCAATTAGTACCGAAATTACTGGTACCGATCGTGTCCATGTGGGTGCCCCGAGCCTTCGTAATTTCTTTTAAACTCGAAACCGAAGAGAGCAAGTTGATTTGCAAAGCCGTTGGTGCTTTGCACAAGTACAAGCACAAATTGGTGATAGCGAATTTGCTGCAAACTCGACGACATCGAGTCGTTTTTGTAACGGAGGATTCAAATTACGAGGTCAAACTCACCGAAGAGCAGATATCAAGCGGTGTAGAAATCGAGGAGCTAATTGTAGATAACGTTGTAAAGTTACATGCAACTTTTGTGCAACAAAAGTGATGTTATTGTTAGTCAGTCGATGAAAGTATTATGGCTATGGTGAGAGCAAAAATGAGCAAGAATTGGGAAATATTGGTTTTGCACAATTACAATTTTTAAAAATTGTTACATGTAGGATATTTATTAGGTAATATTAAAAAGATGTAAATAAAATTTATTTTATTGAAAATTTATCTCGAACCTTAAAAGAAATTTGTAATAGAGGAAAAGAGAGTAATTTGTATATTTTTCTCCAATGAAATTGAATATTTTTAACAATATAGCAAATACAGTATAAACTGGATTAACTTGCAATCCATATCGATCTAATTACATGATTATTTTTATGAAATATATAATATACCTAATTTAGCATACTCTTATTATTTTTTCATCGAATGGTCCAGTACAAACAAAATACCCTCCAAAACAAATAAACACAAACATCGGTTTGCTTAATTACGTAATTTTAAATCAAACAACTAAGTTCTTACATCACTATTAATAATCATAGTGACATCGTGAAAGTAAACTCAATTTAATCCCTTCGCTTTCTTTTATCCCTATCGTCCCTTTTTTCAGGTTCTTTCCGTTTACTCGCTTTCTTAGCCTGCGACAAGAACTGATCCAAACCGAAAGGATCTTCCTCTTTTTCAAACTGCACAGGACCCGTACGACCGCTTCCCGATCTATCCGTACCGCCAAATTCCTTATCCGGCACAAACCTATTCGTGCGAATAGCTTTTTCTATATCCTCACCGCCGTAAACATCTTTATCGATATTTTTACTCGGCCTATAAATGTGATTAGCCATCGAACCGCCCTCTCTCCAAGGCTTGTCGTAAACATTGTAAGCCTCGTCGTCGCCGTAACCTTGCCCTAGACCTTGAGCTTGACCAAACAATCTTTGATCGAACTGAGTTTCGTTGGAAGATGCTCCTCGAGCGGGCATTCCTGCAATTAAATAGATGTAAAATGTACAATTTTTCGTTACAGTTTTTCGCTAGTTCATTACCTAAAGCGATTTGTTCGGATATATCCCTTTCTCTTTCCCTCTGCAGTTTGCTTCTCTTATCAGGGGCGGCGCGAGCCAGATTTCTGTCTCTGGCTCTTTCTTTGTGTCGATCTTGACGTAACATGTCGCGTTCGTGTTCATCGTCATCACCTTTCGAATGATGATCTGAAAATAAACATAACGATTAAAGAATGCACTTAAAATTATATAAGAAATTGCACTCACTCGCTGCGGTTTTAATACCGGCCCTCTCGTCTCGAGCCCTTTGAGCCAACTGCCTCAAATGCTCCTCTTTCGCTTCCTTCTCTTTTTGAGCCAATTTCTTCTCCAATTGCGCTCGAGTTTCGACGGCCTCTCGAGCTTTTCTGTCCGCTATGTACAAAGCTTCGGCCAATTTCGCGAAATTCTCATTTATGTGCAGTTGCTGTAAACCCCTACCGTCCGCGGCCAACCTTTTGTCAAGCGGAACAGTATAACCTTAAAAAGAAAATCGAATTTTAATAAAGAAATTTACCAAAATCCTAGCGCGATTCCTCACCTTTGGCGTTCTTCCAGTTGGATATGCAAGGAGGAATTTTCCATTCTTTCTGTTCCTTAACGGTGACTCTTCTAGTCGGGCTATGCAGGACCGGGGCAGGAGGGGAAGGAGGTCCTCTCGGAATTTTCTTGTTGATTTTAAATCTAGGCGGCTCCATCGGATCGACTTGCGCTTCGACGAGCCGGATAACTCTTTGTTTCGCGCCCGAATTAAAAGCGGCCCCTTGTTGTGACGGGGTATATCTGATGAATTCGGCGGGGGCCAATTTCTCGGCCGCTCTAACCGGCATGGCGGCGGCTATTTTGGAATTCGTTATTTTCATCAACGATTGCCTGGTTCGTTCGGTGATATCGTCCACTTCCTCTTGCGGGGGTTTCTCCAAACTCGGATCGTTTTCGTCTACCACTTCGACGGGTAGTAAATCGGACAGCTTGGAGTAGACGATTTTGTCTTTGCCGTGTCCCTGTCTCGCTATAGCGTCGTATTTGACTTTTCCGTCCGAACCCAATTGTACGGCTAAGGCGTTCGAGCTGGAATCTTTCTTCCTGCCCATTTCTAAGGGGTATTGAGCGACGTGTATTTCTGGAAAGGCGCCGCCGTCCCCGTAATCTGTGACGTTCCTCGGTACCCATCCTCTTCGTTGTCCGTAAGGGGGTGCGATGCTTTGAGCGCTTACCAACAAGGTGGATGTTTGAGTGGCTGCTTTCTTCTTGCGTTCGTCATCCCTGTCCCAAACCGGTTGTATGGGAGCAGGGAGGATACTTGATAATTCCATTATTCGGATGGAATATATTCGAATTATTAAAACAACACGAAAATGCACTAAATTCTAATAAGTCTCGTATCGATGCTGCGACGTTTCTATTGAAAACAAAATGACAGAGGCTTTGACATTGACGGAACTGACAAGTGACAGATGTCAGTCAAGTATTGCACTGAACGTGACGGAGAGCGTTTCTTACAAAAAAATATAGCGTTGTCCTTTGCTATCTAATTGAAAATATAAAGGACTTCCGAATTGGGAAAAAAATAACTGGCGTGGAAGAAGAATATATTATCCAGAAGGATGAAGCGAGTAAATAAATATCAATCACGGCAAATATTTTACAATTATCGCAATGTTGGAAAACCTCGAGCGTCCGAAGTACTTACGAATTATATTAAACAATGCAACGAGCCACCGTGGACGTCGTACTTTGTAAAAGTAAGAACGTATAATTAATAGTAAATGCTATTCTTCGCAATTTGTTAGTATTCTAGCATTGTGGACGATCAATGGGGCAAATCACATTTCAACTGGAAAGTCGGGCATTCTAATTACCATATACTCAGGACTGGGTGTTTTCCCTACGTAAAATATCATTGTACTAAAAGGAATTATGAGAACCTTCGTGTGGATGATATTTTTTTCCGTTCTATTAAAGTTTTGAATCTAGGTAATTATTTTATTGTTCAGTTGGCAGTTTTGACATCTGTCAAATAGTTAGTTTGTTCAAATTTTCAAAAATATCAAGTCAGCGGTTTTTCTGAAATAATAAAATTGTATTTTTTAGGAATACCATGTCTCGCTTACGGTATTGCCGCAATATTTTTAATTAAACATTCAGAGGACGTTCTGATGAATAGAGGAAGTGTAAAAATATATTTTTTGTATCCTGAAGACAAAGGTTCAGAATATTAAATAAAACCTAAATTTCGATTTTTAGATTGGTGTTTATTTAAAAATAAAAATTAAATAATATGTTTTTATTTTTCTCTAACAATGTATTTCGTGTACAAAAAAAACAACAATATTACACAAACAACTAAAAGAAAATTAAAAAAAAAACTCGCGACTAGAAAATATCGGATTTCGAACTTAATTAAGTATTATTGAAAAAAATATTCTCTCTTATAAATTAATGTATAAAAGGAATTCAAGTACAACCTTACTTGGAAATTTGACTTACATTTTTTTCACGTCTTTTTTTCCATTTCCTACAAAAAAAAACACAAATAAATCGTCGCAATTCCAAAAAATAAAATTGCCCGTTTTTTTTTTTAACCTGCATAAAAAATTCGAATTTTTGTATAATTAAAATTACACAATTATCACTAATTAAACCGATTAATTATTTCTTCATACGTAATCGTATAAAGGGAAATTGACCGTAATTTTAAAAGTAAAAAAAAACATTAATGCTTAATTAAAAATTAATGTTTTTTTTATTTCAAAAGTCACGTAATCAAAAACACCTCCATTTTTTTAATAGAAAAAAAAAATCAATTACCTCTCTGATTAATTTTTTTAGTTACTATCACTGACTATTTAAAACAGTTCAGAGAGCAATTATTTATCTATCGGTTTAAAACACTCCAAGACAACCGTCAGCGAGAACCTCATCGAGCTCAATATTAATTTCTCTATAACAAAAATCCCGCATCATTCCCTAATATAAATAACTAATAAAAAAAATCAATTTACGTACGAAAATAAATTAATCTACAATCTGCAATGATACAGACAAGAATAAAAGGGTAAGATAGAAAAGAGAGAGAGCGAGAACGATCAAAGAGAATTTATCCAACGCTAACTTTGATTCCCGTATCCAAATGCAACAATTGCTTGCACAATTCGTATGCCGAAAAGGAAACGGCCACCATCGGTATGGCTCGCATGTAATTTATCGACATGCCCCTGTATAATCCCCGAACGATTCCGTGTTCCGCATAGATTTTCCTCAACGTCGAAAACATGCCGTCGGCGTAATGACGTGTATCCGGATTCATCATCGCCAATTGCATACGCCTGAAAAATGCAATATAATATAGTATAATTATACACTTTTCTCCATTTCCGATTACAATATATGGTCATTTCTATATGAGTGGAACAAAGAAAGATTATTAAAATGACAGTTGTCACAGAGTGAAAAGTTGCAAAATGACAGTTGTCACAGAGTGAAAAGTTGCAATGACACAAATGTCACTCAAATGTCAAGTTGTCTTTGTTACACTCACAGCTTATGTTGCGATCAACAAATGGAGCAACATGTAGCAATAATTAAATGCATAAACAATTTCTCTCTAGTTCGCTAACCTTCTGGTAACGTCCAATGGATAACTGACGCTTTGGGCGGCGGCGCCCGCCAGCCCCCCGCACGCCAACTTGGCGGGCACCGACAACACCAAACCCCCTGTGTTCTGTTCGCACGGATTACACGTCCAACTGGGCAAGTATTTCGTACAACCGAATTTCAAGTATTCGAAGCAGAAGAACGACAGACCGGCATAAGGTACCTGAAATTCGTCATTTTTTACTTACTATTTTATGTTTAAATCATATTTTTTTCGTTCATACCATGCCGGTTAGAGTAGGCGCGAAGCCCCTATACAAAGCCCTAACGCCCCCTTCGTCCCTGAAGATGGTCACGGCGGCGTCTACGATACCTTTATACACGTGCTCGCCGCTTATCTAGATTAAAAACTCACTCAGACAAGTTTCGTTTAGAGTACATTCGACCTACTTGAAAAGCCAATCTGGCTCTGATAGTATCCAATGGATATGTCATGGCTACGGACGTCAATCCAGCGCCGGCTCCGGCCAAAAATTTATCGATGTGCGAAGTGGGCCCGAACACACCGTCCAGGTATCTTTTGTACATTTCGAACGATGTAAATTGTATGGCTGCATAGGGAAATATCCTCACCATTTGCGCCCCGTTACCTTCAAATAAAACATGAATTAACTATTATAAAATCTACTCTAAAAAATTTCAACAATTCAAAAACTGCCATATTTATAAAAACAACCAAATTCCCGATTATTTACTATCAACCCGGTATTAATTATTACGAATTTTAATTCCGCGAATAATTATAATCGTTATCTTGAGGTCGTATTTTTTTGTTTAATTACGCACGTTTTAATTGCACGTTTTTAAAGCAATGAACAGGTTAAATTACTGTCGAAATCCGTAATTAATCGATTAATAAAGTAACTAAAAAATGGTACCTTTGTAAAGGGCCAAAGGGCCCTCTTTTGTGATAATGTGCCCCAAACCTTTGACGACTCCGTGGCTCCGATGGTGTTTCGAATGGGCCTGTAAAAGGATCTTCACCCTATCTAATGGGGCCACGGTGGTTTTCGATAGCATTCCGGCCAATCCTAAAAATAAATATTTCCTTTAAAACATTCAAATATTTCCATTTTTACAATAGTTAGTAGTAGATAAATAAACCTGACAATGCATTTGACCAGAGTGACCTTACCCGATTCGAAAACGAGATAAAATTCAAATTAGTTGTGTGAAAGTACGTTTTGTTAATTAAATTAAAGAAGATAATATATTGTTATTTTAAATGGGTTTTAAATTTTTGGAGTATTTAGTAAATTAACGCACACTAAAATCAATAATACGAATCGTTAAAAAAATGTAAATGCCTTAATTAGAAGACACATCGATGAGATTTATCAAACTCGGTAACTCACCACCGCATAATAAATTCTTGCAAATATCCTCCAACTTGTACTCGGTCTTCATTTCCAGGCTCATTTTTACGCGTAAAATACGAAATAGCGAGGCATTCGAAGCGGCAGAGTCGCGATCACGAATGCAAGTACAAAATCGACGAATCGAAATTTAAAACTTTCACCCGTACCATCCTCAACGGGTACACTCGAATAACCGTCGAAACACCTGTAAAAAACCAAACACAAAACGCAAAGTATAATTGGACTATTATTAACGATAATCGTGCGATTTACGCAAGCGGAGAATCGCGTATAAATAGAAGGGGGTACGCGAAATTAGTGAGAATATGTTAGGTCTTACCGCTGCTGTTAACAAGAATGTGAATGAGGATGAATGTGTTTGTGGCCGCATAAATTTTCACTTTTCCACTTTTGACTGGAAACGCTTCGACTGTGACACATTCAATGTAAACCCACTGACACACTTTCCGCTAACGACTAGAAAATAAATAAGTACCGATGCCTTTTATTAAAATGAGAGTAGACAGTTACGTTAGGTTATGTTATGTTGTGATTTTTTGTTTTTGCAAAAATCTCAGCACAATAACGCGCGTTTTTCTTAAATTATTATCCCTGTTCTTTTCGAATTTGAAGTTATAACGAGCGCATTTTGGACTTTGCGACTTTAGTTGAACTAGTGTTTACATTTCATTTGACTTCTTCTTCTTTTCCAATTTACTTAAAATTGGCCTACGATACCGCGCCCACAGAACACAAACATTTGAACTATTCGATGTGTCACTTTTTAGTCTTTTTCTTAAAGTGTATGCAGTGAATGACACAATAGATTGAATAGAGATAGAATCTTAGGCATCATATAAAGAAAGAAGACGAAGAGCAATCTAGTGATTTTGTTTTTTCAATGTTTTCATATTAGTTAGTGGGATATCTGTCAAATGTCATAACTGTAATAAGCCCCGTAATAAATCCGTAATCCGCGAGCTTGTCGAATGGAAAACGCGAACGGGAAAGTTCGTTTGTTCCGCCCGTCAACAATTTGATAGATCACCCAGCGAAATAACTCGGAAACGGTCCGTCCATTCGGAAAATGATCCAGTAGCGTTTAAACAGAGAGTTGTCTCGCGACGAGAGCAGGAGAAGAGAAGAGATGGCCTCGACGTCCGGTTGCGACCCGAAAGTGTTGATGGCGAAAGGCAAACGGGCAGCGGCCGCCTATTTGCAGGCCGATTGTTCGAACGAGCGCCGTCCCCGGCGTCTCGACGAGGTCCTCGACGTTCTGTTGAATCCGCACAAATGCATCGACGAATGGGATACGATCGATTGGTGTAAATGGCTGATGGCCGGGGGCCGAACGCCCGACGAATTCGCCACTACAGGTGAGACCGCCTTAGTACCAATGACGTGTGTTGTTGTTACCTTGCCAATGGCCTTGCCACTTTTTGTGTCTTTGAAATTTTTTATTTTTTTTTTAATTTCGATACAGCTAATACGACTAATTTTCTTTTTTATTCTAATACTAATGTCGTTCAATGATATACGATTTACTGCTTAATTAGTTGATAAGAATAAGGTTTTTTTCGCGATAATATTGACAATTTCGTTTTGCTAGCGATTTTTTAATCGACACGACTTTCTTCCGCTGTGTTTACGATGTAGAAAGAAAGTGAAATTTATCTAGATAAGCCGTTTAATTGACTAATTTGTTGCTAAATGATGGTTAAATGCGCGAACTAATCGTGCTTTCGAAACATTTTTTTGTAAGGAAAAGATTTTGATTGGTCGTAAATTTGTCACATCTGTCATAATTGTCAATCTGTCAAATTTTAATAATTAAGCGTAAATTCAATAAAAAAAAAAATGACTAGACAAAAAGTTGCCAAATATGAAGAAATACTCTTTTTTTTTATCATTACATTATCCTTTATAATACTTTATAAGACTATTGCGCATATACAAACATTCAAACGCATGCATGAGGCAGATCGGCGGCCGGGCCACAAAATTTTTTGGCAAAAGTTCGTCGAACTCGCTTCGCGTTCGCATCGACTCGAAACCGATGAGGTACAATATACAGGGTGATCCTATAAACGGAACGAAACGAGGAATTTAAACTGACGAGAGTTATAATTATACAACTTATTTCGTTTCGCAATACGTTCATTTCTACGAGTCGAACAAAGAAAGATTGCTAAAAATGACAGTTGTCAGAGTGACATGTCGCAAATGTCATAAATGTCACTCTTTCCTTTACAGAAACTGTCTTTATCGCACCCATAGCCTACATTGCAAAAATGAATCAACTTATCGAACGTCTTAATAGAATAATTACCTATATATTGTTTTTTTTCTATTTATTCCAGTCCGCGCCTACGACAATGCAACCACCTGCGGCCTAGTGTGGACTCCGAACTTTGTGGCCTACAGATGCAGGACGTGCGGCATATCGCCCTGCATGTCCCTATGCACGGAGTGCTTCAAAAAGGGCAATCACGCCCGACACGATTTCAACATGTTTCTGAGCCAAGCGGGGGGCGCCTGCGACTGCGGCGACGCCTCCGTCATGAAGGAGACCGGGTAAGTTTTCATTTTCCCTTACGCAAAAAACCAATTAACTTGTGTTGTTTATAGTTTCTGCGAACGCCACGGTCCGAACAAACGATCGACGAAAGGCGCCGCCCCGACCGATCTGATGTGCGTGGCCGAAGCGATGATGCCCCGGATCATACTGAGGCTGATCCAGCACCTGCGCGAGAACAGCAGGACGTTCGAGAACTACAAGGGCGCCATACAAGACGCCGACGCCTTCATCACCATGCTGTTGGACTTCAATAACATGGGCGGGCTGATGCGGAAGGTCATCACGTCGGCGCTCACCAATCCCCAGGTGATATATTCTTGCACGTTAACGATTTCGAGCGATTCTTAATGGATGTTACAAATTGTATTCGTAGAAATATCGAGTGTTGAACGAAGTGCCGGAGAATCCGACCACGGAATACGAATCGTACCAGGTGGAGTCGCGCAGGCGCTACGAGGAGGCGTTGCAGTCTTTACCGAATCCCGAACCGATCGAAGGAAATTGTCCCTCGTTGCAGCACGCCCTCGTGCACAAAACCTTCCTCGAGGAATTGGTGTTTTGGACGGTCAAGTTCGAATTTCCCCAGAAGATCGTCTGTTTGCTGTTGAACATGCTGCCCGATCCCGATTACAAGGTACCTAGAGATTTTCTATAACCGATTATCTTGCTATTTTCGTTGACTCGATTTTGTTTGCAGGAGGCTTTAACTAGGGCTGTGGTGTTGCATTACAGTCGCATATCGATGATGTTGGAGCGTTCGAGCGATCCCGATACGTTGAGTAATAGAGTGGTGCACGTCAGCGTACAGCTATTCTCCAATCAGAGTTTGGCTTTGAAAATGACGGAGCAATTGGGTTTGTTGCACGTCATGGTCGTCAGTTTGAAATACATGATGAGCGAAATATTGATTAGGAATACCTTACACGGTGAGGGAATTTGTCTACATGAAGTTGCTTCTTCTTTGTGTCCGATTGAAGGGGTTTTAGTATATATACTTTTTTGTATTTGTAGATGTTAAAGAGAACTTTCATTATGTGGTGGATTGCGCCAAGCCGGTGATGAAAGATCATTGTTATTGGCCGTTGGTGTCCGATTTGAAGAACGTTCTATCGCACAGACCGGTCGCTTTGAAATTCATGTCCGACGACGGTTTGTTGGAGATGTGGTTTGCGTTTCTATCGATGTTTCAAGGTACATCATCCCCATAATATTTTCATTCGAGAATTTGATCGTTTTTTGTATTGTACAGGCATGAACGTGAACCAACGAGAACTCAATCAACACATCGAATTCGAACCGAACACATACTATGCAGCTTTCAGCGCTGAATTAGAAGCCAGCGCTTACCCGATGTGGGCGCTCATCTCCCATTTGACCGATCCATCTACGGCTCATTTATCGAAGAGGGTCCTGGACGCCTGTTTGAGCGAACTCAGAGATTGGTTTCAGGCCATTTCCTATTTGAGCACTATGGTGGTAAGTCGTTGGGACTCGAGAGAGTGGTTAAAGAGACATTTTGCGAATGTTAACGTTCCAGACTGACAGTCTTCAAGTATCCTTTCATCTGCCTTTGCATCGATATCTCGCTGTGTTTCTTAGTCAAGCAGTGGCCGTTCAAGGGGTAACCGTTAACGAAGTATTGGGTTATCACGATTTCATGTTGGATTTGCTGATGATGCATCCGTTACGTGTACAGGTGGGTCTATAATTAATTGTATTTGATGTATTTTTATTGTGTTTTTATTGTTGTTTTAGGTAGCTTTTTATGAAATTTTGAACGGGCTTTGGTTGAGGAACGGCCTGCAAATCAAAGGCCAAGCCATGACTTACATACAATGTAATTTTTGCAATTCGATGGTCGACGCGGATCTCTATTTACTTCAGATTTGTTGTACGCGTTTACAATCCGATTATTTCCTTAAAATCGTTATAGAAAAGTTAGTAATTTGTGCGTATTCGAGTAAATATATTTAAATCGACCGATCGCGTTTCTTTACAGATTTCACATAAAAGAATGGTTGAGCCTGACGAATTTCCAAGGCGTTTTGAACGCCGAACGGGAATTGGACACGCCGATGCTGGAGAGTTTTCTCACCTTTCTAACGACTCTCGTCAGCGTCCGCACGAATTTGGGATTGTCCGAAACGTCCTTGAACCGCCTCGAAATGGTCACGTTGCTGTGCATGGGCGACAAAACCCATTCGCAATTGATGGAACTGATGCCGGAGCGTTGCGGCATGTCCGAATCGCGCGACTTCGAATCGCTGTTGGCCGAAGTGGCCTTTTACAGGGCGCCCGCCTTGGAGGCCAGCGGCAACATGCAACAGGGCATGTACGTACCGAAACCGGAGATTTGGGAGAAACAATACGATCCCATTCACGTGCTGTTGCGCGCCGTACACCGCAGGGATTTCCAAACGTCCATGGATCGCTATACGGAATAGTGAGTTTGTGTTTATATCCCCTCGTATAAAGTATTATTTGAGCGTATTATTGCAGCGCCCGACACGCCAATAAGCTGAAACCCGGGTGCAGTTTGTGGCCCCCTTTCAGGACGCCCACCGACGTATCGGCGTCCTACGAAGATCCTCGATTGATATTGAAATCGCGCATATTCCACGCCGCAGCTCTCATAATTCTATTCAAGGCGACCAAAGGATACGTTTCGGAGCACGTGATGGCTCTCGTGGTGTTTCTGCTCGAACAGGCCGTTCTAATAGCGGCCAAAGACGACAATAAACAAGTATAATAACAAATTATTAACGTTTTTGTCCTGTAAAAATGTACGGCTCTCTTACGTGTGCCGCGTTTTTATTATACGGTTCTTGTATTAATTGAATTATTTGTGTTTTTTAGGATTCTAAGATGTGTTGGACGACGCCGCCGTCTCTACACCAATTCCACGATCTGCATTTCTCCAATTGGTACGCGGGCGATTCGGTGTTCGATAATTTGCGAACCGTTATAGGACAAGTAGTGATCGAACCGGTACCGGACATATCGCGAGTAACTTATAGTTCCGATAGTAAGTATTAACGTACTAGAAACGTTGATGTGCGTTCTGTAAGAATCGCGTTTTTGAACCCTCTTCAATTCTACTCTCCGTATCTGTCCCCGTCTCGTAAAGATCTTTTTTCGTGATTGTTAATTAGGCGAAGTCGAATGGGACAGCGCCGAATTGGGCGACATGGAGGACGCCAGCGACAACGACGCCATGCTGATGTTGGACGAGGCGTCGGCCGGCCAGCCGCCGTCCGACAGCCGCGAGGTGGTGATCTTTCGACCGCAGCCGCAGGCCGCCGACGAGCCGGAATCGCCGCCGCCGGTCGTCGAGACGCCGCCGCCCGTCGGCGTCGCGAGGAACGTGTTCGCGTTACCCTCGTCGACGTCGACGTCGACGGCGGTGCCCATGGAGGTGGACAGGATCATGAGCTTGGCCATACCGGATTCCGGTTTGGGTTCCGTAACGGAAATATGTACGATTTTGGTTCGTTTTTCGGCTATGTAAAAATAATTATTAACGATTTCCAGCGACTCCTAGTCCGTCTGATACGCCGCCTGCATTGCCTTCGCCCGCCGTCAGGCCAGCTATAACGGCGGGTAACGAATTGGGCAGGGCCGTTAGGCGGATGAAAGCGGCTTCGTCGTCGTTGGCGAGTTCCAGCAGAGAATTGGTTCCGACGACGTCGAGGAAAACTCGATCGGCGATGCCTATTAAGGTACCGTTTCGTTAACCAAATACGCTTTACCATTTTACCATTTTTTTTTCATTCAGGGAGCCAGTTTTCCTCCCACGTTCAAATTGAACGAAAGCTTGATATCGTTGTTGTTGAGATTGCACTCTTATTTGTCCGGCGTACCTGATAGTTATAGTCCCGAAGAGGATGACGAGGAGAGCTGTTCGACCAAGCCCGAAGGCGCCGAAGATGAAGAACCGTCGATCGGCGACGGCGTATTTTACATCGGCAGATTGCTCAGGAGAATATCGAGTTTGGACGAGAATTGCAAACGGCACATACAAGTAAATTCGGTTGATCGTTTTATAGGTATGAAGCTACGATTAATTTGTGATTTGCAGGACGCCCGTTTGAAGTTGTGGCCGTCGAAGGAGGAACGCGAAGAGGCGAAAAAACAGAGGGAGAACAGGGAGAGGGAGGAGCGCCGGCGCAGGGCCAAAGAACGCCAGCAGAAATTGATGCAGGAATTCGCCAATAAACAGAAGCAGTTTATGGAGAAGGCGATGGAATGCGACGAAACGGGCGTGGAAGACGACGACGACGACGATGCCGAAGAAGAGGAGAAGATATCCAAACAGCAGGAGTACGATTGCGTGATTTGTAATCAGAGTTCGCCGAGCACCGAAGAACATCCCATGGGTTTGGTCGTGTTAATACAAGTGAGTTTTGGTTATTTTTGGTGCGATTATTCATTGTTGTACTCTGTACATTTTAGGCGACGAGCATCATCGGTCATATGCGGAGAAACGAGCAACCCGAAAGGACCGTTTTGCCGACGTGCGAGGACGAAAGCGAATCGTTGAGGAAAGGCGATACTTTGGCGGCCGAATACGATAGGAAAATCGATGAATTGGATAGGCATTTTGATCCTGTAAGTTTGCCTATATTACCAACTTAATCATGTTAATAATTCGTATCGATTTGTTTTGCAGCAATCGTGGTTTTTATCGGTGAATACCGGTTGGGACGGGGGCGTGCACGTTCAAACTTGCGGTCATCATCTCCATTTGGACTGTTTGAATTCGTATTTGTCTTCGTTGCGTACGCAACAAAGGCAATTGACTCTTTCGCCCGAAAAGTAGGTGTTTGAAAAATTGTAAATTTCAAACGGTTCTAAATTAACTACTTTTTTTTTAGTGGAGAATATCTGTGTCCGTTGTGTAGACAATTGGCCAATTCGTTTTTGCCGTTGTCGTCTCAATTGGGCGACAAAACTCAAATGGTGCGGTCGCGACCCAACGAAAATATGCATCAGATTTTAGAGGAGCTTAGTAATTTTTTGAGAGAAAACGACAAGAAGCCAGTAAGTAATAATCATCGAGTTAATGTAGAGAGCTTTACTTTACGTATAAATTAATAATATTTCTTCGTTATTTTTTTGTAGAATACGATGAAAATGGCCGAGGCCATCGGTAAAGCGATGGAGGACATGTCGAATAGCGCCCGAGTGAAAACGAGATTTAAATTGAAAACTGAAAAAACCGTCATATTACAGAGCCTGTTGTTGTTCGTCACGTCCATAGCTCGGACCAATTTGGAAATCGAATTGATCCAACGTGGCGGTTCGTTGATCCAATATCCCAACAGTTCGAATTTGTTACCAAAAAGAGATTGTATAGGTGAGATGGGCGAATTTACGACGAAACAATTCACACTATTAATGAATTATTTCCAGTACCGTTACTTCACGTTTTGGCCGTGCACGCCCGCGTCGCCCGCGTCCTCGCCATGTGGCCGGCCTGGATGAGTTTCCAACAATTGTGCGGCGTCCCCGCCAAATCGCTCCCCTCGAATTCGCTGGTCGTTTGCGAACGCGAAGTGCCCCTCTTGCTCAGAGATCCCGTCGCTTTGCTCTTGCAGTACGTGCTGTTGTTGCCGTTGCCGCTCGATCAAAGTAACTTTGAAAAGCGTTCAAATGTGCGCGTGTTAAATGTTAAATTATTATTTTTTTGTAGCGTATTTTACGACGACCGTACAAGTCGTCTACAATCTGCTCTACTACCAAGTGGTAGTTCAAGTGTCCTGCGGTTTGACGAGCGCCGAAAGAAGCACGGCATCGTCGGGAGCCGATCCAGAGCACGTTAAGAATCTCACGGACGCTATTCGTTTGATCAACGAGTGTTTGGAGAAGACCGATTTGTACATGGAGAACGATTGCCAGACCGACAAAGAGGTTAAAGTCAATTTGATTGGATTAGAGATGCAGGTAAAGCGTTTTTCCGTGGTTTGTTTTTGATAAACAGTATGCGTAATAACTTATATTTAAAGGTGCAAAAATTGTGTTTGCCGTTCCTGCGCGTCGCCGCCCTGCTGAAGCACCACCTCTACCAGCAACCGTTGCCCGACATCTTCGAGCCCAACAACGAATTCGTGCGATTGGTGTACTATCTGGAGCTGGTCACCGAGCCGATGGATTGGGGTTGGTTCAACGCTTCGGTGGCGCTGACGTGGCCGCGTCGCGACGGCGATTCGGCGACGGCGCTGGAGACGGCGACGCCGCGCGCTTGGTGCGACCAATTGGCCGCCTTCGTCGGCGCCAGCCAATTGGCGGCGAAGAGTTTCTTGGCCGAGCAGCACGTGCTGTGGTATCCGCCGAGGTTGTTGCACCTGCCCAGGGAATACGAGAAGATATTTACGGTGAGCGCCTGTAATCGCCTGTAATCGTGGTGGTAATAATTGTTGTTTTTTTTAGTACTATCACGAGCGACCGTGTCGACAGTGCCAATCGGTGGCGCAAGAGACGAGCATCTGTTTGTTGTGCGGCACGATCGTGTGCTTGAAGCAGAATTGTTGTAAGCAACAGAACGTGTGCGAGGCTGTTGCGCATGCCGCAGAATGCGGTGCCGGTACCGGGATTTTTCTAGTCGTTACTTCCACGTATATTATAGTGATTAGGGGCCACAGGGCATGTCTGTGGGGCTCCTTGTATTTGGACGATTTCGAAGAGGAGGATAGAGATTTAAAGTAAGTAGTAGGAGTCATATACATTGTGTCTAAGGTCGAGCGCTACATTCGTCCGTCGATTCATGGCGCCTCTCCACAGTTCGACTGATTCTCTCTTTCTACTGTTTGCAGCGCTCGAACATGGACACTCTGTATAGTAGTAATATCTTTATATATGGATTTAAATTGGTTTTTTTTCAGACGTGGCAAACCCTTGTATTTGAGTCAAGCAAGGTATCAATTGTTGGAGCAACAATGGCTGGCGCATCGATTCGATCATACGGAGAAAACGTGGGTGCCTCATCGGAACGCCCTGTAGATTAAATATTTTCCGAAAAACAAAAATCGTATTCTCTTTTGCGTTTTTATTGCTCTGTAAATATATTTTTAAAGTGCGAGAAATCGTAATTTTTATTTGTAATTAGGCACGCGAATGCGCGGCGAATAAATTAATTAAAATGCTGATGAAATGTGGACACATACATGTTTTGTGTTATTTAATTTAATTTATCTCCTAAACGATGGGAATAAATACAAAGTAAATCCTACAAATTTCACCGTCTTACTTTAGAAAGCGTCGAAGTGGAATTGGCCTGTTTGTTACCCGACAACACCACGTAAGCCGATTGCGTTTCCTTCTGCTTCGCCTGCAACATGTTCAATGTACCCAAAGGCGTATCGGTAGAGCTCATTTTCTTCATCAGTTGCTCCTGCGCGCTCTTCTGAATCCGTTTCTCCACCTTGTTCTTGCCGGGACCCTTGCCGTGGAATTTGTGCGACAGATATCTGAAAGAAAAGATTTTAAAATCATACAAAAAAAACATTGCTAAAAAAACCCACCTAAAAGCCTCCTTAGAATTGAGAACGTGTCCATCGTCGTCGATATACTCCAATTTAACGTTCGGCTTGAACGCGTCCTTTTCTTTGAATTCCGTTATCGGTCCCGAATACCGTTCCCTTCTGCCTCCCTGTCGCTCGCCGCCCTCGTCCCCGTACGATTTATCTTCGATGGAATAATTTTTCGCTTGCAAATGAGCCAAACGCGAATTCGACGGTCTCTTGTCCTGCTCCTTGTCCAAGTAACCCTTGGACATGGCCAACTTGAGGGCGGCGCCGACGCCCGTCCCGACGTCCGGCTCCTCGTCGAGAATCTGGGCCTCCTGATGACCTGAAAGATTCGAATTTTTAACACAACTGTCAAACCTAGTTAGAGGCCGTTTGATAGAAACGGTAATTTACCGATTTGCGACGAGGTCAATCCCTGATTAGCTTCGACGGAATTCCAACCTGCGGTTTCTTCGATAAATTCCACGTCTTCGTCGCTATCGCTTTTCGAACGTTCATCCTGGTAATCCATATTCTCGTCGTTTTCATCTCTATTACCGGATTTTCCGTATGTCGGGATGTCTCCTAAAGTTCGGCAAAATTCCGCGGTCGAATTTAACACGATATTTGCACCTGGAATTACGTTACGTTAAATTAACACACCCTGTATATTTAAAAAAAAACCAAATCCTCACCATCCGCATCCTCTTCGGCTTCTTCTTTCACCTCCATTTTGACGATATCGGCCAAAACGTTCTCCTTTTGTCTGATTTTCCTCGCCTTGTGCAGCGCCCTCTCGAGCAAATCGTCCTTTTCATCTTCGATTTTGACGTCACTCATGTCAATATCGACCGATGGAACGTCATCGATGTCGATGTCGATTTTGTTACCGGGCCTTCTAGATTCCGAACCACCGGAATCGTCTTGTTTGGAATCGTTTAGATCTTGTAGTTTTCCTTTGGTGCGGATTTTCTTGATTTTTCTTTTGGGTTTCTTGAATTTGGCCATTTCTTCTTCGTTGTAGTAGTCGGAGGCTAACTTCAGATTGGATTCCGAGGCGCTTTCTAGGCGTTTTTTGGCCAGTTTGGCTTTGATTTGGCGCATCGAAGCTTCTTTACGTTCCTGGGCGTTATCGTAACCTGTCGAAGAAAATTATTATCTATTATTATCAAGTAAATTACTAGAAAGTAACATCAACACACCGATTTTAAACGACTCTCTTTTCTCTCCTCCAATCTCCTCGTCGTATTTCCCCAACAAACTTTTTCCACGGTAATTTCCATCATCATCAAACTCCTCGTCTTCGTACGGATTATAAATCGCCTTCTTCTTCTTATTTTCTATGTTTTTCCTATACTTTTCCTCGTCGATCATATTCACATTCACCAATACGTCGTCTCCATCTTCGTCCAAAATGGCCTTGTCCTTTAGGGTTAATATGACGGTTTTTTCTTCATCGAAACTATCGAGATCGTGCTGGATGGTGAGTCCTTTTAGATCTTTTTCCGTATATTTTTTAGGCGTTTTCACGCGATTTTCCTCCAATTGCGCGTCCAATTCCTCCAACATCCTCTCCCTTTTCTGGGCTTCCAGCTTTTCTTCGGCCTTTTTCCTCGATTTATCCACCCAAGCGGTTAGATCTTCTTCATCGTCGGACTCTCCGAGAGTCTTAACTGCCGATAATTTATGAGATAATCGGCGTTTTTCGCGCATCTCCTGCAATTTCGTGCGCACTTTCTCCTGCTGCGTTTTCTCGTTGATGTTCTGGGCCGGCTTGTGGTAAAATTCGCCCCATTCGTCCTTTTTCATATCGTCTTTGGAGCTCGTGTGGCCTTGATCTAGCGGCTTTAAGCCCAACTTGGCCCTGAGTTTGTTTGTTTCGTCTATCGAAAGGGAATCCTGGTGATTGGATTGGTTCTCCTGGGCTTTGTCTTGAGGAGAAATCGGCGCAGGTGGGGATGAAGTAGGGGGATCGTCGATGATTTCCACGACATCGGAATCTGGAAAAACACGCGGAAAACTCAATCGATAACAACGTTATTTGTATTAAAAAGTTAAAATCAAACCTTCGCTTTCGTATTGTCTCGATGATTTTTCATCATCGTACTTGGTCGGTTTATTGTCCCTTTTCCTGTCTTTGTGATCTTTGTGGTGGTGATGATGGTGCTTCTTGTGCTTGTGCCTCTTTTCCTTGGGGGAATCTTGGGGATTTTCTTCAAATCGACGCTTTCTCGACTCTTTTTCCTTGCCTTTCTTGCTACTAGAACCCATACTGAACTGTATGAACTTATTTAGTATACCTGGCTGTGTTTCGTCATCGAAGTATGGAGACTAAAATAAAAGAAATGGGTAGAAATTTTTAGGATTATTAGGAAGAATTCGAGTAAATTAATTACCTACTTTAAACGTTTATTCAACGAACACCAAACAAGAGTCAAGAATAGGTTATTTTCTAACTGACACCTGTCACCTGTCTAATGTCAATTAGTTGTCAAAATTAAACACCGTTCTATTGGGCCGAATAACCTACGTAGGTAAAACAAAATAAGTAAGAAAAAAAGAAGATTCCAAAATGTATGTCTAGTACGTCGATCTAGTACAATTTTGTTTACAAATAAATTTGGTAACACTGTTCCCAGCATTACCAACATCACCAAAAAAATCCCTAATGTCATTCTTTATTTCCGTTCTACAGCGAAGTGAAGTCGTGTAAATGGTGAGTTTTTTTGGATTTGACTCGATTAAATTAATTTCGCTGCGTTTAAATTCGCATTTCACACGTTTTGCAATCAAAACTAATTCATTAAGTAGAAGAATCGTCAATTTTCGTTATTTTTTACCACTCGATAAATTCTAACCGTACTTTCCCACAAACACATGGCTGTAAATAATTAAATGTATTGATATAATTATCGATCGATTACACACAAGTTTTGTAAATTTTCATTCCGATTTGACTCGAACAAATTTTAACCTCAATTTCCCGTTAATATGTATAATTTATTTATGCATTTTTATAGACTTGCAAGAGAAGAAATGGTGGCCGTTCGAAGCACGGACGAGGCCATGTGAAACCTGTAAGATGCACCAACTGCGCTAGATGCGTGCCTAAAGACAAGGCTATCAAGAAATTCGTTATTCGTAACATCGTTGAAGCCGCTGCTGTTAGGGATATAACCGAGGCCTCCGTGTATCAAGGTAAACAATCACTAATATCACTGATTTGAGTGAATTTAATGGGTTAAAATTACATTTAAAGTGCTTTGAAAACCCTTTAATTGTATTCAACTTGAACATATTTTTATAATTTCAGCTTATGTCCTGCCCAAGCTCTACGCGAAGCTCCACTACTGCGTGTCCTGCGCTATTCACAGTAAAGTAGTGAGGAACAGGAGCAAGAAGGACAGGAGGATCAGGACTCCGCCTCAGAGGAACTTCCCCGGTAGGGACGGCGCCAGGCCGCAACCCCAGGGTGCTCCCAGAAAGTAGTTTTAATGAATAAACTCTATTAAAAATCTCGTAAATGTGCTGTTTTATTGTCGAAATAATTTCTCCTTTTTCCGGATGAGACTGTACTGAGTAGGTGTCTGGTTCTTGGTGGCTAATGGCTATGTCAATTTCGAGGAAGAGGCTAAAAGTAGGTTACTTTTTATTTTGACGAAAAAGAAGACGACTGATTTTTTATTTATCGTTCCATGTCAATTTTCAACTGACATATCTGTCAGAATAAGTTGTTTGAAATTTGGCAACAGTGAGTGTCGTTTACATTCCTCAATCTGGCCGATGTTGTGATGTATTGATTTTTAAAAGTGTAATTACAAGAATCACGACCTGCATTGCAGCGGAAAATCCCTTCGTTTAAACATGGTAAACCATTTATCAACGATCATTTCAAGTCGAATACGCAGTAACAACAATTTGTATTTATTTAGGGTCTCTTCAAAGTCGCAAAGTGTCCAACAGACGAATTATCTTTGTCCAATTGTGCTGTGGTAAACGACGGAGACTTCTCAGCTGATGTTAAGTAGGTGAATTATCGCGAATCATTACGGTTAGTTGTGATGCATTTTATTGTAGACACATTCGAGTGAACACGGGAGGCGGACAGAATTTCATATTTTCAATCAAAGGCCACCCGAGCATCTTCAAATCCCAAGTGGGGTTCAGTCTACCGCAAAGGAAATGGGCCGTTTTGTCCCTAAATCAAGACATCAATGTCGATCCTTACGTTCCCACCGAATACATTTCTTCCATCGTATTCGAGGCCGATTACATGCAAAAGAAAACGTAAAATATTTATGAATCAATACGATTCATTTGTTGTTAATTCGGTGAATTTCAGAACTTCGCAGGAGCAATACGATACAGACGAAATGGCCAAGGAGTTTTTGTATGCATTCCCCAACCAAATGTTTACAGTGGGGCAACAGTTGGCTTTCGCTTTCAAGGATAAAAAATTGCTAATATTATTCGTTAAAGACATCGAAGGTAAAAGACTTTAATTCGATAATAATACACTCGTTAAATTGTTTATTGTAGTGGTGGAGATAGCTAAAATAAGGGCGGGAGGAGACGTAAAACCGAGGAAAGCTAAACTAGGTCAACTCATACCTAATTCGCTCATACAATTCGAGAAAGCCGAAAACACCTCGTTGAATTTGGTCGGCAAATCTCAAGGGTAAATTAACGATTCTATTCCTTTACTATTTAACGAAACGATTTTTTGGTAAATTTACAGGAAGGTCGTTCGCCAATCGATCATCAATCCCGATTGGGATTTCAACAAAATGGGCATCGGCGGTTTGAGCAACGAATTCAACGCCATATTCAGGAGGGCTTTCGCTTCGAGGGTCTTCCCGCCGGAATTAGTCGAACAGCTAGGCAGCAAACACGTCAAAGGTAAACCGGAATTGTATCTAAATAACTGAATAGTAGAAGACCTCATTTTAATTTTTATATTAATTGTAGGTATATTGTTGTACGGCCCTCCGGGTACCGGTAAAACTCTCATGGCCAGGCAAATAGGAAAAATGCTGAACGCCCGAGAACCGAAAATCGTCAACGGGCCCCAAATTCTCGACAAATACGTGGGCGAATCCGAAGCCAACGTCAGACGATTGTTCGCCGAAGCCGAAGAAGAGGAGAAACGGGTACTTAATTCTCTTAATTCATCCAAAACAACCATCGTAAATTATCCGTTAAATTAAATGTTAAAGGCCGGCCCGAACAGCGGCTTGCACATCATCATATTCGACGAAATCGACGCCATTTGCAAGCAAAGAGGATCGGTGGCCGGTAACACCGGAGTACACGATACAGTTGTCAATCAATTACTGTCGAAAATCGACGGCGTCGAGCAATTGAACAACATCCTAGTAATTGGTAAATTACTAAATGAAGCGTTATGGTAACTCCATGTTAATCGAAATACATATTACTTATATAGGTATGACGAACAGAAGGGACATGATCGACGAAGCCCTATTGAGACCCGGCAGATTGGAAGTTCAAGTGGAGATCAGCCTGCCCAACGAAGAAGGTCGCATACAAATCCTCGATATACACACGTCCAGGATGAAGCAATACAAAAAAATCAATCCTGACGTCGATATAGCCGTTAGTAAAACACCTATACATTTGTTTGTAACACTAGAGCAGATTAAAGTAGAGTTAAATTACTCGAGAGTAGAGTAGAGTCGAAGAGAGTAGTGTAGACTCAAAGTTGAGTGGGGTAGAGATGAAGAGAGTAGTGTAGATTTAGAGTAGACTAGAGTCGAAGAGAGTAGTGTAGACTCAAAGTTGAGTAGAGTAGAGTTGAAGAGAGTAGTGTAGATTTAGAGTAGACTAGAGTTGAAGAAAATGGTGTAGACTCAAAGTTGAGTGGAGTAGAGATGAAGAGAGTAGTATAGAAGAGAGTAGTGTAGATTTAGAGTAGACTAGAGTCGAAGAGAGTAGTGTAGACTCAAAATTGAGTGGAGTAGAGATGAAGAGAGTAGTATAGAAGAGAGTAGTGTAGATTTAGAGTAGACTAGAGTTGAAGAAAATAGTGTAGACTCAAAGTTGAGTGGAGTAGAGATGAAGAGAGCAGTATAGAAGAGAGTAGTGTAGATTTAGAGTAGAGTAGAGTCGAAGAGAGTGTAAGAAAGATTATGTTTTCGACAGGAATTGGCTACCCTGACAAAGAACTTCTCCGGGGCCGAATTGGAGGGTCTCGTCCGAGCGGCTCAATCCACGGCGATGAATCGATTGATAAAGGCCTCTTCGAAGGTGGAAGTCGATCCGGAAGCCATGGAAAAGTTGATGGTGTCCCGGTCGGATTTCATGCACGCTTTGGAGAACGACGTGAAGCCGGTAATGAATGATAAAATGGGGTGTTTTTCTTGCGAGAATTATCTAATAATGTTTTTATAGGCGTTTGGTACAGCTCAAGAGGTGATCAATCAGTTCCTGGCTCGTGGTATAATCAATTGGGGTCCGCCCGTTACCAGTATTTTGGAGGACGGGATGTTGTTTATACAACAGGCCAGAGCTACCGATACTTCGGGTATTTGTATATATATTTTTTGGAATTATTAATTTGTGTAATGTATGAATTTTGTAGGATTGGTTTCGGTGTTGATCGAAGGTCCTCCGAATGCAGGCAAGACCGCTCTGGCGGCGCAATTGGCGAAAAATTCCGATTTTCCATTCGTTAAAGTTTGTACACCAGAAGAAATGGTCGGTTTTACGGAAACAGCGAAATGCCTGACTATACGTAAAGTAATTGAATCGACTCTATTATTGGATTTTTGTAATCGTTTGATGAATTTTATTGTTTTGTAGGTGTTTGACGACGCCTACCGTTCGACTTTGAGTTGCATTTTAGTGGATAATATCGAAAGATTGTTGGATTACGGTCCGATCGGTCCGCGTTATTCGAATCTAACGTTACAAGCTTTGTTGGTTTTGCTTAAAAAGCAACCGCCGCCCGGCAAGAAGTTGCTCATTTTATGTACGACTAGCCGAAGGTATCGATCGAATTCATCGATATATCCTAATAATTTTTTTGTAATATATAATGTTTGGTTTTAGGCTAGTTTTGGAAGAGATGGAAATGTTGTCGGCCTTTACGGCGGTTTTGCATTTACCGAATTTATCCAAACCGGAGCATCTGTTGAACGTTCTGGAAGCCTGCGATGTGTTCTCCGGCAAGGAGTTGAAACAAATAACGCATCAGATACACGGGAAAAGGTGGGGGTTTATCGAATTTTCTAATATTTATTTGTAATTGTTTCGGTATTTTAGAATTTTCATCGGCATCAAGAAGCTGTTGGCTCTAATTGACATGGCCAGGCAAACGGACGAAAGGCTCAAAGTCGTGAAGTTTATATCGAAGTTGGAGGAAGATGGGGCTTTAGAGGATCCTGGAATGGCATGAAAATCATCTCGTAATAATCGAAATTCTTGTTGTGTATAGCGAATTCTCGGTATTGCCTATATGCTTTTTTTTAACGTTTATTTCCCAACGGTATTTGTAACGAAAATGCAATGTTAACGCAAATAATTATAATTAGGCTATTTTAACAAGTAAATTAAACGATATATGTATTCATTATGATAAATTAGAGAACAAGAAAAGAGCAAAATTAGTTGATTGTGCAATTATTACGAAATGTTCAAATGTTGTGCCATTCTGAGTTGATTTTTTTATGCAAATTTTGAACAAAACCTTTTTTTTACATTTGCTATTGCAATGCACTTTAGAAATAATAGGTTGTTGAGGCTTGAATTTTATTTATTGAACTCAGAATGATAAATTTTTTGTTGGTAGTTCTAGTTAGAAAATCGTCAAACGTACTTATTATATAATAAGGTGTATTTACGGGATATTTTTGCACGCCGTACATTTTTTGCTTATAGCAAAAAATTCCCATTAATTCCCATTAATCTGAACAATTCCACATGTATTGAATAAGTTACTGAATTTATTAATTTTCAAACATTCCAAGGCTTAACTAAGAATTTGATTTTACGTGAAATATTCTGTATGTTTGTAGTATTGAAGTAGCTAAACTAGCTGAATATTTTTATCATATCTTCTTAACTAGTGGAGTATTCGAAAAAGTGTTATTAGTGAAACGAGAACTTATATTGTTGATCGAAACGGGTTATAAAAATGTGTAATATCTTTATAAAAATAATTAAATTGATCGTAAATCGATAAATTTCATTTATTATTGTCATTATGTGATGTAGCTTCATTTAGTAAATTCAGTCATCTTTAATTAATTATAAGAGTCAATTAGAAGTTAAGAAAACATCCCTATAATTCGACTGAATTGCGATACATGTTAATTTAATCGATTTAGTTTATTTGTATATTTTGAGTATTTGTTGTATTTATTGTACAGTGTTATAGCTTAAAATACTTAATTGTTGATGAAGATAAAAATGTATACCGATATAGAAAAATCAATAAAAATATTCTAAAGTAATTAAATCGTTTATTTCGTTATTTGCGTTCGTGTGAATTACAAAACAGAAATTCGAACTTCCTCGCAATTCAAGGCCTCGACAAAGAGGGCTATTCGGCATAAATACGCAATAAGAGATATAAACAGTAGACAGAATATAACGAAATTTATTTATCTTCGAGATACACCCCGTATAAAATCTAAAATTAGAAATGCGTTAATGCATTCAAAAACTCTACCCTTTCCCGGCATCCCGGATTCCAGCCAGAAATCCAGGAATCCAGGTGAGAATCGCAGGCTCCTAGATCGAGCGCAAAATCGCCGCCTAATTTTCGCACGGAAACCGCGCCGATTCGCGCGAAACCGCCTCGAATTCGCGCCTCGAATTAGCCGGGCGATAGTGTCGAAAATTATCGCGATAAACAATCAATTAATTTACGCGAAATAAATCTTTTCAATCTTTAGGAGTTCGGGGAAAGTGCGCGCGCACCGCGCCCGAAATGCCTCAACAACCCTGTCGCAACTTGAACCTGTATCCCGCGCGCGGCGTTGCCGGATCAATTAATTTATCAACGGATCCTTAGATTTCTATATGCGCTCGATTTAATAATGCTGTTGGAGAAATAATCCGCGCTTCGTATTCGATAGAAGACGTTCAAACGATCGTTAATGACCGAAATAGCGCGTTCGAGAGTAGCGTTAAATTGATTAATTAGCGATTAAACGCGCGACGAACGCGCTCGCAAGGCGTTGGTAAAACGAAAACAGGTAGCGATCTGGGTATTTTCGAACGAAACGTATCGGCAACAGCGCCGTTTATCCGCCGCCGCGATACTCTTCTTGCGAGTCGCACGTACGGATGTCGTCCGGTTATTTTTCGCGAATTTCGAGTACTTTACGCGACGGACGAACGGGAAAAGTACGGGAATAAATAGTTCGAGCAACGACGGGACATCTGGCCAGCCGCCGGCCGTCGCCCAGCCGCCGCCGCGCCCGCCACGAACAGGTAAAATCATCTATATAAATGTTTCTTTTTAGTTTTCCCTTGCCCGTGCGCGCAAAACGCTAAACATGCATATAACGTAAAAGAGCGTTTTTCGTGTGTGTGTGTCGGTCGGAAATCTAGCGGGCGGCGAGATATCGCGTCCTGTCAAAAGTCATTTTATTAGAAAAAAGAAATCAAAATGTTTCCTCTACATAAATACACGAAAAGAGCAAAAAAAAACTTTGTATATACATGTATAATACGCGATAAGATTAAATTAGGTGTTGCTAGATATACGCACACTATATTGTACTATGTTATAGAGAATAAATAAATGTACAAAACCGCGCAACGTGTGCGTGTTGCAAGCACTTATATTATTATTTATACGCGTGTAGTTTTAGGGAAAAAAGGAACAAAATGTACGTAATAAAAATATATTTTTCACGTAGGTTTTTAAAAAACGTAGCATAAAATGACGTCGTTGAGGAATAGAGAGCGCATCTTGGAGGCGATAGACCAGTTGCGACGTCGCAAGGCCCGTCCGGACTTCCAAAGGATCAGCAACTACTTGTTCAGGCGTTTCGCGGTGAATTCGTCGGAGGCGCGAGCGGATCTCGAGCGGTGCGTGGCCGATAATCACGTGCTCAAAGTCGAATACAAGGGCAGCATAAGTTACCGCAATGCCGCTAAAAAGAACGCTCAGGCTCAAATGAGGCACAAGAACCACACGGAACAATCCAGAACTAAACCTCCACCACCGCCGCCTACTATTACTAATGCGAGTAATAATAAAAACAATAGCGACGATCAAGCGGGCGGCGTCGCCGCTAATTCGCCCGGCAGCGACAATTACAAGACGAATCGGCAGTTCAACGAATTACTGACGAACGCTTTTGGCGAATTGATCGTCTACGAGCCGGATTATTTGGAGACCGGCGTGCCGAGCGGCGAAATAATCGCCAATATATTGGCCAAAGACAGCGTCAGATACACCAAGAAATACCTGAGCATCCTGTTAGAAAAGGAAGTTGACGCCGGGCGATTGATAAAGACGCAAGACGGCAGTTACCTTATGGGGCCGTCGAAGGAGGAAGAGGGCGCGACCGAGCGAAAGAAAAGGACGGACCGCGATGTGATTGTCGGCGCTGATCGGAATCACTTGCGTTCGAATCACAATCACGATTCCCATCATCATGATAATCATGGGAATTTCGTCACGGTGGTCAAGATCGAAGGCGGCGAGCCGGCGACGGTCGAGTTTGAGAGGCAGGTGAAAAGCGAAAATGTCGTCGGTATGGATTCGACGGGTAATTCGGTCGATAAGAAGAAATCGGACGGTTTGTTGAGGACGGGTGGCAGGCGAAAGGTCAGTGCACTTTCCTGTTTATTTTTTTTTTGTTTAATTTTGATTCTTCTTCTCTATTACCGATACGTCAATACTGTCACTTCTGTCAACTGTCAAAAACAAATTGTGTGTTCTCTGTTTTGTTGTTATAAAAGTGCAAATAACTTCTCGAAGAAAATGTCTAAATACAAAGTAAATATTCGATAATTCATTAAATCGTTCTATTTTATTTAACCAATTTTCACGTTTTCGATTACATTCGAATTTATTTGACCTACTTTACTAACCGTGAAATTACTTTACATTCACTTTACATATTCCCCAAGCAAGCACAATCTAATAACCGTTACTCTACCATATTTTCAGAGAGCTAAAAAAGTGTTTGATCCCTCCGACAACCACGTACCGAAGAAACGAGGCAGACCGGTCGGCTCTCTAAACCGTTCGACCATCGAAAAACATCTAGCCAGATTGAACAATGAGGAATACAGAGAGAATCGCCCCGATTCGAGAACTTCCTCCAACGGAAGAGACCAAGGCGGCGTCTGTTCCGTTTGCCACCTGCAAAACAGGAAAGGGCCAAACGATCGAATGGTCGCTTGCAGGGAATGCAGCAACAAAGGTTTCGCTTCGATATTAACCAATACAATTTAATTACTAATTATGTTTCTTCGAATTCCAGCGCATATCGGTTGCTTAAACGGTGACGATATGATGTTGAAAATGTACCCGGACAACACTTGGCAGTGTCCGCATTGCAAAACTTGCGTGGTGTGCTTCGAAACATCGGACGCTGTAAGTATTTACTAACAGTTTTATAAACTAATAATGATTAATTATGTGCTGTTTAAGGGTAACTTGATCGTATGTTCGGTTTGTGCCGATGGTTATCACGCGAGCTGTCACCAACCGAGGATCACGGAGAAGATCCGGAACGGTCAAAAGTGGCTGTGTACCAATTGCCACATGCCGGACGAGCTTAAAATCAACGCGATACAATCGAACATCAACTCGTTTAGTCGCAAGAGTTCATTAGGTTTGTACCAATAGTTAAAAATGTGTATATAAAGTAAAAGATTAATTTTGTAGTGTCCGATGCTAATGAAAATACATCTTCGAATTCGGGCGTTTCGTCGCCTTCGAATTACGTTTCCCCTTCGATATCTCCGACGCCTCCTCAATTGAGCCCTCAGACTGGTTTGAGATCGGAATCTCCTGATGCAGATGCTCGATCGGATTCGCAGAGCTTGAAGGAGGATTACGAAGAGGACAATATCGATCCTTCGATACCTGATGCTACACATTGGACAGTCGAAGAGGTGTATCAGTACTTCTATCGGTACTTTCCCGAAGAAGCTGAGATTTTTAAGGAGCAGGTAAAAGATGGAGATGGTTATTTTGTGTAAGAGATTATTTATTGTGATTTTTTTAGGAGATTGATGGAAGGTCTCTTTTGCTGTTGAAGAGATTGGACGTACTGACGAATTTGAATTTAAGACTGGGTCCGGCGTTGAAAATATACAAACACATTGTGAAATTGCAAGTGAGAAGGGACGATCCGAGATTGTATTGGCTTTAAGAAGAAGAAACGTTTTTGTTAGTAGTAAATATCGATTAACCTTTAACGATAACTGAATTTATTTGTTAAGTATTATAGTGTTTGCTACAATTGCGTTTTCTAATGTGTGTTATGGGATTATTAAGAGAATGTTTGAGGAAAGGAATTTTAAAATGATATCCTTTTGTGTGTCGGTTTTCTCCGAACAATATTATATTCGAATTATACTTGTTATGTAGATTTCGTAGTTGAATATTTTGTAAGTCGATAATAATTTATTACCTATTAACGATCGTGATAGATTATTTTATAACGTAATTATTAACGATATGTATACGTAGAATATTTTAATCTAGGTACTTTCTATTTATTGTATTATAGCGTAGCTACGATATTTGTAATAAAACATTTTGACGATTCGATACCCCGTTTCATTGCCTGTACTATAACGAATGTAATGGATACCCGATGATAATAATAAATCGATCTCTTCGGCTGTTGAGTAGTAAAACAGGATATTCGGAATCGAATTACGGTAATGGAATAATCCGCATTTTGCAACTCGAGTTTATCAGTCTCGTCGAGTAATCAGCCCGAAGAAAATCCCTAAGAGTACAAAAAAATCTACGAATAAACGCGATTCTTGTTGATTTTTCGCGTGTTATCTTCTTTGTTTTCTGATAGGCAACGTTTAGAAACGTCGCCTTGCGAACAAACAAGAGTCTGTAAAACATGGAAGAAACTCCGTTGATCGATTTCAGGTCATCTCGTGATCACCAAGTAAGCGAATTTCTACCTATTTTTTTCCCTATCAAAATCTTCGAATTACCTCGATAAGGTATCTTATTTCGTTAGAAGCTTCGTTACATTCTCCTTATTATACTTGTTTAAAAAACTTGTAGAAGGAACTGGAATTATCATCGACTTCGACAGAATCTTATTCGAAATGGTCATCAGCTGTGGAAGAAGGTATCACCTTAGCCTGGGACAATCTCTCTGTATATACAAAGACAAGCAGATACCAAAAGCGTATAATCAACGGAGGTAACAAAAGTATAATTATTCAATAATTGTTTACTAATTACTGGAATTTAAGTGAGTGGAGCGGTAAAGGCGGGTAGTTTGGTGGCGATAATGGGCTCAAGGTAAGTACAATTCGGATAAATCCTAGCGCAATTAATCCAATTTTTGAATAGTGGCGCCGGTAAGAGTACTTTAATGTCGGCTTTAGCTCATCATACAATGGGTAAGAATATTATTATTTGTAATAAAACAAAAAAAAACATAATATTACACACAGGTGATACCTTCGTCGAAGGAACCATCCTGATAAACGGCAGACCAATCGGTGACTACATGAAATTCCTCAGCGGATTTATGCACCAAGAGGACATATTCGTGCCCTATCTAACAGTCAGGGAACACATGACTATAATGGTACTAGAATTACACGTTTCGCACAATCGATTAGTACCGTTTTTCAGGCGAATTTGAAGCTCGATAGGAGGATATCCTCCAACGAAAAGCAGCGATTAATCAACGACATCTTGAGCCAATTGGGCTTGCTGAATTCCATCGATACCCGAATAGGAGGCGGAGATATCGAAAAATCCCTATCAGGCGGCGAGAAAAAACGACTGGCCTTCGCTACAGAGGTAAATAAGCCAATCCTATAGACGACTATACATTCCTTTTTACATTCCTCCCAGTTGCTGACAGACCCCCAGGTCCTCTTCTGCGACGAACCCACCACCGGCCTCGATTCCTACTCGGCCAGAAAACTGGTAGGCATGATGAGCGAAATGGCCACCGCCCGAAAAACCATCCTCTGCACCATTCACCAGCCTTCATCGGACGTCTTCTCCATGTTCAACCAGCTGATACTCATCGCCGACGGCCGGACGGCCTTCGTGGGCCCCACTTACGCCGCCTTGGAGTTCTTCGAACAGTGCGTATGGATCTCTTCTTCTTCTAGGGCCCCACCTAAAGTCTCCTAAAATTCTTATCTATGGAGGTCTTCTACTGAGCAATTCTTAGTCTTGGAGGTCTTCTCCTTGTGTTCTTCTACCAGTTTATCATGCAATACTCTCGCTGAGGTTGTTGTTGATGGTTTTTGTTGTAGATTGGGCTACTTGTGCCCGAGTTCCTACAGCCCGGCGGATTTCTACATAAAGACTTTGTCGATGATGCCGGGTTGTGAGGAGGATGGAGGTCGCACTGCGAAGAGGATTTGCGATCAGTTTGTGGTCAGCGACTACGCCAAAGAGGTGGAGATTGTAGTGAGATACGAGATCCACCTCAATAGAAATCTAATCGTAAGAAACTGTTGGTTATTATTATCGTGTAGTGTGATAATTTTTTGATATTTTTTTGTAGGAAAACAAGTTTGAAATACGAAAGGATTTGTAAGCTACAATCGCGTTTAAAAGGGGAGTAAAATGTAATAGTAAATGTTGTTTTTAGTCGAGCTGTGGTGTGGCCTGTGAGAGTATTCTGGTTAACGCGTCGATGGTTTTTGGAATTAATTAGGAATCCTTCGTTGGAATCCACTAAACTATTCCAACGACTCGTAAGAGACTAATAAAACCAACAATATTAAATTATAACTACATTTTTTTGTAGTTCATAGGGCTGATAGTGGGTTTCTGTTATTTCGGAACCGACGGCCTCACCCAAAAAGGCATTCAGTCCGTCGAAGGGATCATTTTCATGTTCGTTACTGAGAACACTTTCAATCCCATGTACAACGTATTGGCTCATTTTCCTAGTTATTTGCCGCTGTTCTTGAGAGAGTACAAATCCGGATTGTATCATCCGTTCACTTATTACATTTCCAGAATACTATCTTTGGTAAGTATACTAATAGCACGCCTGAAAGTTAGGCAACACACATTACACATACACTTGCGTGAAAGATTAAAATAAAAGTTAGAAGAGAAATATGGAGCTGCTTTTAAAGGAGGTTGATGTACAACTTTATACTGTGTCTTTTGCTTTATAATTTCTTAAAATTTATCAATACTTAATACTTTTTATAATTATACTATTTTATCTATATTTATATAGTTGTATTGACAACTTGTAGACATGAGCCTCCGTGGCGCAATTGGCTAGCGCGTTCGGCTGTTAACCGAAAGGTTGGTGGTTCGAGCCCACCCGGGGGCGTTATTTTTTTTTGCTTTTTTTCGCGAATACTATTTTTCCAGATTCCATCTTTCCTACTGGAACCCATCATATTCGTCGTTTCGGCTTATTGGTTATCCGGTTTACGCTCTGCCGCTTCCACTTTTACAGCCACTCTGCTCGTCGTGATATTGACTATGAACGTTTCCTCGGCTTGCGGTACTTATACTCGATTAAATTCGCGATGATTTCGAGTGCTATTCGATCTATTTTCGCAGGTATTATGTTTTCCAATGCCTTCGATTCGGTACCCGCGGCTTTGGCTTATTTGGTACCCTTCGATTATGTCCATATGATTACTGCCGGTGTTTTCATTCGATTAAGGTAAAAAAATCATTCAAAAAATCGCCTCTATTAAACTCAATCGTATATTTCAGTACTCTTCCGAATGTTATAGCTTGGGTAAAGTACCTATCCTGGTTGATGTATTCCACTGAAGCTTTGAATATATTGCAATGGAAGGGCATCGTGAATATCGGTGGGTAGTTATTTCGAATACAAAGTTTTCCATATACATTTTCTCGGGTTTTTAGGTTGCGAAAATCAACCTGAAGGTGTACCGTGCATCCAGAACGGCACGCAAATCCTGGAAATGTACTCATTTTCCGAAGAGAACCTATGGAAAGACGTCTCCGGCATGTTGATATTACTAATTTCTTTCTACGCATTGGGTTATTTCTTTTTATGGAGAAAAATAAGACGTTATTAAAGTACTTAATTAAATCGTATTTTATTGTATCCCCAGTGAGTCAGCGAGTGACTATTCCGGCTTTATTATTACGCTAAAAAAAGAGACGAATTAGCGGTTTTATTTCAGTTAACAAGTAGACACTCGACCGTAATAATAGCATAATAGCAGCCTCCCGAAATAACCCTCCAATGCGCCACGAATCGTGGAAAAAAAGACACGAACAAACAAATAAAAAGAAGAAAAATACGAGAGAATCTAGTGATCATTATATCACATTCCCGTTCTCTCCCGTTCTCGCCGAAAAAGATCAACATCCTCTCTCATTGACTTTCAGGAGTTTCAGTTTCGGTTTCGGCTTTTCAGTCGAGCATCGACGGCGGCTCTGAAACCACCGGAGCGGTTGCCATAACGACCGCTGGCGATATTTCCACCGCTCGGGAAAGCTTTAGTGGAAGAGTGGAAAGCTTTAGTCAATTTTCCCGCGTACGTTTGTTATTATTTTTTTTTATATCGGGGGTTCGTTGTGGGTAAAACTGGCGAGGAAATTGCATTGTCTAGAACGGGGTTTTGGTTGATGAAAGGTGATTGTCTGTTTAGGAATGATAGGAAAATTCTGTGGCGATTTTCGGAGCATCGCGCTTGGGGGTTTTTCCCCCTATTCTAGACGAAGCTTTTCCGCTGATGCGAGGGAATTCGCTCGAACGGTGTAGCGCTTTTTCTATCGCTTTTGGAGCAGGTAAATTATTTTTTTGTATGCCTGGATGTAGGGTAAAAATTGGTGTAAAAATTGTGCAAAAAATTAGCTAAAAAAATAACGTTTTTAATTCAAGGTTTTAGTTCTGGTTGGAATCGAAATATAGCGTCGATAGAGCAATAAAATCGCGTTTTTTCTAGTGTATTCAAGTGCTCGATTTTATTGCTTTATATACAAAAACTTAATAGCACATTCAATCAGTTATTTATACAGAAACAAATTTACCCTGCATACAGGATGTAACACATTGTTAGACAAAAAACGAAAAATCGAACACCCCGTATACATTTTCATAATTTCACATGCAGACGCTATAATAAGTACATTCGACCTAATTGTTCGAAACACCTACCATCAATTTAAACCGGCGCGCGATTTAGAATATCTCCAGTTATTAATTTCGACAATTTTTCAGCGAAAGGTCGCGACACTTAACAAAAAAATCATACATAATGAGTCGCTTTAATTGCGATATATTCTTCGTTCGTTCACCCACAAAAGTGAGTTTTTATTATACTATACATCAAAAAAAAAATAGATAATGAAAATTCCCAGCCGGTTAATTACCAACATCGATTCCTCTATTAATTGTTATAGCGCGCCGATGAGTAGGTGTAAAATAACTTTTAGTCAGCGGATTTTTCCGAGAGTTTTCCTCGCGGAACCGTCGATAACACAATGAATAATGGCTGATACGTCGCCGAGAAATGATCAAACCGCCAGTCCCGCCGTCACGCCCGAGTCTTCCATCGACGAGGAAAACTTCCTGGTGCCCCGCAGGACCGGCCTGAAGGAGGCGGACGGTCGCAGGAGGCGGCCCAGATGGAGGAAGGACACCCCTTTCGGTATACTCGCCGTCAGCCTGATTCAGGTAAAAATCGGAAAAAGGTGGAGAGAAAAATTGGGAAAAATTTTATATGTAGAGAGAATTTCATTTCGGTAAATACATTTAACGGAAAGTAGGTTAATTAATCTGATATTACGAAGGTTACGTTGTTTTTGTAAAAATGTATGTTCAATGTAAACGAGCTATCGGGCTGGATTTAAATATTTACAAATCGTTTGATTAGAAATTAGAAATTCCAATATCCGCATCGGATTTATTTATGTATACGCAATGTATAGATTTCCTTATTATTGTTAGAATTTTTTTTATTTTCTTAGCTCTAAGGTCTGAAAACAACCTATGTTTATGCATTTGACAGTTCAAGCTGTCAAAACTCCAAAAATTATTTTTTGACATTTCGAAGAGAAAATTGAGAAATACACTAACCGAAGGTACGTGAGGTATGATGTTAACAACAAAATCATCGCTGATTTAAGTATATTTTTATATTCTCTCTATATTTTTAGTTTGAATAAACCCTCTTTTAATGCTAATTCTATATAATTCGTACGCAAAAAACGGTTGTCGTTTATGTATGTTCTGTGGTTGTCGTTTACAACATCGCCTCCTAGCGGTCGTTTTAGAAACCCCGCGTTTTATCCTCAAATAACGCTACACTTATTCAACCTACGTTTCCACACTTAATAAACACACACCCGTGGTTCAATCTAACCGAAATTTCCAGCTCCTCGTGCACGCCCTCTCCACCCCAAGGCTCAGCAAACGGCTCAGATTCGAGCCGGACGGGCGCCTCCAAATATGGCGCTTCATCACCTACATGTTCGTCCACGACGATTGGTACCACGTCACCCTCAACGTCCTCATCCAAACCATCTTCGCCGTGCTGCCGGAGAAACGCCAGGGCCGCTGGCGCGTTTTGCTCCTCTACTTCCTCGGGGGCTTCTTGGGCGTCCTCGCCGCCTCCTGCGTGCGCCCCGACATCGTCATCGGCGCCTCGGCGGGCGTCTACGCCCTCTTGATATCCCATCTATCAGACATCATCCTAGTGAGAACTGTTTCATTACTCTTGAATTGAATGAATTAATCGGTGTTGTTTTTGTAGAATTATTCGACGGTGGAGTACAAAGTGTACAGGGCCGGTTCGATTGGGGTGCTGGTGGTCTTCGACGTGGCGTATAACGTGGTGCACGTGTATTTGAAGAAGGAGCCCGTCATATCGTGGGAGGCGCATTTCGCTGGAGGCGCCGCCGGGTTGCTCTTGGGCTTCGTGTTGTACAGAAGCGATGATAAAGAGAAATCGGCGGTGAATAGAACGTTGTATTGGGCGAGTTTTTTTATTTATATCGCCTTGGTGACTTGCTGCGTCGTTTTGACGGTGCAAATCGAGAGATGTACCGATCCTAACGTTATACGGTTTAGATATATCTATGTTTGTTGATGATGATGGTCATTGTAAACGGTTTTGGTTTTGTTTGATTTTTTTTTATTGTAAATAAGACTGAGGTTTATACACGATTATTGCTGTTTACTAATTTTTATACTCAATAAATGAATGAATTGCGCAACCGAAGAATTTGTTTTGAAAAAATAGACAATTTTATCATTTTGTATTTATTAAAAAAAATTTTGTGGCGGTTCCTGCTCCACCTGATCCGGTAACGACTCTGCCGCTAGCCCCGAGAGGGCGTGTGAGTCGCCGAAAACAGCTGTTGACAGTTCGTACTGAATGTTAGAAAAAAGAAGATCCGAAGTCAACTGTCATCTGTCAACCAGAGCCAAAAAAGAACCGCTCAATGCTCAACTCATGATTTTTCTTGTTTATTCCAATAATAATTACGTGTTTTTCTTGTGGATACAACAATAAAGTTTGTACATCGTTAAAAGCAGTTTTATGGGACCCCTGTAAACCCATAATTGGTGACCCCGAAAGAACTTAGAAACTCTAAAATACGTGTTGACCTGTGACGTGCCACGTGCTACAAACAATACAAAACTATAACAATTTCGTGCAATAGTGTGCATCGTGTGCCGGTCAATTGGCCCACTCCAGCCGCTTCGTACTGCAAACAAGAACTTATATACCTTTTTTTATTTTTGTCTCGAACAACTAAACTTATACGCAAATTTACAGATTCGAGTGAAACAATAATTATGTCTCGCGAACAACAAGCAGATCCTGTTCCGGAGGATGACTGCCCGTTTCTTCCTGCCTCAAACACAAACCCGGGAGAGCAAGCACAAGGTCACAATCAAAGCTTAATAGGCGAACCACTACTTTTGAGTTCGTACGTACCTTCTATGAATGTCGACGCTGTAGCTACCTGCAGACTGCCTCCTTTTTGGAAGAATCATCCTAACATGTGGTTTATACAAATTGAAGCACAATTTCAATGCAACAAAATCATTTCGGACGGTGCTAAATATAATCAGCTTATCACGGCGTTAGATGCTGAGACGATGATAGAGGTATCGGATGTTTTAAGGAATCCTCCCAGGACGAACAAATACGATCATTTAAAATCTGAAATCATCAACAGATTCACCGATTCAGCTGATCGACAGCTGCATAAAGCTTTAACAGAATTGCAACTCGGAGATAAGAAACCGAGCCAGCTTCTTCGACAAATGACAGCCTTGGCGGGTGACCGAGCAACTGAAGACGTACTACGCGTGCGTTGGTTGGCATTGCTTCCCCCAAGCACTCAAAAACTTTTAAAAATCCTTCGTTCGACAACGCTGGACGAGCAAGCCAGATTCGCAGATGAGCTATTGGAAACTCAATCAGGTTCTTATGTAATGTCTACCAGCAGGGCCGATAATCGATCATATTCACCCAGCAATGGATTTACAACTTCAATTTTGAACAATCTAGCTCAGGACATGGCGGCGATTAAACTCTCATTATCGGAGCTCATTTCGCTAACCAAAGAACGTGCTGACTTTCGGAATCAAAGAGGCCGCAGTTACAGCCGTGCAAGCTCCAGACCTGCATCACCAGCTCCCAGTCGTATATGCTATTATCACCGCAGATTCAAGGAGAGAGCCAACATGTGTACACAACCGTGCTCCTTCGTACCGCAACCTCAGCCGGAAAACTAAAAAAGCTGTCGTCAATTCAGGCGGTTGGCGACAGCAATAACAACATCCTGAAACAGGAACACCGTCTTCACCTCCACGATAAAAAAACGAATATGAGATTTCTTATTGATTCTGGGTCGGTGATATCATTGGTTCCAAAATCATCTTTTAATACAAGGCTAAAGCAGGATGACGTTCTTCTGTACGCTGCAAATGGTACAACGATTCATACTTACGGTCAAAAAACATTAACTCTTGACTTCGGTTTACGACGGGCATTCAAATGGTCCTTCATTATCGCTGACGTGCAATCTGCCATCATTGGTGCGGATTTCCTCACTTATCATGCCTTACTCTTGGACTTGAAGGGTGGTCGACTCATAGACCCGATCACCTCTTTCACCACAAAGGGCCAAATTTTCCAGGCAGCAGTACATAGTGTTTCGACAATCGACCAAATTAATTCCTCTTCTGTGGAATACAAACCTTACACAGATTTACTGAACGACTACATCGATATAACTAGACCTAACGCTGCACCCACCACCTGCGCAGATAGCTCTGTGGCTCATCATATCATCACAAAAGGACCACCAGTTTTTGAAAGATTCCGCAGGCTAACTGGCGACAAACTAAAAATAGCGAGAGAAGACCTCGACATGTTACTACTCCATGGAATTATCCGTCCCTCCAGTAGCCAGTGGGCCAGCCCGATTCATATGGTACCAAAGAAACTTGGCGGCTGGCGTACCACCGGGGATTATAGAAGCTTAAACTCACTTACTGTTCCAGACCGCTACCCAGTTCCACACTGCGAGGATATTCTTCAGCGACTCCATGGCTCCAAGATCTTCTCCACTATTGATTTGGTGCGGGCTTACTATCAAATACCTGTGAACCCAGACGACGTACCGAAAACCGCCGTAACAACCCCATTTGGACTTTTTGAATTCCTGGGGATGCCGATGGGTCTCCGTAACGCCACACAAACCTTTCAGAGGCATATGGATAACCTTTTTAGGGGTTTGGATTTCGTGGGTTGCTATATTGATGACTTGATAGTGCATTCCGTTTCGCATGAGGATCATCTCAAACACCTTTCTATCGTTTTTTCTATTCTACGAGCAAACAGACTGACCATCAACCCGTCAAAATGCCAATTTGGCAGGACAGAGGTGGCATACCTGGGTCATACGGTGAGCAAAGACGGTTTCCGCCCACCGGAGGAGAGAATCCGGGCCATTGTTGATTTCCCAAAACCTGCGACCGTCAATGACCTACGCCGTTTCCTTGGACTGATGAACTATTATCGCAAGTCTATCAAGGGGGCTGCGAAACTCCAGGCCCCGCTAACCAATTTTTTGAGTGACGCCAAAAAGAAAGACAAACGCCCGATCCCTTGGACAGGAGAGGCCGAGGAAGCTCTAGAGGCTTGCAAGCGTGGCATCATAGAGGCCGTAAGAATTCCATTTTTGGCACCAAACTCGCCTTTGATGCTTAAGACGGATGCGTCTGACACGGCAATTGGTGCAGCCGTTGAACAACTTCAGGACGGAGAGTGGTTACCAATAGCCTTCTTTTCGAGAAAACTTAGCCAGACAGAAACTCGCTATAGCACCTATGACAGGGAGTTGCTGGCAATATTTGCCTCCATCAAATTCTTCCGCTATATACTTGAAGGTAGGTCTTTTGTCATTCAAACGGACCACAAACCGCTGACCTACGCATTTTTACAACGCGCTGATAAAGCCTCCCCGCGACAGCTCAGACAATTAGACTACATTTCGCAATTCACGACTGAAATTATTTACACTAAGGGAGAAGAAAATGTAGTAGCCGACGCGCTTTCTCGAATTAATGTAATAAATATGCCCACAAAGCTAGATGCCGAAACAATAGCCAACGCTCAACGGAACGATGACCAGTTAGCCGATCTGCTGGAAAACACGTCGCTTACCTTACAGAAACTGACAATTGATGGTCACACTATACTGTGCGACGTTTCCAGTGGCCGCATTCGTCCATTTATTCCGTCCAACCTCAGGCAGGAAGCCTTTAAAACCGTTCACGATTCATCTCACCCAAGTGGCAGATCTACGGTCAAACAAATCAGAGAGAGGTACGTCTGGCCAGGAATTAAAAAGGACACTCTTCTCTGGGCTAGGCAATGCATAGCCTGCCAACGTTCGAAAGTACATCGCCATAACCGCACTATCCCAATGCACATCGACGTACCAGATAATCGCTTCGATCATGTTCATCTTGACTTGATCGAACTACCGACCGTCGGAGGCCTACGTTACTGTTTAACCATGATAGATCGTTTCAGTAGATGGCCTGCTGCTGTTCCTCTCGCTAACATATCCGCCGACACTGTAGCTTCAGCCTTTTACAACCAATGGGTTTGTCAATATGGAACTCCGCTCACAATCACCACAGATCAAGGGACCCAATTTGAATCCGCACTTTTCAGGGCCCTTGCCAAGTTAATTGGAGCAAACAGAATTCATACGTCGCCTTATCATCCGCAAGCAAATGGCTTAATTGAACGCTGGCACCGTGCGCTAAAAGCTGCTCTAATGTGTAATTCTCAAACGCCGTGGCCAGACCTTCTGCCAACCGCTCTCCTGGGACTGCGTACAGCTTATAAAGAAGACCTCAAGGCTTCTCCAGCGGAGATGCTATTCGGTGCCCCATTACGTATACCGGGCGAATTTTTTATTTCGGAGGAAACCGAAGCGGACCCACAGTTCTTTTTAGAAAAATTTCGAGAACACATTCGAACCTTAAGACCCACCCCGACAGCCCACCACACGAAGTCCAGACTGTTCATTCTAAAGGACCTGAATACCTGCAGCCACGTCTTCAGAAAAATCGAGGCTGTTAGAAAGCCTCTTGAACACCCCTATTCAGGCCCGCATGAGATCATCAAGCGTCTAAACGACAAAGTATTTATCATCCGCATTAAGGGGGAGGATAAAGCAATTTCTACCAGTCTACTGAAGCCCGCCTACATTACCAAGACTGATGACAACTCCAACCGATCAGACGAGCAAATCACTCCGCAGATCAACCCCACCACGGATATCGACAGGCCAACGAGAACATACGCCCGTGCCAAGAAGGTTTCGTTCCTTACTCCTTCGCAACCTCCTTCGCCGTCTTCTTCGCAGCCTCCTTCGCCGTCTTCTTCGCAAGCTCCCTCGCAAGTCACTGGAGGGGGAGTGGATGTGGCGGTTCCTGCTCCACCTGATCCGGTAACGACTCTGCCGCTAGCCCCGAGAGGGCGTGTGAGTCGCCGAAAACAGCTGTTGACAGTTCGTACTGAATGTTAGAAAAAAGAAGATCCGAAGTCAACTGTCATCTGTCAACCAGAGCCAAAAAAGAACCGCTCAATGCTCAACTCATGATTTTTCTTGTTTATTCCAATAATAATTACGTGTTTTTCTTGTGGATACAACAATAAAGTTTGTACATCGTTAAAAGCAGTTTTATGGGACCCCTGTAAACCCATAATTTTTTTGCAAGTGCCGCCATCTATCGGTTTGCGATATAATTTGTACTACTAATGGAGTAGTTTTCTTCAAAAGTGACATTAGCAATTGACGGGTAAACATCTAGATGTCGCTACTTGTGGAAATTCCGGATTTTAAATATATTACAAAAATGAAATAAACTTTTATTAAATTTATTAATACGCTTATAATTGCACATCGATCGCCGTCACATCTAAATCTTGTACCAACTCGCTCCTATTAGAATTCGTTTCTGTGGAAAAATAAAATCAACCAAAAAAAAATGTACAAATTCTAATCGATCGGAATACCTTTACCGATTATTTCGGGCACTTCGGATCGACTTTTGTTCGCGCTACAGTCGCTGCTGACGTTGTAATATTGCCGAATCTCGTACTCGGGATTGTAATAATTGTACAATTTAATCAGAGCCTCCTTCCTCCCTTCCACCAAATACCTTTCGAAAATGTTGAACGAAAAACACACCAATCGCTCGTCCAATTTCGTCAAATAGAAATTCACCTTGTCGTTGCCTTCCTCGAACATTTCAACCTCTAAAAAAATATATCCAACCAGTAAGACCTTTTGACAAAACTACACCCTGTATAAATGAAGTTTTCTATCACACCAAATTGGTTAAGCTATAGAATCATGTCGTGAATAATATTATGAACTCACTTGATGTGTTTCTGATTTGCACCAATTTGTACAAAGAAGACCTGTCAGCTTGGTACCCGGTGGGCAAAAAAACCTCCATAACCGCCATATTGGAAGGTCCATCTGGCGCTTTGTAAGCCAAACAAGACGACAAACTGCTAATCGAACATCGATTAATCGTCGATAGAGGCGCCACTTCCATGGCGAATTCGAACGCCTCGCTCTTCGCTATCCCCATCAAATTGTACCTTTGCGTTATCTAATCGAAATTCCACACAACTGTTCCGCTTATTTTTCTCATTAAATCTTCGATTATTTAATCGAAAAATGTTTGTTACCTGGACGAGGACGCATCCGACGCCGACGACGCCGATCGCGACGCTCCCATTCGACGCCCTCAACGCAATCCTGCGCGATTTCAACCCGTCTTCATCGGTTAGTGTTAAATTGTATTCGTTATGCGGAGTTTCGACGCGGATTAACATATTCAATTCGTTCGATTTCAACACCCCCGAATACTTCGAAAGCGCCTCCAAAGCCACCGCAGTATCCTGTCGAATACATCGAATACAACAATACAAAAAAATATATTCGATGAATTTACCTGCGAACTAACAAAGCTCCCTTTAGCACCGTATTTAGTCGATAACCATCGCACAACTCCCAATGCATCAGCCCAATGTTTCGAAGAGTTCCTTTGCAGGAGCGCCATTAACCCATAACTGGTTACTTCCACGTCTGACGCCTCGCCTGTATACAACAAAATTCCACTTTTAAATCGCCCTTTTAATAATCCTCTCTGTATATACACCTTTGCTCGTCCACCACATCATGTTCCTATGCCTTTCGGCCGAAGCGAGGAGCCTCTGCAAGGATTTATTACCGTCCTCTTCAGCTCCCATCAACAGCAAAGCGTAGGAATTTATAGCTAAACTGTATTTATCGGGATCCACTTGGCTTCTGATGCAGTAAATCGCGTTGGTTTTAACCCGTTGGGGTACTTCTATACCGGCTTGGAGGAGACTCAGGATAACATAGGAGGTTAAACCTGCTGTGCTGTTTTCACTACTGGCGCCTCCCTTTGAGAAAAACCTCATTTTCCTATTTTCCTGTTAGCTTTTCGTGCTTACCATGTCCTGGAAAACGTGCAGCATCGAGTGGAAACAGCCGTTCTCTAATTGCCTTTCGTAGATCCATGTTAGGGCTTTTTGGATGAGATGGTGGTCGATGTAGATGAATTGTTTGGCTTCTGTTAGGATTTTGACGACGAAAGTGGTGAGGAAGGTGGAGCCCATGGGGTCGTGGTAACCGAAGGCAGAGAAGGAACCGTCCTTGTGCAGGTAATTGAGGATCCTTTGGTAGCCTGTTTCGTAGGAATTATTACTGGGGTTTGTGTAGGTTATGAGTAAAATATTACCTAGTTTGAGATTGCGCAGTATTTTTTGTTTAACGGGTTTCGTTAAGGTATCGGTGGAGTTCAAATAGCGCATGATGAATAAATTTGGCGCCATTGTGGACATTATTTGCTCGCCGCAACCCGTCGGTACGTCCAGTAATTCATCTAAATTCTATTAAAGCATCGTTTAATAGTCTATTATTCGATTAATAAATGTTCCTTACCTCGACGGTTTTGCCTAGGATATCCCCGTTCAAATTCACTTCGGCTTTGTAAGTACCCGGTACGATTTCGTCGGGTATCGAAACGTTCCAAAACACTTTATCATCGATTAAGGAATCTGTTAAAAACGATTTACTAAAACTGATTGCATTAAAAACAAAACGAGGAATTTTACTTGATGCGCACAACAACGCTGCTCTGGTTTTGCTCAAATCGAATCCTTCGGGCTCCACCAGTATAGACTTGACTTCGGAATCTCTGAAACCACAAGAGCAGATTCAAAGCAATTCTCTCATCTCTTTCAAAGCCTCAAACCTCTTGAACAAAATGGTCTTCTTTCATTTAGAAATCCAACTACTCACCTCTTGAACAAAATGGTCGCCGGGCCGCAAAACATGGGATATTGGTTATCGGTTTCGACCAAAACGCTGACATTCACCAACCCCAAACCCAAGGCTTTCAATTTAAACTTGTGGGTTATTGTATCGTTGGATCCCACGCAATACGAAACGCTCCTTTCCGATTCCACGTCTACCGATTCCAGACCGGCCGAAAATCCCACGTTCAACCGGATCTATACACTCCAAAAAACCACCCTAATATTCCTAGCATCGAATTTTCACGCAGACTCACCGGTATGGGATGCTGGTAATTCGAAACGTGTACATACAGATGGAAGATTTCTCCTCTTCTAACAGAGAAAGGGGCTAGTACTTCTACGAAAACGTTTTGGAAACTGGTGATGTCCGTCTCGTCGGCGATTCCCACTCCCTCTGTATCAGACACGCACAGGACATTTGTCTTATACGAGGTTATCCCGTGAGGTAGATGCCTTTTCAATTGTATAGATCCTCTGTGGAAGAACCACATAATTGATCAGTAGAAGCTTTGAGGAGTACTAATATAAAGGCTAGTTACCTGACTGGGATGAGTTCCCACAGCCAAGTCTCCTCGAATTGGGACCTGATGGAGGTGACTTGTTCCTCGTTGGTGTCGTATTGCTGCGTCAACAACTGAACTAACAAGAAAAATTTTGTAATGCGTTGTGCGTTCGTTATAGTAGAAGATTACCTCTGTCGGTGTTGCTCAATATCGGTCCTGGTGTTGGGAAATAAACGAATATTATTATCATCGCGGTATAAGGGGAAAGTGTTTTATGGTTTTTTTTATATAGTACCTTGATAGCAGGATTTGGAGACGACGCGCAAATTGGTGACGATGACGCTCCTGAAAGTCTACAAAAGAAATTCTATAAACAGGAAATGTAAGTTACAAGAGAAGTTACAAGGCTAGAGTTCTGTACTATAAAAATGTGTGTAAAATTTGGGCATAAAAGTAGAGAGAAAATGTTGTGCATAAAAGTAGAGAGAAAATGTTGTTAATAAAAGTAGAGAGAAGATTTTGGGCATAAAGGTAGAGAGAAAATTGTGCGTATAAAAGTAGAGAGAAAATGTTGTTAATAAAAGTAGAGAGAAGATTTTGGGCATAAAAGTAGAGAGAAAATTGTGCGTATAAAAGTAGGGAGAAAATGTTGTTAATAAAAGTAGAGAGAATATTTTGGGCATAAAAGTAGAGAGAAAATTGTGCGTATAAAAGTAGAGAGAAAATGTTGTTAATAAAAGTAGAGAGAAGATTTTGGGCATAAAAGTAGAGAGAAAATTGTGCGTATAAAAGTAGGGAGAAAATGCTGTTAATAAAAGTAGAGAGAAGATTTTGGGCATAAAAGTAGAGAGAAAATTGTGCGTATAAAAGTAGGGAGAAAATGTTGTTAATAAAAGTAGAGAGAAATTTACGTTAAACACGTCGAGTGCGTCGTAATCCTCAGCGAAACCGTACACGTGCCTTTTGGAACTCCACTCCCTGAAAGAATCTGAACAAAAAAAAAATCGCTCTTAGAACTCGTTTAGATCCCCAAAATTCGACCTACTCCCGTGCCTCCGATCCCTTTCCAAGCACATCTTCCTGGTGGAGTTTACTCGATCCCTTTCTTCGGGCGAAAAGGATTTCATCAGCGCCTCCAGATCGGTCACAATTCGCCGGTTCGAAGCCAGAAACGCGGAGGATTTATCCACGGCCGAAACCGAACAAAGCGACTGCGAAGTGGTGGCGATATTCAAATACGCCGTAGAACCGGGCACTAATTGCCTTTGACTCCAATTCGCCCCTACCTAAACAACAAACAAATATCTAATCCTACTGAAATTTTACGAAATTCGACAACGCTGTATTTACACAAAAAATATACTAGATTCATGCACCTTCATCAAGCAGGGTTGTACTTTGATCACTTTACTAGCAGCGACGGTTTCGCCGTGTTTGTCGATGTAATATATCAAAAATTTATATTCGAACGTTATCCTTCTCTCTAGTTTGAATCGCAAAAGGAAACTGTCGGCGTGCACGCCGCTCTTCGTGTGCTTGTGTTTCCCTCCGACGATATTGCCCAGAATCCTCCGGTAATCCGGCGCGATTTTCTTCACTCTATGCTCGATTTTCCTCATCTTCGACGCGTTAGTCGAGCTTTTTATCTGCGAAAAACAACGAATTATACAGCGCGAGTGAACTACAGAAGGGTTTAAAATTGTGCATACGATGTAGTAGAATGTCACGGTTTCGTTATCGGCGAAATGATCGGTGGTGAAAGTGATTTTGTACTGCATCTGCAGCCGGCATTCTTCGGGTTTCTTCTCTTCGCTTTGGATTTGAATGTAGCTGTTGCTGGGCGAGAACAATCTCACGGCGAGGAAAGTGTCCTCGACCAGCGAGCGATTCAGCGACTTGGCCTGTGGAAATCGCGGATAATTATTAGCGAAATTTTTATTATCGCAATCGCTTACGTAAAAATTGACGTGAATAACGTTCCGCGTCATCGGCAACACGCTAAAATCCAATTCGTCGAGCTGCGATAGAGGAAAATCGGAGCATTGCTCGTCGTCGACGTAATTCCAACTTTTCCTAATTGCAATGCTGTAGCAAATTCGGACGATTTCGCCGGATAAATCCGCGTAGACGTTGTCGAACGTTAATTTCCCGCGATAAGGAAGACCTGGAAAATTCCGACTAAAATCCTACTAAACAGTAACAACCGAGTACCTGGTTGGAAGAGTGCTTCGTTGGAAAATCTCACGATATACGGTCGAAAATCCACCACGATTTTCCCGAAGACCACCTCGATGATGTCTGTACCTTTTTCGGTTACAGTCGCAGTGACTCTCAACTGCATTTCGCTTTCCTCGCTCGTTAGAAGGAAATGTTCGGATGGTACGGTGAATTTTCCGCAACCGTTTTCCATCTAAATGCGAACAGTAAACAGTTTTTTCCTAAAGCACAGCGCGTAGTCGCGAACTTACTTCTTTCAGCTCGTCGAAGGGCCGCGTTTTTCCGCGTAGATTCGATATTTTCACGAAAGCCGATCCTTTGACGGGTCGCCCGTGCGAATATCGAGCGCACACGTCGATTTCGAAATGCTTTGATTTAAAGTAAACCCGTCTGGGGGCTTCCAAATGTACTTTGAATCTCGGTAAAGTGTATTTGGATAGTTCGAAGGATCTCGTTTCACCCTGTGTCTCGATCTTCCATTTGCCCTAATGTGCACAAAACGAACCACTTTTTGATTAAATTAAGTATTCTATATATCTAATTAGTTACCAATAGAGATTGATTGACCATTTCGTACTCCAAACTGGCCAGGCCATTTTCCAATATCACATCTTCCCACACCACAACGTCCACATCTAGGGGATTTTTAATGGAAATTTTCGGTATCTAAAAACCAATAATACTCCACAACATTCCACCAATATCCAATTGACTATAAATTAGTAGTAAAATGCATGAAGAACAAAAAAAATGTACCTTGATATTAACAGGCATGAATTTCTCATCGACTACCAATACCCTAAATCTAACTTTATCTCCTGGTTTGTAAACGGCCCTGTCAGTGTCGACGAATGTTTTTGTCCATTTGCTGGGATAAACCAGAACAGGATCCAGATTGCGCGCCGAATACAAAGAACCTTTAGATTGAACTTGCACCTTTACGTTAATTAAACGGGCCTCCTGCTGCCCGATTTTCCCCACGAATATTTCGAAACAACCGTGCTCTAAAATGTATATTCACCAGCTTCAGAAACTCGGTGTGTATTTTTTTATATATATTTACCGGTATCTATAAATTTGGTGATTAGCGTCCGTTGGTCTTTTCTCTTCAGTAAAATGGTACTTTCCGCGGGGATATGAATATTGTGCAGTGATAAACATACAGAGTGGTTTCTTCCGGCTACCAATACGCGGGGCATCGACAAAACGAAACCGCTTTTCTTCGAAACGCTTTATAAGAAATGCGACTAATAATAAACGTTTAATAATAGAAATAATCTGAACTTACTTCGAATCGAAAGCGGCGCCGAAAACGCAATTAATTATAACGATGAACGCGATGAATCCGGCCATTTTTCGCTAATGCGATATCTCGACTGGATGCAATTCGAGTTATCTCCGCCACATTTCCTTTCAACTTGAACTCTGACTTTGTCGACGAAATAAAAAATGTTAACGAATCGACCCGTTGATAATGTTTTTATTTCTCGATGCAATGTGCATATATGAAAAATCGAATTTATGTCAAGTGCAGTATATTCCGAACTAGATGTTGCTCGTGTGCGTTTTCGAATTGGAAATTCGATTAAGAAAGTTTAATGAGCTATTAAAAATTCTTTGTGTTTTTCGTCCGCATTTATGGAATAGAGCGCTTTTGTCGAGGTAATTACGCGGGTGTTTCGTCCATTTTAAAATGCTCAACAACGGAGAGCAAAAGCAACAGCTGCGAGTAGTTTCCCCGAACGAAAGGCCCAATTAAGGCACTTCATTACTACATTTGCAGCGCCGAATGTTGCGAAATTATTTCATATAAAAGCCCCGCGTTCCTTCGGGCGCCCCGATTGAAATTTTTAATAAAATACCCACCATTATCGCCGTCGAAACGAGTCCGTAAATTACCAGAAAACTAAAATACCCGGTACTCAATTATCTCCTTAATTCTTTTTGCTGCCCGGAATTTACCTACGAAATATATAACGGTTTTCCGGCAGTTGGATATCTAATTAAGATACAAAGTGGAGTAGGTATTTAAGAATTTCTGTTTTGGGAGCGAGTTCGTGTATTAGTCGCTCTAATGAAATTATAAAGGAGAGCGAGAACGGGCTAAAGGTAATATAAAAGCGATTCTTTAGTCTTATCGTCTTCATTCGCATCTTCCACACCTCCAGGATTAGCAACGAAACCATAACACACTTATTTAAAACCAATGGTGTACTTATACAAACATACATAGTTTATTTCTTCTACTTATTTAAATCAACAGTTCACTGGTTGTGGAATTTTTCTTGTATTAATTATTTCTACAGGATTTTGGGATTTGGGATTTTAGAGCATATATTTAATGTGGTGAATTCGCGAAGAAATATTGTAATAATATAGGCGTTTTAATAAATATCAATTTATCCATTTTATATAGGAAACTTGGCGCTGCTGGTTAATCCCTAAACAACTTTCTTTCAGCACGGTAAAAAATAAAACTCATCGCCGGGGCAAATCCGGGCTGGAAATGCAATGCAAATGAAGCCTTGCACGTTAATTTTCACTCCTGTCTTCTGCCCTTATCTCGAATGGATATATACCTATATATATATATATATATAAAAGGAGGGTTTGGGGGTGTTGAATTTGCACTGCTTAGCAGGCGAAAGGCGAACAGGTCGAGTTCAGGAAACACTAACTTTCGGTTAAGCGTCTGGAAAAACCGGGGGGAAATGCGAAAGGACACTACGGTGATCCTACGGGATAATGAACACCCGGATTGGATTTTAAAACACCATCCTAACGAATTTTTTTCATTCAGGCGTTTCTCCAGTACGCATTAATAATGATTTACCTTCCTAAGATGCGAGTTGGAGCACTCACTTGCAGCCCTTGCATTTCTGATACAAACAATAGGCCAGCGGTAATGCCGGAACAAAGGGAGCTTATTCTCTCCCGGTTTCCACCCCCGGGGGTGGAATATATGCGGGAAATTGTTCAGTAAGCGACGCAGCGCCCTCTATTGTACCTTTATTCGGGATATTCGGGACATTCTGGCTGCGTCATTGGATACGTCAGACCCGTTCCGGGATGTTACGTTGCATCAGTTTTCCTTTTTCTCTCACTCTGATGTATAATTTTTTTTTTTTCCGTTTTTGTTTTATTTTATTTTTTATTTTCTCTGTATATACACTTACCAAATTGTTTCGGGCCGGTTTAATTTAATCTTCTCGCGAAGTGTATGTATAGGAGTCGTTTTATGCGCGGATAAAAATACATAAAAAAAAGTTTGAGGGAATATACCGGGAGAGAAGGGGATTTAATCATCGTATTTTACTGGGTATATATTATATTATATATTATAGGTTGTTCGGTTGGGAGATTGGTGGAGATTTATAAGAGTCGTTTCGCGAAGGAATCGAAAGAACCGCGACGGATTTTTCCATTTTCCCGCGACGGGAAGACGGGAAATGACGGACGGCCGCCATTCAATTCCTCCGAATGGACATGTAATAAGCTAAATGGGTCGTAATGATTCGAAATTTCGAAAAAATACGGTCATGCGGCGATGATGAAAAAGTATAAATCTCGGGGAATTACCCACACACACAGGAAAACAATTCGTTGCTTTATTTACAACGATTATTTTCATTGCTCGTTTTATTTGTTTGATGAAAACTTGTAACTTTGCGGGGGGATTTAAATGTTGTTTTAATACCAAAACGAAAGCACTACAAGCGTTTTGGTTAATCGGAAAGTTCGCTAATTTATCTAGAGTCGAAATTATAAATAAACTATCCGAAGAAAATTGGATGGGAAGGTGGAAATGTTTGCGCTCTAAAAATTCAATTTTTACGATATTTTTATAGCGAACGAATTCCGTCGCGAAGAAATCCATAAAAGAAGCAGGTGTACAAAGCGTCCCGAATGAGAATATCGATTTTCGCCCATTCTCGATGAAATAACTAAAAAAAAAAAACACTTTTATACCCACGAAAAAAAAGACTTTTACCCTAAACTTCCATGTCTTATAAAAGGATAACATTGTACGAGTAAACTCGATGAAGAATCGCGCAAGTTAGAAAAAAAAGCAACAGTAAATGATCGTTTCAATTCGACGTAAATTCGGAGCGATGAAAGTTCCAAAGTGCAACGTGATAAGAGTTTGGAAAACGGATATTCCCGGAAGTGAAATTCGCCCTCTCTCCTTCACCTCTAACATAGCGAATGTTCCGGGCGTTCGCACAATTCACTTCGCCCCGGACAAATATGTAATAAAGTTCCCGATGAATCCATAAATATCGTCGCCAAGAAGCGTACAATGTTAGAGTTTCCGAGAGAGGGGAATTCTCCTTCTTTCACCTCCGCGATTTTCCCAGCACCAGCGGCTTTTCCGCGTCCGCTGTGCATCGTTTTCCCTCGGGGAAGTCCCGGGCGCGCCCCTGTTATTTCGGCTCGAAATTATTTGACACTTGCTCCGAGATATTAGAGGTTTAATTCGGGAGATTCCGTTTTACGCTTTGCAGCTTTTACAAGCGGGAATTAAATCGAATAAATCAGCGATAGGTGGCGGTGGAACGACGAAACGACAGATGACAAATGACGCGGTCTTTTACGTACTGCGACACGAGATACCCTTATCTCGATGGGGTTATTGTAAAATCGCACAAAAGGAAATTCCCGTTACCGACGAAAAAAAGAAGAAGAAATTGTAGAGGACTCGGTTATTTAAAAGAGATAACCAAAACGCGAAACAAAGGCTTCTCGCATTATTCGTCCTAATCTGGGACAATATAATAAATCAGACGGATTCTAAAGCTTCAGATCTTCCAGTTTGTTATACCGGCGAGATTGTAAATTAATGAGAACTGCAGCGAAATTAACAGCCTTGTATAGTCTCAATGAAAACACGCCGATTTATGACGATAGAAAAAAAAACCTTGGACTGATTCCAAATATTGTTCATTATAAATGATTTGTTGAGTTATTTAATGTAGTTCAAGTTTGATTATCTCATGCCCATTGAGTAGTATTAACTTATATATTGGAAATTTAGTTATCTATCGATTAAGAGAGAAATAACTGACTGGGCGAATGTAATTCAATTACCCCTCCAATAAGGCCGCAAAATCAATTAAGGCATTCCGGTCAAGCGAATAAACCGTTTGGAATATTAACGGAGTTAGCTCAATTTGCACTTGATACTCCACTTTCTAATAAATAAATAAATAAAACGTTATTATTGTTTGTGTTTTGGAAAAATATTAACGCTGGTATATGAGGTAAATATAATTTTTAGCAAGAGCAATTCAAACAACTACCGATATTTGAAATCGACGAGCTGTGAAATATTGAAAAAAAAGGTTGTGTTACTGTTTTACCTCTCTATATTTCCAAAACGATTTCATTAATTTATATAAGCGAAATCAAAACTCGTTTTTAATAGAAAAAAAACGAGCGGTGTTTTTTTTTATAGCGAATTTTACCGAGCGAACAAATCACGTGAAATTACACATGCATTACAGCGATTTTAATTGTCGAAATTCGTCGAATTTCCGAAATTCGTTCCGGTTTCTAAAATGCTTTATTGCACGATATATTTTCCCTTATTCTGGTTAATCTTCGACCGGACCTTCCTGGGAAGCACCGCCTAAGCGGATTATGCAAATTGAAATATAATTGAATTGAAACAAACGGAATCCCATTAAATAATGACGGGGGTATTTCTAAGCCAAAAACCAATACAAATAGCTCTTATTTTTTGTAGTTATTTTATTCCACAAGTAGGTACATATACAGGGTGGCCAAATACTGAATGCACGAATAAAGCAAATTTTTATTTAATTGTTTATATACTTCTTTTTAATATTATAACCGTGGCGATTCGACTCGAAAAATTCCCGGACGTGTCCTGAAAGTAAACGAAAAATACAACTCGAACAAAAGTTTTTCTAAAAAAACTTACCACAACGGTAATGGTGAAATGGTAACGATCGATTTCGCTGTTGATCAAACCGATGGGTTTGACGGTGGATAAAATAACAGTGGCCTCTTTCACCCAGGAATTCCTCTTCGTCAACATTGTCAGATCGAATAAATCGTCTTCGTTCGCCTGCGAATGCATTCAATTAGCCGAATTAGACGTCCGATTGGCATTGATTATTATCTATCTATCAATCGGTTCACTTACCACTCCTGGGGAAATGATCAAATCCAATTTATCAGCACCCCCGTCGGGATCGGTGACTTTGAAAGTGCAAGTACTGTTCCTCGAATTGTACATAACGTTCTCCTGTTGAAAGAGAATAAATAATTTCCACGATATCACACGGGAATTATACTTACGATAAAAGCGCAATTGGGCTGTTCGATGGAAGGCTTTTCATCGTCGATGTTCTTAATGTGTATGTAAACTTTAACTGGCTTTTCCACCAGCGATACAGCTATGATGTTCAAGACGTATTGGCGTTGCTCGCGTTGTTCGTAATCGAATCCCTGCATGGCGTAGAATATGCAATCTCTCACTGTGAAATTGAAGCTTTTATCGTGCATAAAATTGAAGCACAAGTTGTTGCCTAAGACGGGTAATTTGTGGATTAGATGTTGGTGGTAGGAAATGGATTAATTACTCACAGTTTTTGACTCCGTGTATGCCGAATATCGGAACTGGTCGATTGTAAAAATGATTGTTTTCGGTCATGTGGATCTTGTACAAACCAGGAATGGCTGAACTGTGAAAGTGGACGCTGTTTCGTACTTTCAGGTCTAGGAGTGTTATATCGCATTTGATACCTTCAAAAAAAGAAGTCAGAAATTTGCTAAATTTCCCTAAATTAATAACGCCATAAAATGTATTTACCAGAAAAATATATGATAATAAACCAATTAATAAACACCAGGGGGTATTTGATGAATTTCATCGTAGACTTAAACCTTGTTTAACGACGCCGGTTACAGTCATATCGCTGAATTGGTAAAACATTTAAGCAATGCGAAAGGAATAGAAGAAATTACGAAAATATTGCTACAAAAAAACTAAACAATGCGATGGGATGTTAATAAAAACAGACAGGCAGGTGTAGCGGTGTATTTTATGCAAAAATCCCATTACGTTATGTTAACGTTTTTGTAGTTTATTTCAATTTATACACTTCGTTGTTGTTGGATAAACAACATTCGGAAAATTCGGAATTTATTCACAGTATAATAAATATTATTATTAATATTTTACTGCTAATAAAAGCACGTCTATGGTTTTGTTTCGCTTAAAAAAAAGCGAAATTTTTATCGACGATAATGGTATGATTCACTCTGAGTAACATTCGAATTTGCTCGGAATACGAAAACTATGCCTTATCACTGTAAAAAATTTTAGAAATTGTTTCAAACATTCGTTCAGATTATTGAAATATTCATCACCACTTAATATTTGCTATAACTTGGTTCCGAAATAACAGACAGTGATATAAACTGCTCCACAAAAGTTAAGGAAGTTCGCAAAATTTGCGATTATTTTGAAAGTTACAGACTTTTTGATCACCAAATTTTCAAATATGCGAAATTAAATGTTTCCTCTCATATCTGAGTGGATTTTTTTGTCCCTACCTCTACAACTCACACTAAATTTGGCGATCAAAAAACCTGCAACTTTTAAATTAATCTCAATATTTGTGAACTTCCTTAACTTTTGTGGAGCAGTATATTTGTACACAACTTTTCAATTTTTACTAAATTTTTACTAAATTTTTACTAAATTTGGCGATCAAAAAACCTGCAATTTTAAAATTATCCACAAAATTTGTGAACTTCCTTAACTTTTGTGGAGCAGTATATTTGTACACAACTTTTCAATTTTTACTAAATTTTTACTAAATTTTTACTAAATTTTTACTAAATTTGGCGATCAAAAAACCTGCAATTTTAAAATTAATCTCAATATTTGCAAACTTCCTTAACTTTTGTCGAGCAGTATATTTGCTATACCTTCGTTCCGAAATAACAGACAGTGATATACATACATACATCAATATTTGTTTTGCATCAACAATATGTATGCAATATTAATTTTTCTCTAGCTTCCAATATTTGAGATAAAATTAATCGCATTATCGCAAGTTATACGATGAATATGAATGAGGGAGAAGGATCGTGCATCTTCATCAACGTCTCAGTAATGAATACTAAGGATGTATATAGAAAGGATACCATAAGGACAGTCGAGGAGTTGACAAATTTGTTTATCGTGCTCGATAAACGACCGAAAACCACCTCTGATAGATGACTGTGTACATATGTAGGATACTCCTTGCACCTCGGTGTGATGTTTACCTCAGTATAATACCGAGGAACCGCTGAAATCCGATCCCCAGACGCCCTTTCGTGTATACATTAGAATTTCTAATCGCCACACCTGCACCCTTCTAGTACAATATAATTCGCGAATCCACCCTATGTGTGCGTTTTTTCCAATCCTTTTCGCAGAGTATAAGAGTATAAGCAGAGCACAAGTCGTGTTTTCGTATGTCTGAAACGTGTTAGATGGAAAATTCGATATGTTATATAGTTTGTTCGGGCGCCATCTGGGCCTCACATACTCTCGTTCACTCGATATTGGCGAAAGGGAAAAAGTCGGAGGGTTTTTCCCAGCGAAAAAATCCCCTTTTCCTCGACACCGGACGTTTGAATGCAACACGTGAAGCCAGTAAAAAAACTCGGAGTTTTCTCGGAGCCAGTGTTCTTAACGTAAATTAATTATTTAACTGTCGGTTGCGATATGAAATGTCCTCGAATACATGCAGGCTATTCCGGTACATTAATCTCGAAGGATTTTCGATTACTCCGAAGCAATTTTTCAAAGCTTAATTGCTAAGTATTTAGATGACTAAGTAAGGGAGTAATATTTCGAACGAGGGATGTTATCGATTAGAAGGGAATAAAATTATCCATCGGATTGTTACGCTCGCGAAATAACCCATCGAAGAACCATTAAAATTTCATCGATCGTTAGTTTTTACGGATGGCGTCCAATTACTGGAATCCCGCTCGAAACGGATGGCAGTTCTTAAACTTAATTGGTACATTTGAATAGCTTAATGTACTTCTTTTCCTTCCCGTTTTTTTTCTCTCTACTCGATTCTTCGGCCAAGCGGGAGTCGTTATACAAAAACAACTAAGAAATTCTCAATCAAATCCGCTCGAATTATAGTCGAATCAACGACACGAATAGATATGGAAACTAACAATTAATTCGAGCATTTAACGTCCCATTTAACGCCACAACAGCTCGCCCATGAATAATGGAAATTAATTTATTTGGAATAACTCGAACGGGCCCCCGGCAATGATGATTAGAAGCGGAGACAATCGGTTAAACTTATCGAAACAGGAGTGGCTAGCGAACCGACCGGTCGGAGGTCGACGGGGCCTTGTTTCATTTCCCGGACATCAAAGACGCCCCGGCGAATTTTCCTGGCAGGAATCTACCGGATACACCGCAAGTATAAGGTACCTCGTATAGTCCTTGTAGTGTAGGATGGATGCGCCGGAGGTCCTTGTGATGCCCGAGATCCTTTGAAAATGGCTCGGTGAGCGCGATTCAGGTTTCTGGGAAGCGGAATTTCTGTGCTGGATTTTCTAATAAATTTAATCCTATCGATATATTGGAGTTTCCACCAACATTTTAAATTCGAACAATTTTATAGGCAACGTTTTTGAGTGTATATAGCTTGTGGATAATTTTTTTTAGTGAAGTAAAATGGTGAAAATCGGTGCAATAGTTTCCCGCGGGGAGAGCGTGCAAAGGACGTTGTGCACTTGGGCGATTTTCCGGGCGGAAAATTCGAGTACCGCGTCGGGTCGACGACACTAATTATTCGGCAGTCGTTGGAAGTTTTCCTGGCAGCCGATCGGAAAGTTTTTCCGAAGAAATTCGCCCGGAGTTAACGGTGTCAATCACGGACTTTTCCGGTGCCAGGGCTTTTCGACAATGCGAAATTTCGCAGTCGATGAAAAACGAGAATTTCCCCGACCGAAAACTTCGTTATTCGATTTATTTATAAATTCAATTATCGTAATTAAACTAACGTCATCGCCGGGCCGGATTATATAATGTGACGAATTTAATTCGAAAATGTTGTTGAAATTTCCGCGTCGGAATTTAAGCGCTATTAAATTCAAACCGTGGTGAAATTTAAAAGCATTCAGAGCAGAAAAACTCACGAATCACATGCAGATTTCGCGTAATTATTTTTATTTCATACGTTTAATTAAATAAAGCGTTTTTTGACGCCAACCACCGAACTGTCCGGCATTATTAAATAAATTCTCTGTGTATATATGCATATAAATTTCATATACAAATTAATACTAATACTTTTTGTTTCGAATTAAAAACAACAAACAATACATTTGGAAAATATCCACGTATATAAGAATGGAGAATCATAAAAGAGTTGAATAAACAACAAGGAATAAGGGGTCAGAATCCAGGTCGACGTGACAACGCAAACAATTCCGGAGTTATCTACATTTGCAATTTTGTTGACAAGAGCTACGTCCATCGCTCGATGAATAAATTACTAAATTTCTATTCGAAAACCCGACTCGTTTCGTTTATTTGCCAAATTGCGACGGAATGCCGATCAGAAAAGGGCCACTTCTCCTGCACTCCCACACAACAATCCAATTTAATGAGACATACAGAGCGATTTTACTGAAAATTTTCATTCATACACATTGCATATACAAATACTCGATGTATTGATATCTATGTTTCTTCAAAGAAATAAAGCGAATCGAGTCGAAATGCCGGAAACGGAGGGCGAGAGATCGAGCCGGATTCCGGATATACCGGATTCCTCCGGGGTACCGGAGCCGCGATATCGGTCGATCCGCGGTGAATTATAACGGCTAGGCGGTAAGTGATAGACGAGCTTTTCTATATTACTGCCTATAGACAGACGCCGGTTAATCACCTGGTAAAAAGGATCAGCGGCGCGTCGGACGCTTCTCGAGCTCTCATATATCAAACGAATTCAGATAAATGGTTGTCTATTTTCGGCGCGATCGTGATTAACTCCTATATCCCTCTTTTCTCTGCCGATATATAATGGATTTTGTGTTGTTCCGGGGCGCACAAAGCGCAACGAAAACCTTATCTGTATATATGTATATAGTGTAGTGTTGTATGGTAGTATATGCCTCCGTGGAGGCGGTAAAGGCCCCATTGTGACCCCCCTGCTTGCCTCCGGAATGCTGCTATTCATTTTAGAGGACCCGACCGAATTACATATTTGCAAACGTCCGCTCTTAAAAGTTTTACCCAACGCATAAATTCTCTTTATTTATTTTGCGAATTACGTCCTTAATGTAAATTTACGTCGGTCTTTTCTCTCTCGCATATCATAAATGTATGTGTGTAGTAGTGAATGATTTTATTAAAAACTCGAAAATAAGATTGGTATATCGAAATGTTGTCTGATTTCTACAGGGAAATCTTCGAGAATAAACCCAAACAAAGCTAACAAAGGGATTTGTCGATGGAAATCGCATCAATACGTTCTTATATTTTCGATTCAACAAAGTTTTATTTTTGTATTTTCGAATTAACAAAGCAAACAATACGAAGAACAAACAAACAGAAAAAAATATTCTTGCCTATACATAGTACCGGTTAATATTTTAATACCCCATTCGAATTGTACATAATTCGCTCGTTATTCGAGCTAACAAAATAAATGATATGCCACATCGAAATCGGTTTATTTATTTTTTTATTCGCCGGTAAACCCGAGAGTTGCGGGAATATCGAATTCCTCACTTTATCCACCTTTTCCGGCACAACGGCAACGCCATTATACCTTTATTGCGTTACTCAAGTTCGAACGGGGCACTAAAAGCAATAACCATTAGCCCAACTTGTTTATAAATCCACTGGCGTACCTTCATATATACTTTATAATCCTTATAAGAATCATTAAAACACACTAATGTGAAGCTACAACAGCATCAAGTATTTCACTAATTTCGTCGCTTTCTATTATAAGAAAGAGTAATTATAAATGAGTAAAAAATTAATAACAGGTGAGATAACTAGTAAAGGTATGTTATATGAGTCTTGGAGGGTTGATATATGTACAGGGGGTGCGCTAATGGAGCGCCGTTTACGAACTTAACAAAAATCCAATTCGCCGGCCATTTGCATGACAATGCTTTTAGGAGAGAAAAGGGCGATATAAAAACAGCGAAACGGCGTGCCCGGGATCGCCGAAAAAAATATAACGATAAATTCATCGACGTCGCGACGCCGAATTAATCGATTAAAACGTAAGTTTCGCCGATTTATACCCGGTCGTCTCTCTAATTGATTTATCTCCGTTTGAAATAACGCCGGGCATTGTATTGTTAGCAACAAAATGGCATCAGGAGCAGGAGCAGGACTAGCGCTAGTCGAGTTATAAAACGAAACAATGAGGCCTTCAGGTTCAGTTTCATTTGCATCAGCCTTCCAGCTGATATTCCATACGGTTTATTCATTCACAATGCCCCATTATATGCACCTTACATGAAGTCTATTAGGTATACAACTAGCCTGTTATATTACTGAACTTAACTCCTTTATGCATTTTGCTACGGGGATTTCTCATTTATTTTTATACCTATAACTCGTACGCAAACACATATTCTTTTATTCATCGAAACAAAAAATCTAAAACACTCGATACACGCAGAGACTTGCAGTCTACAAAATTCCTTCGATGTTCTCGATGAGCTCGTGCAGCTCGGCATCGTCCAAGGAATTTAGGGGATTCCCATCGGTCTTCGCCTCGAAATCGTGTATGTTCTCGAACATGAGGTCGATTTTGCGTTGCAACAACTCCAAAAAATCCGTAGACGGGCTACAGGTAGTGGCTAAGCGCCCGTCCGAACGGGCGATGTCCGAGTAGAATTTCCGCAGGAGGTGCAACGCTGAATCCGAATCAGAACTATCCTTGCATTTCGTCGGATTATCCGGTATTATTATGGAGGGTTTTTGGCTTCGGGCGACTCTATTAGAGCTTGTGGTGAATTTGTCGTTGGATTTCGAGGTGTTTTTCATCGCGAATTGGTAGATTTTCGGTTTGTTCGGGCAAGAAGATATTTTAACTTTCTTCTCGTGCGATAGGGACGGTTTGGGGTGTTCCTGTTGGTTGTTCCTCGCTTCGAAATAGTTCCTGGTGCTCTTCATCTCGTCCTCGTGGTACTGCATCATCCTTTTCCTGCGCTGCATCCTCGCCTCGAACATCCTCTTGGCCTCCAATCGCTCGCATTGGCGATCCTGCGCCGCTATGATGTTGATGATTTTCGCCATCAGCGGCTTCGGGCGCTTGTCGTAGACGCTGCGTTTGCACTGCAACTCCTGCAGGCAGCTGGTTAATTCGCTTTTCACGTTTTTGGAACATTCCGCCACCGGTTTGATGCCCTTCAGGGCCGACCAGTGGTCGGTTTTGGTCTGTTCCAGTGTCGTTTTCTCCTCCGTTTCCTTGCGTTTTCTCGCTTCGAAGACGCCCGATTTGGCGATGGGGCGCTGCCTCTTGGCGGGAATGGGGCATTTGGATTTCAGGGAAGTCGAACTCGATGGTGGTTGTTGTTGTTGTTGTTGTCTTATGATGGTGGGTTTTCGCTGTTTTTGTAGTTGTTGCGATTTCGCCGATAATTTACTGGATTGTTGATAATTCATTGTTCGTTTTTATAAGGAAAACGCATACTGACAATTTTGCTTTCGGCTGGGAAATTCTTATTTAACGTCACTTTATTTGATTAATATACCTATATAAAAAAGAAGAAGTTTCTTTATATTTTATTACACAGTAGATACTTCTGATGAATAAGAATCCAATTGAACTAGACTTTTAACTAGTAAATTAACTTCTCGCGAACGTGTCTTTATAGAATGCGAGATTAACGCAGTTGTTAGAGAGGGAATTCTCTAAATTTCGAAAGGATAAATCTTCGAATGTATATTAGACGTGTGATTGCCTTTCCGAATGTTTAACTTTACGATATCTCTCGACAGTCGCTGATAAATATAACTGGTTTTGTCGTTTCAACGACGATATTACGGGGCGGATTTATACGCGAAAATGAGCGTTAGAGCGCTCTAACGGAGCCGTTTAAGTGAGCATATTAACCGGTTGTAGGAGAATTATTATTGAATTACTCGTTGATTTAAGAGTTTTATCTCGTCACGTTTCGTATTTGTACCAGTGTTTTATTTATGTCTATGCGCTTTTTTCCCTTATGCAAATCGTCGATCTCTATGCCCTAGCGAATAAGACGGGTATTTTCGTTATTGAATTTTTATTGGAAACTCTGCCCTTCTGTCTTTTATTGCTTCTTGGTCCTTTCAGGCCGGGATATAAACTGACCTTTTTTTGTTCGTAAATAAACATCTATAAGTAATTTCTCGTTTCCCTCGCTTTTTTTTCAACTCTATATACACGGTGGACTTTTGTACAAGTTTAATAAACAAAATATTGCGAGATTTTTATAATAATACCTGATAGATGCTCTTTTATCGTTCAAATTTAAGCGGAAAAGTAGCAGAAATAATTGAGCGCTGCCGGTGAAAAATGCGCCCTTTAAGTACAATGAAAAGAAGCCCAAAAAAAAACGAATTCCTTTAGATTAATAAACCGTCTAGCGGTGATTTATGAGTTTTTAATATTCCGGCAAATATTAAAGAGCAGCGAAAAGAGAAGAGGAGCGATTTCGAGTATTATCTAACGAGAATTCCGTATATAGTGTTTTCGAGGCAACGCAAATATTTGTACTGTATGTTTTCGATTTATAATAGCATTTCTATGTTGCCGCAGGAAAACATAATGCGAACTTACAAGCCTGCTATATCGAAATTGGATATTATCCTAACACAATTTTATGTTGTTCTACTATATAGATATGTAGGTGTACACCGAAAAAAAGTTTCTAGTTTTATTGGGAGAGGAATTAGTTTAATGTTTTCGAACGTATACCTACTAAACAATCTTGTGAGAAAAAAAAAATAGCGCTTTGTAATGAGATTCAAAACGAGTATACGGTAGGGCAATATCGCTTAGTATATTATTTACATTAATTAGAATTCCTCGACGGGCGCATTAAGTAAGCCCCGAGAAGAAGAAGACGATATATACACGAGGACCTTATCTCCTAATAGAAAAACAACGGCGGCGGCTGCGGAAAAAACTCGGGGCGGGAAATATCATTTTCCCCGGGCCCGTTACGGAGCGCTAATAACGCGAAACTTCCCACTCGAAAATGATGATGCATCAGATTAACGTGAAACGGGGGGAAATTACGGGAATTACGCCGCAACGACGGTGCCGCTATATTTCACATTATGTACTATTATTTTACCCGATATCATATAAACTTAAATGAGTTTTTCGAGTGGCGAATAACGCGAATAAAGAAGAGAAAAAGACTCTAATGTCTAATTGCTTTTCTGCCCACAACAATAGAAGAAAAATTCATAACTTTTCCAGTACTATTCGCGAATTGATTGAGCTTGAAAGTGCTCCCGAAACGAACTCGCGTACGAAACACACACAATGTTCACCTAATGATACCAATTGATACGTAATAATTAAGCCTAATCTTTGTCAAACATAAACATTATTAGAATATTCCAGTTGCGAGTTGCGACCGCTCCGTCGCTCATTGGATTCGAATTAACGTGTACCGAGTGTCGTATTGCGGAAACACTCGCAACGCTAATTCCTATTAATTATTACTACCTCCCTCGTATTGCACGTACACGTGTATACAGTGCGAATGTTTTCTCGTAGATACCTCTTGAATTTTCATTATAAAATTGGACAATTTTTAGTCTAAAGTCGCTGCTCGAGTCCCTAGTTACTCCATAACAACAATGTAAATCTGTCAATTCGAAATAACCTCCTTAGTTACTCCATAACAACAATGTAAATCTGTCAATTTGAAATAATGCGTCCCTAGTTACTCCATAACAACAATGTAAATCTGTCAATTTGAAATAATGCGTCCTTAGTTACTCCATAACAACAATGTAAATCTGTCAATTTGAAATAATGCGTCCCTAGTTACTCCATAACAACAATGTAAAACTGTCAATTCGAAATAACCTCCTTAGTTACTCCATAACAACAATGTAAATCTGTCAATTTGAAATAATGCGTCCTTAGTTACTCCATAACAACAATGTAAATCTGTCAATTTGAAATAATGCGTCCTTAGTTACTCCATAACAACAATGTAAATCTGTCAATTTGAAATAATGCGTCCTTAGTTACTCCATAACAACAATGCGAATCTGTCAATTTGAAATAATGCATCCTTAGTTACTCCATAACAACAATGTAAATCTGTCATTTCGAAATAACCTCCTTAGTTACTCCATAACAACAATGTAAATCTGTCAATTTGAAATAATGCGTCCTTAGTTACTCCATAACAACAATGTAAATCTGTCAATTCGAAATAACCTCCTTAGTTACACCGTAACAACAATGTAAATCTGTCAAGTTAAAGACGCGACTTTTTAGAGTCATTCTAAATTTAAACAGAGGCGCTGAATACGGTCCAGTGACATCAAATTTTCAACCCTCTCAACCCCTAATACCGCTAAATTTATCAATACCTAATTTTAAATGTATATCAATCTCCATTCGTGAGACACACTGTATGTATTACGTATGCTCCGGCTTGTGTTCATTACGACTTCAATGTATAATATACGTATACGAGGGGCGTTAGAAAAATATTTACATAATGAACAAAGTGTAAGTTATAGAACGATTGCACGTAGGTAGGTGTCCCATTTATAACTGTTAGAGGGAAAGTGTCGGGAAAAATCGCGCAATAAGACCGGAAAACTGGCGAGTTAGCGCGGTTATTCCCCGAGCGGTTACCTCTTCCTAATCTCCGTTTTATTATGTTGTTGGAGATTCTATATAGAGGAAAATTTCCAACCTGCATTGCATGATTGTTTCGCTGATTAATCCACGAGAATTTCGATCGTTTGTAGCTATTTTTTAAATTTTAAATGAAATAAAAAGGGTTGAATTTATTGTATATACGATTTCCATGCGGTTTTTATGATTTCAACGTATCATTGGCTGTATCCTGAATATAGAGGAAAAACCATCATTTCTCTGTTGCTTGTTTGCGTAGACCGACGGGCGTTGTACAACATTTACATTTTTCTTTCTGATAGGCATCGCGAGCGGCCGGGAAAAAAGTAGCGGAAAACCGAGAGATGGGTTTTCCAGGCGGCGCTTTCCCCCTGCCTGGTTTTCCTTGTTTTCCGCTAAACTCGACCATTTTTAAAAGTCGCATTACGTCATCCGCTGTTCGACGACAAGTCGTGAATTATTTTCTTTTCTGTTGTATGGAAATTTGCATGATGAATGTTCGAGCATCAAGTGGGTGAGGCGTTCTTTTTTTGAATAAAACAGATTGATTAGCTATGAAATATTTAATAAATTTCACGAGTAATGTAGTGTAGGAATAAAAAAAAATCAATTTTTCTGGTCTATCGGTAACGCATGCATCATCTAAATTAAGTTGCTTTTTTTTCCCATCGGGTTTTTGTTGTTTGGAAGAATAACTGGCGGTGTTTTCGCCGAAAATTAATCGACCCTAATGGCCTGTAAACTGGTAATATTTCATTAAAAATTTATGATTCTTTCGCCGTCGTAAATTCCGCAAACCCCGCTACATTTTCAACGCGATATACACAATTTTTTTCAAATCTAACAACATAAAATCCCTAATAACTTTAACTGTACATCGACAAATTATCGAAATATGTAGAACACGAGTAATCCGGAGAAAAAGAATAAGGAAAAAGCCGCATTCCCGGGGCCCTTTTTCCGAACTTTCGCCGGCATGCAAATGATCCTTCATCAACTTATACATTATACAATCGAACTTCCTCGCTGGAGTTTTACGAGGCCCCGCGGAAATAAAAACCTTGACACAAGGCCCATCCGTGATCTATAATTCTTTATTCTCTCTCCATCTTCTCCCGTTCCGGCCTCCTTTTTTCCCCGTCTCCTCCTCGCTCGATTCATAATCGATATGCATTTATGCATCGCAAACATTGTAAAAGGTAATGCAAGAGATAAAGTTAATTCCACAGCGCGATAATTTTTTATATTCTGAAACATTTAAACGCCAATTTAATATAATTGTCTCTCGTTTAATTCTCTCCACTTTAAACTGAGCGCGCCATCTAATTAATTTCGTACCGCAGGAATTTTTATTCTGAAGCGAACTTTATACTTAGAGATGTATAATATATGTTTGTAAGAGGAGATAAATCGAAATATATCGCCGCAATTTTCGCGTTGTTTTTTCCAAAGAGGAAAATAAACAATCCTCCGGCCGGACGGTCGAATTTCAACGCTAAACAAGAATGATTATAGCCGGTGTTTTTCCTGCTAGGGAAGGTTTATTCTAGCGGGAGCAGCCTGAGATATGACGAGTGCCCGAAACTCTTCTCATCCGTCAATGTAATAACATCGTCTTTGTAATATTCCGCAGAAGAAAAGAGTATAGTCCATTCGCTGAACTCAGATTAGAGTTTTTTTTATTGCTAATGATAATAAACTGCTCCACAAAAGTTTGCAAATTTTGCGATTATTTTAATCTTTTTGATCACCAAATTTTCAAATATGCCAAATTAAATGTTTCCTCTCATATCTGAGTGGATTTTTTTGTCCCTACCACTACAACTCATACTAAATTTGGCGATCAAAAAACCTGCAATTTTTAA